ATAAATCTGGAGGCAAGCTGCTTTAAGGATATAAAATCCTTCCTTTAAGAGCAGAAATTCTCGGTATTTTACAGGGGTTTACGTTTGCAAAAAACATTTTAAAAGATATAAGTAAAATATTAAGCAGAGGTCTGTTTTAGAGCCTAAAAGTAAAATATTTATAATTATTCCTTTTTCATGTATATTCTATTTTAAGGAACTTGGGAATGGGACTACAGATTGCGGCTTATATTTCCTATCCTGTAATGGCTTTTAAAAATGTTTCTCACATCACATTTCTCTTATGCCTAAAATTAAAAAAAAAAAACATACCAGATTTGCTACAATATTGGCCTATGGTATGATTATATGTCCTTTGAAAAAAGTAGATATTCTTTTTCTTCTCTGTTTTATGATAAGCTGATTGATATATTAATATTTGTGTAATGCTATAAGTAGCAAAATAACTTTAGTGACAAAGACTCAAACTCTATGAAAAAAAACTTGAACTGTTTCTTCCAAAGATGGTTTTCACTATGAATTATAAATCAAATATTATATTTTACAGGACTGATGCTTGCTGAACAAGTTGTTAAATATTTGATAGAGGATCTCCATGTGAATTGATACTGTGACATTAAAAATTGTATATATATGGCAAGTGATTGATACAGTGTTGTGTGGGCAGTGTCGTGTGGGGGACGGGTAGAGGAGCATGTTGCTTTTGAAGTGTTGCAAAAATTGCTAAAAGAACCAATTAAGACATTGTTTATGATTGGTAAAGACCATCAACTTGAGCAGTTTTTATAAAAGATTAATTAAATATTCATTATTTTATTACATTCTTGACATTAGATCACCCTCTTTGTATCAAATTATGTTCTACCACAGGGAAGCAGTAACATAAGCAAAATATGAAAATGAAACATTTTGATGGATTGAGAAAATGGGCCGAGTGTAAAAAGTTTGAAATGTTAGGTGTTTTTAACACATTTTTAAAAATTCATCATTTTTTTAAGTTTATTTGAAACATAAATATTGTTTTTATTCCCTTATCGGTTTAACCAGAGGTGACTTGGGTATACCCTCTGTCCATTCTGCATGTCCGTCTGTCCACCAAACTGGATCCCGTGGTGATGCAAAAAGTAATGAAAATACTTTAATGATGCTTGAAATATGGGTAAATGGCAGTCTGGAAATTATGAAGATGTTCTTTTCTTCCTATGTTGAAAAATTTGGTTGCTATGGCAACAAATAGACTTAAAATATGGCAAATATAACAAAATTTGTGATTACTCAAAAGTACTGAAAACATTTTTATGAAACTTAAAATATGAAAAGATGGCATCATGACCATACAGAGATTATGCATGTCAAGGTTCACAAATCTAGTACCAAATTTATTAGATTTACCCCCCTTGAACTTACAATTTTCATCAAAAAAAATGTTCTTTATCAACTTCTTTATTTCTTAGCATATCTACTTTAAACTTTGAATATATGTTTCTTATCATTACCCACTTCATAGGTGCATTATTCTAGCACCTTTATATTATCATCCTTAAATTTTCATATTGAAATTGGAATTTGTTTGAAAATTGTTAGATTTTTATTTTTTATTTTCTTCTTTATTACTTTAAATGGTATATTGTATTTTCCATTGCAATGTCATGTTGTATTTTGGGACGGAGTACTATGTTACAAAAATAAACTTTACTTTTATATATTTGAAAATTGTTATATTTTTCACTTTTCATCTTTGATTCTATAGAGGATATTTGTTTGTTTTGCATGTAAGATTGAAATATAATTTCACTGAGTGTACACCAGATGCAATATTTTCACGAGTGGCGTAGCCACGAGTGAAAATATAATAGCTGGTGTTCACGAATGAAATATATTTCAATCTTATATGAAAAACAAATAAATTTTCTTTTTATTTCATGCTTTTTAAGTGATTTTAAGTATTTTCCACTGATTTTGCCGCGTAACGTCGCGCATTCTCCTTTGTGACGTCATAACATCATGACGTCATATCATCAATTTTGAAATATAGTTCTGTTAAATTTCTCTAATTTTGTTACATTTTTAATATGATGTATGGTAACATCGACTGTCTTTTCCTAAAGAATCATAATTTACGAATGACGGCATTTATTTTTGCCTGTTAATCCATTTAGTTATGATTTTCTTTTCATCAGCATTTGGATATAGTCCGGCTACAGTGAAAATTATATTTTATAAATTTCACTAGTGGTTTATCAGAATATAATCATCTGATATATTACAATAAAACACTGGAAAGCATGAAATAAATATATGGTATCTACTTGAGACTTGAGATAATTGTTGTTTGTCACCACTCATATCATGTATGATAATGTTCACTAATCTAGCATCTTTATTTCAATTAACTTATCTCGTCTTTAGTGTAAGCATTTTGCTTTTTCTTAAGTGTTATATGCTGGTTACAAACCAGGGATATTAGAAAAAATGCCCTCATTCTGTCAGTCTGTCTGTCTGGCCATCCAAACATAGTGAAAACTGCGGTGACTTTTTGGGGGTATGTGATAAATAGAATATTATATTTGTGCAATTTCATAACTGAATTTATTGAACTTGTCGAATAAAACAATATTATGCTCGCCAAAGGCTCGCATGATATAATTTTATTCAACTCTTGCAATAAATTCAGTATTGATCTTACCCTCATTCAATATCCTCTATTAACTGCATAGAAACACAACAGGAGATATTGAATACACATTTTTCCTGTAGTTAAATTATGTGTATTATATAATTATGTTCTTTCAAATGATGTACTGCTGCAGAAAACTTATGTGCAAACTTTAAAGATTGATCCAGTTAAAAGTCATTTATTTATACATCTACTATTATTACAACATAGATTTTTAGCTTATCTGAAGAAGTTATTGTGATTGCTGGGCATTGTTCTCATTGTACAAAAAAACTTGCCCATTATTTAAACATTTTAAAGGGTATCAACATGAAGCTGTAAACAACATTAAATGTTTGGTTAATTTACTTCATACTTCAGCCTTCTTATCATAGATAATATTTAAGTTTGGCATATTTTTAAAAAAAACATAGATTGTTGTATGATGTAAGGGAGAAAACTCTTGCACAGCTATTACAAGTTTTAATTTTTCAAGGGGAAACAACTCTTCTATGAAGGAGATTACTCTCCCTTTTTACATTAGTTTATTGATAAAATAATTGTGGAATTGTTGCATAACAGATTTATGACTCTCATGTTTATTAATTTGAAAATCAACTTTTTCTGATACAATAATGTTTCATTTGAAATAAGATTGTTGAATTGTTTTATCATAATTTTATATGAAATTATTTGTTAAATAAAAGACCTAGTTGAGCAGGCCAAACAAAATTAAACTGTTGTTCATTGTTAAATGGTCATAAGAGTCGAGTCGATCGTTTCACGTGGTTTACATTCTGGAAAAAGTTTGGGCCCTTCACCTGCTGGAAACTGAAAGTGGTTAGCCATCATTATAGAGACAGGCCCTATGTTCACTAAAGTTTAAGGATCAAGATCAGGATCAAATTGAAAAATCTCAAATATTTTCCATTGTTTATCCGCATTGAATTAATATAAACTTGATAGAATTGGACTTTAGATAGCCTGTTTATAAATTTTTAGAATAAATTTATTGTTATTTAACGAGATATAGGCATTTTACAGTTGATACAAAAATTGTTCCTGATCATTAAATTGATCCTTAATTTTTTTGATCCGATATTTGTATTTTTTATGATAACATCCTGAAACCGGCTTGTTTTTGTGCAAATCAGCATATTTTTTTTACTTCGTTTTTCTAGGACAATACGACCAATTTAAGTTTTATAAAACAATGGAAAGAAAACCCTGGATCGTGAGCAAGTAGAATAAAATATTTTATGCGAGCCATCGGCGAGCATAATATTATTTTATTCACCGAGTTCAATAAATTTAGTATTAAACTTACATGAATTTAATATTCTATTTATCACATACCAAAAATAAAGACCGTTTGAAGTTTTCATTGACGCTCCTTTAGCATAATATATCTAGAGCACAAATCAGCGACATATCACCTGAGGGAGCTCTGAGTGTGAGAATATAAAAAAGTAGCAAAATGTAAACAAAGTAGTATTTTGACAATCACTAAATGTACTAAATGGCAAAAGGCACCAGAAGTGAAGGAAATTTCAGGTAATTGAGCCAATTAGTAACTTTCACACCAAAAATATATTTTATGAGAAAGAAAATAAAAGCATTTGCGAGACATAATGGGCCTTTAATAAATGCACATACCAGGTTGCATCACAGGGAAATCTGTCATTATTTTCTTAAATCTTTATATATTATATATATAGTGGGAAAGTAAAAATGACAGAATCCCCTGTGGGTTGCATTGCAATTTAATTCAATGATTAACATTATGAAAGGTACTTCTGCAAACTATAGCATACATGTACATTTTTTACCTTTAATCAGAGGACTTTCGAGTTAATTGTTATTGTCAGAGTAAGGAAAAGAAACAATGTTTAAAAAAGTAAAAAAGAGCGACATAGCTCTGAGACGTTTAGTTTTCCAGTTTTAGCGTCTCACCTACTTTCCGTACCGTAGACACGGACTGTGTTTGATCAGAAGCTACGTTAAAATGTACTCCACTGAGGTTTTTTTTGAGATGGCGAGACTGGATTTTTTTCTTCTTCTTAGATTGATATTTCATTTGATGAATATATGGAGAAATTGCTTGTGTGTAATATTTCAGATTATTCGCTCACTCCTTTTTTCCAGATACGTTATTTTAATCGTGAATAATGACTCAAATCGGACCAAGAATACCATAAGATACATTGTACTTTTTAAAATTCCATTCTGACTATTTTATTGGTCCACTTGGGTTCAAAAATTGATTTATTTAAGACATTCAAATTTTATGTATTTATGAGGAGTTCCTTTAAAACATGTCATGATGTGTGCGTGTGATCCACCCTTTTATAGGAACTGAGAGTGCAGATCCGGACATATCACCATTCTTGTGTTATTGTATGCCAAAAGGTGATCTATAATAATTCACTTTAATAATACTAAATAATTATGTACATATACAAACATTGTTTTCTTCTAACGTTCTTTTTATAATATCTCATCAAATTCAAAATTTATACTATAAATGCAATGTGAAAATCTTATGTCTCCTGTTTTAATGTTTAATGATTTACTGTATGATTTGTATTTGTATGGTTATGCATAATTGTACGATTGTATGATTTTGATTTATCAATAAATGGGGTTCCACATTTTTGGACCTGAAGCTGAAAAAAATTTGCAAACAAAGTGAAACATAAATTCAATGCATATAAAACGTTTCTGAAACTGAGTTGTTCACACTCTGGACCACGGCAGAAAGCCACTTTGAATTCACTAGAGCACAAATCAGCGACATATCATTCCTGGACAGGCTATCAAGCAGTTTACCAGTACTAGTTGCCTTCACTTCCGCAAGGAACTGATAACTACACATGACAGAGCAGATGTACTATGTGAATTAACGTTAGAAAGGCAGCCGTAAAAAGTTGCCCGTACTTCAATCCAGTGTTGTTATATTTTTCTGGTCCTTCGGGATCATTGAGTCCAGCACTATTATTGTTGAGAATACCGCTCAAGCCGGTGCTAGGGGGGGCGTGAGGGATGTGGCACTTTTTCATTATCCCTCATGTACAGACGCAATCAAACGAGGTCCGCATTTTTCATGTAATTTTGTTGTTTTTAATGCTCTTGAGAGATCACTTTTTCCAGATACTCCATAATAAATCACAACAAAAGTGAATGCCACCGTCCGGGCATCGAACCCAGGTCGCCCTATTCACTGTCCAACACTCTACGTAATGAGCTAACCGGACAGTTTGTCAGATAAGTTTAGAAGATAAGTGTTCGAATAAAGGCGAGTGCGTGATAGCATAGAAATGTTTAGTAATAGGCATGTATTTGGTAGTACATCCTTCCTAGTGCAGTCAGGTATGAAGTTGGCATTCTTCTAAAACATATGTTAAACCTAAAATATCGAAATTCATAAAAAAAAGTCTAAGATATTTAATCAGTTGGTGATTTTTTAAAGAATATTTGACACTGCTATCACGAATTTACTTATACAATTTTCCCGCTATATTTTAACCGTATTGTTTCAAACTTAACATTCTGACTTAAGTTTTAATGATTCTTTTTCCGTTTAGATAGTGTCGTCACTGCTTCCCCAAGTTTGATAAAATCCTCCATGGTGTTGTAGACCTGTGCTGCTACCCTGGTAACCAGCTGACCTTCTATTACTGTGACCTGAATCTGAATATCAAATTCATCCAGTATCAACTTCTGAAGCTCGCCGCTAATCTTACTTTTAAGCACGCCAGTTACATCTGCCTTCTTCAGAAAAAAGAAACTAACTTTAGTTGAAGTTAGAACCTTAATTATTACTCGTTTTCTAACTCATTCGACTTTAACATCATTTCGGCTCCCTAAATCGTAGCACAATGGGCACATTTTCAAGAAATATTTCAAATATTGATAAAAACAACAGAAACGCTCCCTAAATCGTAGCACCATGGGCACATTTTGCAAGAAATGTTTCTAATATTGATAAAAACAATAGAAACGTATCGATATCACATTCTTATGAAATATTTCTTGAACAAAAATGTTTATCTAGTTCTACATGATTTAATATGACATTTTTATATGATGAATTAATAATATTTTGTTCTAACATTTTATTATCAACATCCACATATAATTATTTCTTTGTTTGTTTTCACACATGATACTAAATACTATAAACATAAATATTTGTGGTATTGAATACTTTCCGTTATAGACAAATTGACTTTAAATGTCCTTTTTGTTTGCAATTAAAATGTAAAAATAAATTTATTAAAATATAGTATGGAATTACGTTACATGTTGGGTGCATATAATTCTCATGTTTAAAGTGTATTGCTTTGCGTACTTTTGCAAATTTATAACTAGACTAGTGTCCGTCTACTTGCCCTTCACCGCTGTGGGTTGGAATCCCGCCAGGGACTTAGGATTCTTTTATGTGAGGAAGCTATCCAGCTAGTTTATAGAACGTCAATATGGCGGCAGTTATGGCCATTTCAAACCCACGAGAAATTTTAACGTTTTATCATGAAAATCGCGGGCAATTTAGAAATCCGCTATATTTTTAGTGTTATTTATTCTACAAAGGTAAAAATAAAAAAAATTATAGGCTGAGCCTTTTTGTTCCGCAACAACGGTCTCATAAAATATCGCGGCGAGTAATAGCAATTTACAGCTGCGACTTCTTAAAAAAGACATTCCCCGGAATAAAACGTCGAGGCTTAATGATCAAACTCTTGGTGCGCCGTTTATCATTGCGACATTTAACGTTATCATTGCGACATTTAACGTTATCATTGCGACATTTAACGTTTAATATTTAAAAAATATTTTGAGACATTTAAATAGCGGCGGTTGCGACATTTAACGACAATAGCGTGATATTTAGCGGCAAATGCGACATAAAAACGTAGTTGCGACATAACGAACGGCGCCACATACACATACATGTATATTATATAAGACCAATTTTAGAAACAGTAATATAAGTAAAGCTGTTTACCAAACGGTCAGAGAATCCGGGTATATATGGCAGATAAATTATTCGTAGGCATGGTGCTTCCATGTGCTTGGGAATCGACAGACGTTTGGTCCCCCACTTTTCTACAAGGTACTCGACTCCTTTACTAACCAGCATGGAATTATATTGTACAACTTTGTTCTGAAAATAACTTGTTTTTATACAATAGTAAAAGCAGTACTTTGAGAACATGTATATATTGTTTAAATATATATTAAAAGGAAGAATCAAAGAGCAAAGGGAATAATAAATGAGCCGTGTCACGACAAAACCAACATAATAGGTTTGCGACCAAAATGGATTCAGACCAGCCTGCGCATCCGCGCAGTCTGATGAGGATCCATGCTGTTCGCTATTAGTTTCTTTACTTGTTTAAGGGTCTGTAAGCGAACAGCATGGATCCTGATCAGACTGCGCGGATGCACAGGCTGGTCTGGATCCATGCTCGTCGCAAACCCATTATGTTGGTTTTGTCGTGACGCGGCTCATATGTTTTCTGCTAGTGAAATGCGTCGCGATTAAAGATTCCACACTACTCCAACTGAAACTATTCACGACTTTTAGCCGCGGACTCGTTTTTTGGTGCTTTACACCATGCATGTAAGTTAACCAATCCTTACTCCTATGATATCATGTACATGTAGTAAGTTATCTACCCTGATTTACCCTCTAAAAGAATCTCTTTTTCCTTAAATAAATGTTAACTTAAAAATGTATATTATTTTCTAACTCAGTGTACTGGCCACGCCTCTATAGTTGGTTATTCAATCTACAGTTTATCTTTTATTTTATATAGATATCAATATTAAAACTTACCATTCCATCGATCCGATTCATGTATTCGATTCCATCAGCAGAACATATGAAGGGCGTGTCGTCATTAGTGCCTGTGGATATCAAAACGATCTATAGATAGTAATTGCTATTTTGATTTTTTCCGATTACTATGATGGCTGATTTGGAACGCTTTTGTGCGTCGTGTTGGCGCTAGAGACAACATGACAACGTTGTCGGACTTTCGTTTTGTCATCCTGTCGCTAACGATGTACGCCAAACGACACGTTGTCGTGCGGCGTGTTGTCGCGATGTCACATTGTCGCTCGATTCAAATCGAATGGTAAGCTTATATACCAAGCGACGAGGCGATATCGCAACAACGCGTCGCACGACAACGCGCCAGTTGGCGTGTTTCGCTAGAGACAGGACGATATGACGACAGCGCGACTATCGACAACACAACGCGCAATGTACAAGATTATGACCATAGATTATGTATGTAAAATTAATGATGCTGTATTCTAGTCAATATATTTGAGGCACCTCATATACATTAATTTCATTCGTTTCCAGTACAAAAGATATTAATGCATTTAATCTAAAACAACTGCATGTTTCAAACGTCGCTGCTGACCTTTTTACAACACGGGAGTAGCATATAATATTTCGCGCATGCGCAATCTGCATTTTGCAAAGCAACAACAAAATATTACATTTTATCAGTATTCAACAACTTGGAATAATCTAAATGATTTACAAATGGATAAGAATGGTTTATTTTGATAAATAAACGATGCATGCAATGGTGAATTGAACATTTCTGCATTTACGCTTTCTGGGTATTTCTTGTAAGGATCGGGCTATATATACAAAAACTGTTTATATGTGACCATATAACCTGTCAAAATTCTTCTTTCTAATATAATATTCTGAATATTAATGAAATCTAAAGTTTCTGTTCTGTATGTTCTAAAACTTACTGTACAGGCAGAAATTTGCTTCATGCCTTTAAATGATAAACATTTTTTAGGTAGGCATGAATAAAATATAAATACATGTTTTTGTACAGACATATTTGAAGCAAAGCAAACCTTCAAATGAAAAAGCGTCCTGAAGAGCCTCGTTTTCAAATTTTGATGTAATAAGGGGTCTGAACCAGGCATGGTGGCGTTTTGGGTTCATCCATATAAAGGCACACGCTCGCGGACTAAACGCCCATTTGTGCATCGTTCCTAAAATGAATGGAAATACTTGATATAACCATAATAGCTCTTTAAACATCTGAACATTTACATAGAATCTATGGCGGACTTTAAACTTTTTAAACACTATTTTTTTCTGAATAAAATATTTCATCGCAGGGTCATTGGTGTTGAAACAACTAAAAGCTGCACATATACATACTACAATCGTTAAAAACTATGTTATCGTTCAGTCTAGTGCTGTGTGAAAGGCCTTAATTAATACTAAACGATATTCTTTCATTTTACTAACTCATAGTGAGAAAGTCTGTTAGTTTTTTCACACAGAGCTTCTGGGAGTAAAAAAAAATGTCTGGGAGTAAAAAAAAAATATGTTCACCGGAATAGAAATCGGCATCAATGTCTTGTATATCAACTTGCAGTTGACCAGGGACATGAGCGGCGTCCACGACAACAACAACACCGTATTTGTGACACACCTCTATGATACGCTTGATTGGTAGAACAACAGAGGTGGGACTAGTAATATGATCTGTATATAATAAAACATATGTGTTTGTTCAGACACAAAGAAAAAGATTTAGTAATTTATAAACTACTGCTAAACGTTTAACCTCAATATTAACCTCTTTATCAGCCTGCTTTTTGAGATTCAATAAAAAATATTTTTTTTTTTGTTTAATTGTAGGTGATACATAAAGTTATATTTCATTTTTGAAAGTCCAAAATATCCAAATCAAGTCCTTATTTGAATTCAAATAACAAAGTTCTGTCAAAATAGTCAATTTATTTAAAGCAAGATAATGTACACGCATATTAAAAAAGGTTGAAAGTTTTGCCAACACTTTCTTGCATCTTTCGCGGTATACTATACAGGCAATATTTGTTGATAAAAATTGAACAGCATTTGTTGATTTTTGAAATGATATTTATTTTTGTTTTAATTGTATGTAAATGTTTTGAATTTTGTTTAGAAAAATTGTTTGTGCAAAGTTTTCAGTGCATACCTAGTGCGGCAAGTTTGACATCCGGGTGTGTAGCTAGGAATTCTTCATACTTCTCTACCACAGAATTTTCGTCGGTATCAGGGAAATCTAAGTCAACTTGGTATAGTTTTGCTCCTTAAAATAATACAAAATTGGTATGTTATAATAAAATCTGTTTTTAACTTTTTAAATAATATTTTCTAAAATAACTGTACGTAAAATAACAAAATGTACTAAGATAGATATAAAGCCGACATAACAATGAAAATGGCATTATTACATTAATTTTTCAAATTCTAAAAGCTTAAGGTCTTTGAATCACTATTTCTTGTTTCCGTTCTAAGCCTGGTTATTGGGATCTGAGGAAGCTAAGTGGTTATAACAATGCAGTTCCAGAAATAATTTTGCATTTACAAAAGGAGTTTGATATCCTGGTGCCAATGAGGTTTTTTTTTGGGGGGGGGGGGATGAAATAAATGGATTTTTTCTAATATTTTTTTCGAGTACCACCTGATGCAGAACTTAAGATCATCCTCTCACTCCGTTTTCTAAGAATAAATGATCTTTTATTGTGCAAAATAATCAAAAATGAAAAGCCTTGCAACCTTTTTTTCTTTCTGAATCGGGCTAAGAATCCTACTAAAGCTCGATTTTTAATTTATTTAACTCTAAATATATTTCGTTATATATATATCTTTTGCAGATTTTTTGCATTCTAAACGACCAAGTTGATCAGTAAAATTTCATACTTGATGTTTTTACGATTTTTTGTTCTCAGTGGAGTTCCTTCAATAACAATGATGAAAATTATGTGACGTCATAATAATATCTGTCATATGTTGCGGTTCGGACCGGAATATCCGTCCCGAGGGGACCCGCCCATTCGGCGGTAACGAGGCTTGCCGAGTTACCGCCCATGGGCGGGTTCCCGAGGGACGGATATTCCGATCCGAACCGCAAACATATGAAAGATATTTTTTCTTGCATATTCTGCCATATTATTTCATATTTAAAAAGGTTTACCTCAATATGATATATGTTCATGGAAATTAAAGTCATTTCATCCATAACTATTTTCTTACAATAGCGTATGAACTTACAACTTAAATAACAACGGCGAAATGACGTCATCCTAAGACATATTTCCCTTCTAAAACGACGTCATTTTAACGCGGTTCATTCATAAATGGCGCTAAAATGACGTTGTTGTTTGGCACGCGACTCATCTGGCACCCCCATGCCAGATGAAATTTCCGGCATGGGTAAAACTCACGGAAACGCCAGTCTGCTATGCAAGAATGACAGTTACGTCATTTTCTCTTACCTTCTACTCTATTGACAGTGGAACGCGCCGTCAATTTAACAGCTCCGTACGTCAACGAATTCATCAAGAAAGCGTCTCCAGGTTTTAGAGGAAACGTTTTCATCACCGTATTAATTGCTATAATGTATATCAGAAAATTGATAAATAAAGGAAGTAATTTGATTTTTTTGGAAACATTAAGCATTAGTATACCCAAGGACACAACACTTCCATTCATTTTAAGTGAATAAATAAATATCTCGGAATTAAAAAAAAGGGAATTTAAATGATCGAATTTTGAAAATTATTTACTATTCGATCATCACTCAGTCATAAATGTGTCTATGTTTTAAAACCGGGATCATAGGTTAGAATCTTAACTGGCCTCGTATATTTTTCAGAATCGAGTACATATACAATAATGCCTCTTGCCCCTCACCTCTGTGGGTTCGAATCCCGACAGGGACTTTGGATTCTTTCATGTGAGGAAGCTATCCAGCTAGCTTACGGAACGTCGGTGGTTCTACTCAGGTACCCGTTCGTGCCTGAAATAATGCACGGAAGGGCACCTGAGGTCTTCCTCCACCAGTAAAGCTGGAACGTTGCGATATGACCTATACTGTGTCGATGTGACGTAAAACCAAAAACAAACAAACAAACATATACAATAAAAGAAACAACTGAGAAGATCGTTAGTAAACATTCGTCAGAATATTCAATAACCATAGTTCAAAGTTTAATAAAATTGACCGCAAGTAATATCAAAAGAAAAATAAATTGAACCATTCAAACTCATATGAAATGAACAGAGCGGAGGTTGAACACCGCCAAAACCTACCTTTAGTAACATTTTGGATAAAGAACGTGTCGTCTGCTTCTATACCCATGAACTCGGCTACCTTTGCTTTAGAACTGCGCACATATTCGAATGATTTGTATCGGAACCAGCTATCAGGATGACTCTCGAGTTCTTCTAGATATCTAAATAGATATAATGCAAATATTTTAATAAGTATAATGCCAATATCTGCCAAATACATGTTACATTTATGTATCAGTCGCTATCACGTGACTATCCATTATATTCCATATCTGACGCTGTGAAATTTTCAAGTACGACATCTTTGTAAAGTTATATTTGTGTAATAACTGAAAATTGTAATTTCTTTTAAAGTAAGTTTTAAGCTTAGGTGATTACAATATGTGAATCTAGGGAATCTAAATTATGAAATACAATACGGAAAAAGGAGAAACATCGAGTAGTCAATGCATTTGACAAAAAATTTAAGTAGCTTTCAACAGTGCTTTCAATTATTATTATTATTATTATTATTAATATTATTATTATTATTTTTATTGTTGTTGTTGTTATTATTATTACCTGTATTAATTTTATTATTATTATCATCATCATCATCGTCATCATCATCGTCATCATCATCATCATCATCATTATTATTATTATTATTATTATTATTATTATTATTATTATCATCATCATCATCATCATTGTCATTCATCATTATTATTATTATTACCATATTTTAGTGTATCATACCTGACTTGTTTCTCATGTACACATCTTGGTATACCTCCATATGAACCATGGTTCAGGTACACGCAGTTTTCACGTAGCATAAATTCCTTTCTAATATCCGTGCCAAACGCGGGAGGAATGTCAGTGTTTGCCATCGTTGCCATCCCTGAAATGTACAAAATTAAACAAGTATTTAAAAAAAAATGGTATTTATCATAATGCAAGTAATGCTGTGTTCTCACCGCCGATCAGATCAACTCGATCAAGCACGATCAAGCGATCGGGTACCGGTCAAGCTCGGTCTGCATGCGTTATCGCTGGTGGTCGGAGCGGTCTACCTTGGTCGGCATGGCTCGGGCTTTCTACCCGATTTTCTTGACATGTCAAAAAAATACGAGTAGCGATCGAAAGATAACCGGTCGAGAAGCGATCGTATAGTGATCGAGAAGAAGATCTAGTTGATCGAGAATAAATCGTGTAACGCTCTAGTTTGGTCGGGTATACATTTCTTACTCGATCTGTACACGATCATATAGACATCTACTCGAGCATTATTCACGACTCGTTACGATCATTACCATCTGGTCGGGTGGAAATCTGGCAACGATCGAGCAGAGGTCCAGTTAGTCTAGTTGAGATCGTGTATGACTCGCGTAAAGGTCTGGGTGATCGAGAAGAAGTCGGGATGTTGGTCGTTGTGAAGAAGTCGTAAAAATCGTGTAGGGTCGACTTGTGGTCGTGTAGGAGTCGTGAATGTGCATTAATCGAGCTTGTTCGGGCTTCATCGGGGAATTTATGTGATCGGGACAATCGAGTTGATTTGATCGGCGGTGAGAACATAGCATAAATTTGATTTGTATTTCCGTTAAAAGATCGTATTTTAAACTCGTGTAAATACGAGTCGGAGAATACCTTTTTAGATTTATTATGTATTTATCTCTTCATTTATCTAACAAGCTCCTGAAGTAACAAATGATGTCAGTCGAAAGGTAAGCTAGTGTTTAATTTGGCTGCCTAGCAACACATGCAGGGGCATGGGTTCGATTCACACTAGAGTCACGATCATTCATATTCCTCATAGGTTAATGATCAACTTCATTATCCCTCATGTACAGACTTCATTATCACTCATGTACAGACTTCATTATCCCTCATGTACAGACTTCATTAGCCCTCATGTACAGACGCAATCAAACCGAGTCTGCAGTTTTCATGTAATTTTGTTGCGAGTGATCAATATGCTTTCGAGGAATCACATTTTGTCCAGCGGATTAAAGGTCACAGGGACTCGACACAGTGTTCGAATAGTATACATGTATATTATATATACATGTACAGTATATTTTTTACACTATCCCAACCCGTGTAGAGTCCCTCTGGTGGCGATTTGAAAGTGTCTCTCAAGACATGAATTTAGACGCATCTTCAACTTGTAGTAAGAGGTGAAAATAGTATTCGTCAACTTACTTAAACCACAGTGTAATTGAAGTCGTGCAAACCTACTAATTATGACTAAAATAGTTCATAGATTGAGAAGAACACAAATACCGTGTATGTAAAGTAGATGATACACTTCGACAAATATAGCATATGCATTAAAATTTATAAAATAAGTACATTTAAAAAATGCAAACATACCGTAGATGTTATCCTTTACCCGGGTCAAAGTCAGTCACGTTTGTAGGACTGATAAATCAGCCTTATCTAATGTATTTTTCAACCTAGTGACTACGCCATTTTATCAACTTAAAAACGAGGTATTAAAAGAGGACAAGATGTCGCAATGAACGCTTAAGATTCGATAAAAAGTAATATAAAATTGTTAGATGTTCACGTTTTCCAAATAAGTGTACCTATTTTAAACAAATCCGTATTCTGAGTATTATAAATATAAAACTGAATCGATCGCGGAAATTCTGCACTTCCTAAGTCCGCTACATCTTGTACATCTTTCACAACAGTATTTGGTCATTTTTTTCCACATCAGCGAATTCCATGGCTTCACTGTTGAAAGATAAAGTTGTTTTAATCACAGGTAATTAGATTTACTTACCTCACTCGTATTACAAACTAAATAGCAGGTTTTATAATCGGAAACAATAAGGTTTCTGTGCAGGGTTCATCTGTTATCTGGTTATCAACATGCTGCAAAAAAGGATTTTATTTCACTGTACATATATGTACGCGTTATTTCGAATTAGTCCGGTTAATTTCTTAGGGCCAGTTTACTTAAACATTCAAACCAAAATAAATACGAGGTAGTCGCGTTAAAATATATTTGTTTGGTTTTATTTAGGTGCTGGAGATGTTAATGGTATTGGTGCAGCAACTGCCGTGCATATGGCCCTTTTCGGACCAAAGTTCGTGCTTTCTGGCAGGAAACAAGAAACCCTGGATGAAGTGGGAGACTTAATGGAAAAAGTTGGCGTGACAAGAGAAAATGTACGTTGTGTATTGCTTGTTTGTATCATAGTTTGGTGACTATGTGTAACTGAACCATAGTGAAACATTCGACCGATGCGCAGGAGAGTACTTAGGCCTACATTATATTAAAATATGTACAATATAACAAAATTATATTAAGTTATAACACATGTACGAGCGAATATTGTTGTTTAATGTTATTATACATGTAATTAATTGTACATTGCATACTCATGCTCTCCTTAACGTAATTAATGTACTGCTGTCCACAATATAAATCTGGACGAAAGACATTGTAAATAATTATGTTCATAGACTTTATAAAATATGTTTGAATTGTATTGAATTATGTAATATTTAAATACATTTATTTAAATCATATTTTTCCATATTTTTTTTTAAATAGTTTCATATTAAATTACCCGTACATTTTACAATATCATCACATAGAATGGTATAGTATTTTGGCATGACGGACGATTTTTACTCTATGCATATGCAAGTAGATAAATTATTGGAGGTAAATATATCGAGTTGCTAGGGAATCTATTTCATAACATTCACGCCACAGACATAGCAATCAGTTGTAAGTATACAATAAATTGATTGTTTTATTCCCAGCTTCTTTTAGTGGTTGCTGATGTAACAATTGATACGGACCAAGAAAGACTTGTAAAGAGTGCCATAGACAAGTTTGGACAACTGGATGTTCTAGTAAGTGACGTACAATGTATAATACAAAATGTAACATTTGATGGTAAAATTTTATTTGGGAGGGAGGGTAGGAATTCTTTTCCATTTCTTGTTAAATTATAAAATTCTCCTTAAGCCGTGCTGGGGGACCTTGTACGGTAGCTTGATTATTCTAGTACCGTTCATGAACAGGCTTACGTAAACCAAATCTGCAGCATTTTAATTTTGCCGTTTCGGACGTTTTTTAGGGATTCTTTTTTGTCTTCTATTCTCTTGCATCAATTATTAATTAACCTGTTTTTTTCTGGATCAAAAGTCATGCTAATGTTCTCTTGAAAATCATCGATAATGTATTTAAATGATACATAATTAGCCGCGCCATGACAAAACAAACATAGTGCGTCTGCAACCAGCATGGATCCAGACCAGCCTGCCCATCCGAGAAGTTTGATCAGGATCCATGCTGTTGTCTTACAAACCCTATTACAAGTTGAGAAACTGATAGCGAACAGCATGGATCCTGATCAGACTGCGCGGACGCGCAGGCTGGTCTGGATCAATACTGGTTGCAAAAGCACTATGTTGGTTTTGTCATGGCGCGGCTTATATTATAATTTATTTTATTTACCAGATTAACAATGCAGCAATCACGGCATACCATACAACATTGGATACGACTATGGAAGAGTTCGACAATGTTATGAGAACAAATCTCAGAGCTCCATTTTACCTATCAAAACTTTGCTTACCATACCTTATTAAAACTAAAGGTACGTACACGACTATGGAAGAGTTCGATAATGTTATGAGAACAAATCTCAGAGCTCCATTTTACCTATCAAAACTTTGCTTACCATACCTTATTAAAACTAAAGGTACGTACACGACTATGGAAGAGTTCGACAATGTTATGAGAACAAATCTCAGAGCTCCATTTTCCCTATCAAAACTTTGCTTACCATACCTTATTAAAACTAAAGGTACGTACACGACTATGGAAGAGTTCGACAATGTTATGAGAACAAATCTCAGAGCTCCATTTTTACCTATCAAAACTTTGCTTACCATACCTTATTAAAACTAAAGGTACGTACACGACTATGGAAGAGTTCGACAATGTTATGAGAACAAATCTCAGAGCTCCATTTTACCTTTCAAAACTTTGCTTACCATACCTTATTAAAACTAAAGGTACGTACACGACTATAGAAGAGTTCGACAATGTTATGAGAACAAATCTCAGAGCTCCATTTTATCTATCAAAACTTTGCTTACCATACCTTATTAAAACTAAAGGTACGTACACGACTATGGAAGAGTTCGACAATGTTATGAGAACAAATCTAAGAGCTCCATTTTATTTATCAATCTTTGCTTACCATACCTCATTAAAACTAAAGGTACGTACACGACTATAGAAGAATTCGACAATGTTATGAGAACAAATCTCAGAGCTCCATTTTATCTATCAAAACTTTGCTTGCCATACCTCATTAAAACTAAAGGTACGTACTTTGTACTTTCGCCAACCGAGCAATAAAGAACAGGTATGTATATGGGTCCGAGAAATGTTAATTGTTCTAAGATAACAGTCAGAGTTATATTGTATACACATACATGCACAGTGCGTTAACTGGAGTGCAGGTTTTTGTTACCCGCAATCATGAGCATGTCCTTTGATTGGATTATTTTTGCTGGGGTACAACGATAGAAATATCACATTTAGATGCTCTTTCATCGGTTACTTTTTTCTGAGGTTTCAAATTGTGACAACAGGAAACGTCGTTTTAAATTAAATTTAATCAAAACACTCGGCAATCTGATTTATTACTAAGTTAATTAAGTTGATATTTGGAACAGATAAGGATGTCTTGAAACAAGATATGGACATTTAAATTGAATTGGTACATAATGGCAGGTCTGCAAAACCATGAAAATATGTTGATAGTATTTAGTATCATACGTGACAACAAAGCATGAAATACATTTAATTATATATTGATGCTGTTGGTAAGTGTAAGGTCCATGACAATATATTAAATATTTATATATAGTAGACAATAAAAAGTTCTATTTATTATTTTTCATCACATAAATGTTCATACTAAATCACTTAGAACTTAGACCATACTTTGATCTTTCAAGAAATATTTTGCAAGAATATCCAACTGATACATTTCTTTTGGTTTTATTTCAATATTTAAGATACTTACATGTCATTTGCCGGTTGTAGACATTAGACCATTTCGGTGTAATAGACATTTGGTTGCCAAAATGATGTTTTGCAGTACATTGAACAGGGATATTCGTAATATAGCAACGGCAAAAGATATGAAGACAGGTGCCTAATGGCATACTATATCCTTCACTGGAAAATCATCTAGAGCATTAAAACAAGGTCTATTGACACCATGCCTCTAGCCACAGGCGCTAGTCACGTAATATTTTACATAATCGGCCCATAGATGTATATTAAGATATTATTATAGTATATAGCCCACAGAACATCCAAGCACCTGTGCCTGTAGCCAAAGTCCATGTTATATATCAAAACTAAATTTACTAGTATGCTATCCTAAATATAATGTAAATCGTTTTACATGTCATGTTTTGTTTTCTTTTGCAGGAAATATTGTCAATGTTTCGAGTATTTCCGGTCAAAGAACGGTAAGAAACTCGTATCTACTTCTAGTTAAAATAGGACCAGGGTCCGATGTTTCTCTAAACTAAAACTCAGATCTCAGGTATTTGATTGGTCGGAAACTGCCACAAAATGTTCACTGACCAATGAAAATCCTGAGATTTGGAAAGAAACACAAGTTGAATAATCCCAAGGCCAGTTTATCTATAAATTATTTTGTCACTTCCCAATATTACTATTTTAGTATAATTTTAAAACATTTTTATATGAAATTAACATGAAATGATTTGGAATTTTAATTTATATGATTTGTTTTTTTTAATATAGGCGTTTAGGTTCAATCTATTTTTCACATTGAGTCATTGTGAGCATATTTAGTTCAATTATTGTTGTTAAAAACAATTTAAAATATTTTTGTTTACTAATGCAACGTTGATGGTTCTACTCAGGTGCCCGCCCGTGCCTGAAATAATGCAAGCTTTCCTCGACCAATGAAGCTGGAAAGTCACCATATGAACTTTACAATGTTGGTGTTACGTAAAACAAATCCAAAAACGTATTTTACAGTTCACAGCCGAGGCACCATATGGTATTAGTAAAGCTGGTTTGGACCATTTTACAAAAATACTTGCCATGGGTAAGTCTGTTGTGTGTTTTATGTGTACACAGGCGTGGCAGTTGACCAGATAGCGTTCCTTTGGAAATCTTTGAGAAGGTTCTATAGCGTCTGGCGTTGGTAATCTTATTGCCGCATATTCATTTATTCATGAAAAAATATGCCGACAAACTAAAACTGTGAAATATTTTTTTAATCTTTTAATTTTAAAACAATTCATCTAAACAATACATCTAACATAATCGTGTACTTACATGTATGTCAAATTTCATCTTTGAGTTGAATGATACAAGCTACAGTTATATTAAGGATTGATGGATGTTGCTATCTGCAACAAAAGCTTCGCTTATTCTAGTTAAAATGACTCGATAAAACCCAATTTTATATTTTCAACTATTTAATTTCATTGTTCACAGAGATACTTACATTCCAAAATTAAAATACATGTATATATATACTGTATATGCTTACCCGAGTATGATGAACAAAGCTTCATCCATTTTGACAGCCGTTCTTACCTTAGCCTATTGCACCCTCCTGTTAGTGACTTGTCATATTTTGGATAATTGTTTTCTATTTCTGATATAATCGTACTTATTCTCATAATTGCTGAAGAGCTGACGAAAGACTTTTAAATATCTTCAATCACTTGGTTTTTTCATGACTTCTAATATGGTATATTTTTCAGAGGTCGCGGAGCATGGTGTTCGGGTAAATTCTGTCAAGTAAGTTGATTTATTTACATTGACCTGTTCTTTTTTTTTCTCAAACCAGTTGCAAGATGAATTGAAAGCTAGAAACGTGATATACGTGACTAATATACATCTATTCATGTTCATGGATTTGTTTATATCACACACCCTGTCGCTTCTGCGACTCCGTTAAAAAAACGGTATTGCATGGCCGTGCATATATTTTGAAGTCGCGTCATTTGCGTCATACAAACATAGCATTTGTTAACCTTACACTATACTTTAAGCGCGTCAATGAAAAAAGTAAACAGTTGTAATTTTGGATGTGTGATGAAAATAATATTATATTCGTGTAGATTCAATACTTAATTCATTGAACTCGTTGAATAAAACAATATTACGCATAATATGATTTTATTCAACTCATTCAATAAACTTAGTATTGAACCCATACTCATTCAATATCCTCTATACGCATATTGAATTTTACTATTAAGATATTGTTTGATAGTTTCCCTTCTTTCCACCTTATTCTTAGATCTGAATGGTTGTTGGACTGAAGGGGATATGACATCAAATATCAATCTACTGTTATTTTTGTTTCGTTTCCATTTTAGTCCTGGTGTTATTCGCACAAAGATCCAACAGAAAGGAGGCATGTCACCGCAACAATACGCAGAGGTGAGTATTACAATGTTGAAGTAGCATAAACAGTAAATTGCACTATCTTTCTTGATTCATCTGATCCCTTTCATTTGTAATTTAAGCCCATGCAAACATTACGAAATGGAAGTCACACAGACTTTCCGGTCTAGATAATGTCCGACAAATAAAGCATCAAAGCATGTCCGTCATATCCTTTGGTCAATGACTATTTTTCAAAAATATATTTCATTCGTCCTTTCGTTCGAAGTTTTATGATATGGACATCCGTTTTTTTTTGTTAAAAGTAACAAACATATACAGTATGCTTTAATTTTACTTATGTGTGTTTAAGTTTCGGCTGTGAAAGATGCAATTTGTATTCACGTCCCTTTCGGCTTGTTCTTTTTGTTTGTTGATATTTTTCTTGCAAAAACTTTAATCATCATTCTTTTATGTTTTTCACATTTGAAAGGCAAATGTAAAAGAACACACAATTGTGTCATCATCAGCTTCATTTAGTACTGCATATCCAAGAAAGAGAACACCGATCAAGTGTCTTGTATATTTCAGTTACATAATGTATCCAATTTCATCTTTCAGTACATCGAGCGTCAGAAGTTAAAACACCCATTAGGAAACATCGGGGAGCCCATTGATGTTGCCAAGGCAATAACTTTCCTAGCTTCTGATGATTCTTCCTTCATCACTGGAGAGCTTATATTTGTAGATGGTGGGCGCCACAATCGTCCTGTTTAAATACGTCTTACAGACGAGGACATCCTATCATGACATAAACTCTGAATTACGTTTGGATAATTTCAAGTTTTGTTTGTATATATTTCCAAGACGAAGAAACAAAAATAAACTTAAACCTTTTACTCCACTAATGTTTAGGTCTCGTGAAATGATTGGTTACTTATCAATTCATATAGAAACTTTAAAATATTGATCATTAATGTCATTATTCCAACAGAAAGTATGAGGTATAACATATAAAATCAATATATAGTACTTTAACAAGTCCTATACAAATTCATTTGGAGCAGTGTTTTCAGTTAGAAAATGATTCTAGTCGCATGGTTTCAAAACAAAACGTTTATTAAAGTAACTCCACTGAGGTTAATAAGCGTATAAACATAAAATTTTATTTTTTATACATAGATAAAATTTAGCACTTAAAACAGAAATACAAATAAAATATAACCAAGAAGTTTACAAGACATACATTGGAAATCATATGTTTGTGCTATGCACAGCCCGATTTGAGTGAAAAGCGTTTAAAAGCTTTTCAATTTTGGGCCATTTTTCACTAATATAATAATTATTCTGGAAAAACGGAGCAAGCTTATAATCTGATATTTTGCACATAAGTTATTAGTATAGATCTACATCAAATGGAGTAATAATCTCAAAAAATTATTTCCAGTCCTGTCATGTCAAAAAAACCTCAGTGGAGTCCCTTTAAAGTGACGTGTTCAATTGTTTGTCCGGACGTGAAGTTATTAAGGCCTTCTGGTTTCCATAATTCTACTGGAACTTCTTCTGTAGTGTCGAATAAGTTGTGGCTACATCTGTGCATAAAATGATATATGACAGGACAAACGTTTCTTCCTCTATTGTAAAGGATTGAGGACATAATTATTTTCTAAAATTTTATGTCGAAGTACGTACTTTAAAACGATAAAAAACACAATTTTAGCAAATATTTTAACAACTTCAAAAAGCTGTAAAACTCTTAAAAAATCATCTGAACAGTACTTCATATGATTGGAAATCAGTTGAACAATACTTCATATGATTGGAAATAAATAAAAAGTTGCTTTAATTTATATAATCGAATATAAATTTTGAATATGATTGTTGCTTGCAGAATGCTTGATGCTGTTTGGGAATTTGTCAAAAAAAGCTATAAATTTTACAGTTTCCAATGTTTTTGTGAACTAAATGTAATAAATTTACACTTGTTGTTACAAATAATACATCATATCTTTAAAATGTCATGATCTATCTATTGACTTAAGATATTAAATATCTTCAGTAGCATTAATTTTACTTTTTAGGAATATAGTTTGTCCATATTTCCCTAAAATGGAGTGTTTCGGTATGACATCCATTTTTAACACTTGAATCATGAGGCTCTTCTGTTGTCAGTTGATAAAAGATGGGACCATTTATACACATTATTATATATACGAAAAGGTACAACTGTATTCGTCGGATTAATCTAACGAAATTTTTAGCTTCTGCATTTTGTGTCAAATAGAAACAATTATAACCTCAATTGTAAGCATTACATGAAATAATACGGTAAACTCGATATTCTCTTGTATGCACAGTATGATGCACGGACCAGTACGAATCTTTGTTTTCAGTAACAATAATACATTTTATTTCTTTTCGATTCCACCAAATATACGTGAGCGTACCATTGCAATTGTATGGCGACGAATGTGGTTGTTACGGTTGTTGGCTGGCAGTGCTAGTCATTCTATTCGAAAACCTAGGCTTAGACAATGTTCCGGAATATTTGCCACATAATGGACGTCTGCGTGTCAAGACCCCTGGTCAAGACCGCTATATTATGGACATACACCTACACAAATTTTCATACCGCCACTGCTGCTGTCACCCCCGGTACAGATAACTACCAAATATCTGTATTAAAATTTTATGCGCGAGGGTGGTCAACGTGGACTTTGTACTTAAGATGGTTGTGTATTGACGCAAGGTCGCCGCGTAAATCACGTTTATCGGGAACGTACATGAAATCGCTTGATACTAGTTAGTCGACAATTGAATACAGTTCTGTTCTTCGACGAGCCGACATTTTTAATTCATCGGTGTGATTGCAGGCTTCGTGAATACCGTAGAAGAAACTAACGCTATGCCGACTGTTGTGTACTTGAACGAGATCGTTTTGGATCTTGGTCTGGGCAGGCATTGAGTATACTTATCGCACACGGTGGGCATTTACATCACACACGCTATCGAGATGAAGTTCTTGCGAGGCACGTCATCTCAGTGTTTCAAAATAATGCCAATGTCCTCTGTTTCAATAGGATAATGAAACAAGCATTACAGCAAAAGATACTGTGTAATTCCTCGGGACGAATAATATCGTATTCATTACGATTAGCACGCAAAAGTTCAGATCTGAGATCATTTGGACCAGTGTGAAAGTTGCCGCCCTATTCCAACGTCGAACATCAATAAACAAACACAAGCCTTAAACCAGGATTGGAATAAAATTCCACAGGCAGAAATCAACACACTTGTCGGTTCTATGCACAAACGATGCAAGGCAGTACTCCATGCTTTAGATGGCCATATCCGGTATTAAATCGTAATTTTGATCTACGATCCCTACCACATTTAATCAACCATTTCATCAGTCTTATGTGAACATAGAGCAATAAAATTTACACACAAATTCACATTAAAATACAATTACGCTTGGAATACAAGTAATCTTCTTTCCTTATTTACGTTCAGTGGGAGTTGTTTTTTTTTGTTGCGTACGAGTATATGCGGGCTAAGTATTATTTGGGGACAGTATCTAGGAACTATTTTCACGAGAAATGTAGGTTAAATATGACAATAGAGGTTTAGAGGTTTTTTTAAAAAGTAAGAAAAAAAAACAAAGTATAATATAAACAGTACTTTATAATTGAAACTAGTCCCAAATTTACAATAGGTCGTTTAATAGAACTATGATATGAAAACTAGCATCAACAGAGGTATATAGCTTTAGAAAATATTACTTGAAATATACATTAAATATCAAAATAATATATTTCTTGTTAAATCTAACAACAATCTTGTCCAGAACTGATTTTTTAGCAGTCTGAACATAATTAAAGAGTTCTCATAATTTTGCTATTTTCAGTATGCAATATCTAAAGTCATGTCCAAAAATTTAATTATTTAATGAATCTGCACAAAAATCACTAATTATCAACAAGGAGTGTATTTTAAACAGCTTTTTATTGTTTTTGTTCTTCAAGTCATTTAATTAAAGTGACAGTTCACACACAAACTCAACAGGTTTTTGAAACATTGAGTTAAGTGCAGTAGAGTCATCTGTGTTACAGACGAACCCGTCTGGACATTGGCACGGTATTTCCGACGTCGTGCTGTAGCCAAACATTGATCTAGAGTACATGACGCGTTCACAGACAGGTGGCTTGCTACTGTTCACATTACACATAGGCTGAAATTGGAAGAAAAAAAATTTATTTGCAAACAAATCTAAATATTAAAATGTATTATCGACTTTTGGAATCATATTGTCAGTATATCGACTATACATGCAGTTTGATAGTATCTTTATGAAATTACAAATCCATTTCAAAACGCTAACATTGTCTCTTTTACATGTAATTTTGATAGTCAGCAACGTGGTGAAAAATACATCTGTTATTCAACTGCTGTAAATGAAAATATGTTAACATTTTTTCTTATACCTCGGACCAGGTTTATACATAAAGTCCGAATCTTTATTTTTTTTAATATTCTCATATTAATATTCCAATTTCATTTCTCCTTCTTAGTATTTGTTTGGTTTTTACGCCGCACTAACACTGTGTAGGTCATACGGCGACTTTCCAGATTTAAAGGTAAAGGAAGAGTTTAGATGTCTCTCCGTGCATTATTTCAAGGACGAACAGGCACTTGAGTAGAACCATCGGTGTAAGGTGTCGGCCACGGACGCCCTTTCTCTTCGATAAATCACTAGGAAAGCAATTACACTTATGACTTGAATTTGATAACTCTGTATTTTACCTTGCCACACGTATATTCTCTAACGGAATACATTCCATCGGGAAAAGCTCTGTGCAAAACGAGTGGACTGGAACATCTGCATTTGACGTCACCAACAATCTCGGTGATGACTGGTCCAACGCCACGTAACGTCATGGCAACCTCGTTTTGTTTACAATCTCGTTTAGGAAATGATTTCCTTTCGCAGTAACTTAAATGCGTCGTGATTGTCTGACCTATAAAACATTTGAATACTAAAAGACCAAAAACACCCACATGAACATACGTGTAGTAATTGCTATAAATTCTTTTTTGCGTTATCTATGGTGTTAGGCAAATCAACACCTTATGGGTCATATGAAAACTTGCCATTGTAAAACGCACCAGAGAGCAGTCCAAACCCGGTCAATTTACAATAAAACATTGAGGTCTCTAGCCGGTTTTTGCATAGCATGTAATTACGGAACTTTTGATGCGGACAGTGATATACGTAACATAATTGCAAACACGTTAAATGATACAAGAAAAACTTACAACGAATATATGTGAATCACAATTCTAGACAAAACAATACAATAATTCATGCTTTGCTTTTTTATATTCAGATAACTAAAAACACCCATCAGATTTTTCAAATTTATATTTAACATATTCATCGACAATCATTATAAAATAATGAGTATGTCTACATTGTAATACTTCTTTTAAATGTCATATGTTCAAAAGCCAATCTTCAGGTATTGCAGCAACTATCTCAGATCAGATTGAGTTGGAATGGTGAGCCATGTAATAAGTAAAACAAAAAGCAACTTTACCTGGAGAAATCATTTCTTGATAAATCACACGTGATGAGTCTGTCGTGTTGTTTGGACAGATCTTTTGTCCGGGGCAGTCACATATCTGTGAAGCGGATGTGTGCTTAAAATGACCTACAATTGGATCTGTTTCGCTAATATCAAATGTTACTCCACACAGTCCCTGGTTTGACGAGCAGATGGGCCCCTTCTGCAATTAAAGGAAAATTGAATAATTATATATGAAAGTGTTTTCTACAGATAGTTCTATGTAACTGTCACCTTTAAGTGCTCTTCTTGTCATAAGTCACTTTAGGGGAAGGCCAGCAGTAGCTGTTACATAGGTTATTTCAAGTATATTGACACATGAGTTAAATCAGAGACTACCTTTTACTAGTTGGATAGATCTTAAACTAGAAAAGCATTCGCATTAACTAGATAATTTAAATCCACGTAGTTTCTTAGAAAAATATTTGAATATATAACATCAACATGCCAAATGATATGAAGTAGCAAATTACAATTATACAACAAGGGTTTCAGATAATAATAATCCTACATTGTTTAGAGAATATTGTTGCATTTACAAAATAATTCAGTAACTTTTTGTCAGGTTTTACATCGCACCAACACATTATGTGTCATATGGCGAGTTTCTAGCTTTTTCTGGTTGAGAAAGACCTGAAAGTGCTCTTCCGTGTAGGATTTAATGTGTCTTCCCTGTATGATTTCAGGTACGAACCGGCACCTGAGTAGAACCACCGACGTTCCGTAGGCTAGCTGGATAGTTTCCCCCTCATGAAAGAAGTCGAAGTCCCTACAACAGCGGTGCAAGTGGTTTGAAGTCAACGACCTTAACCACTCTGCCATGAAAGCACCTTTACTAACAGTTTGGCATTAAAAAAATAGCACACACAAAATTCATCATTTCAAATTTGCCCCGACTCTATCACATTTATACTATTATACAAAACAAGACTTTTCAGGTCGTATTACTTCTACAAAAATGTTTATATTTTAACATTATTTTCAAAAGTCTAGCCATATCTTTGCATAGTACATTGCGTTATTGTTCATGAACGAACGCTATTCTCACAATTCTAGTACTACTTCTGAAGATTTGGTCACGTCGTTTGGATTTGTTTGGATGTAAAAAATACAATAAAAGTTAATATCTTTGACCGAAATCAATCTCACGCTTCTAACACAATAATTCAGGTCAATTAAATTGCCCTAAATAGTTCAAGTTTGCATTTCCGGTTCAAATTTAAACCCGATATGTTATTTTGCGATAACGAAGAAAATATGTCATGTCAAAGTTACCATGTCCTGAAACAGGTTTTATATGTATTCTAATATATTGATTATTAAGATGATAAATTGAAAGGGAGAAAAGGAGGCGCTTATAAATATGTTTATAAACAGGACAAGTTTATGAGGCAAAAAAGGCACAATTTTACCGCATAAACAAAACCAATTAAATTGACCATTGTGATAAGTCATTTTGATAAACTGTTCAAAATGACAGTAATATTCTACGCTCTAATCTTAATCATTATCAACAACATCATCAAAACCATCATAATCAACACAATCAACATCGGTACCGCTATCAACATCATCACAACCACCACAACCGCCATCATTATACCGGCATCATCACCATTACAATCGCTACAATCATGATGACTACAAAGAGCATCAACATTATCACCATCATCAACATCGTCATCGTCATCATCACCACAATCATCGGTCCCACCGCTATCATCATCACACTCACTATCATCATGATTCCAAACATCGGCAGTACCACCAATATCATTGTACCACTGTCACCATCATCACCGCCATCATTATTACTATCGGCATTATCATCATCATCATCAATATTGCTTTAGTTTAAACATTAGAAATCAATATTTTGCTTTGTTATGAATAGTTGAAGTTAATTCTCTTTATTTGGCGAAAAGGCACAGTCACGATAAGCAATTTCTGCTTATGCGTTGAGCGTGCCGCAAAAACTTTATCGTCCTGATTGGAGTTACATAAACTGACATCAAAATTAAAAATCCTTTAAAAAAAATGAAAATTTTACCATTTTTGAGGTTTAATACAATGTACTAATATTAACAGGAATTTAAAATAAAGACACTAACAAGTGAAGAGCAATAGCTTAGGGTTATGAAACTTTTTCTGGAACTCGACCTCAAATCTCAGGATTTTCATTGGTTAGTTTACATTCTGCGCTGAAGTCTGACCAATGAAATACCTCAGATCTAAGTTTGAGTTGAGAAAATATCTGTATAATCTCACAATTTTGTTTTGAAGTTTAAAAGCATGCTGCAAGTTTATTTCAAATATTAACACAATATCAATAAATATGAAAGTCCATTAAGTAAATAGAAAATAAAGGAAACAGGTTTTTCTTTATTAAAAACAATTTTATTCTTATAAAATTAAAACTTACTGGACGTGTTCTTGGTGCTGCAGAAACAGTATTTGAAACTGAAAAAGTATATAATAAAACGAACACTGCATAAGAGTAATCCATTTTTTCCGGTTCTGTTATTTCTGTAAAAATTCCAAATATTTGAGATAAACTGCTATTATGTTATATAGATCCTATACCAGATCACGATTATTATATATTAATTCAGAGAGATAATTAGCCCGGAGTACGCCGTCGTGATCTTATTATACTCTTGATAATTACAAGTTATAAATATGAGGTCATTTTGGGGGTGGAGACAAATTAACCTCATTTGCATAAACAAACGCGTAGGAGGAGTGGTTATTGATAAATTAAAATCAATGATTTATGTACAATTAGGGAGTTTCAATTGCGTGCTTAAATGATAAACATCTAAGTGTGTGACCAAATCAATTCGGTTTGGAGACAATACATTGACATGGTCATCAGCTGGTGTCACATTAGATAACGTTCAAAGTTCAGGAAAAGCACGTGTTACGAAACAAACAAAAATTTACAAACCAATTCACTTATTCAATTCAATATGATACATTATCATTCAGTACAAAATAATAATGAAACCTGACAAGGCAAGAACCCTTGGGAGCAATGAAAACCAAAATGGACATATGAAAAATGCAGACCCAATTTAGTTCGGGTCTTTTTATGAGACATAATGGAAATTTTAGAACATTTTGTGCGTCCGATGGCATTGTCATTGACCTTATTCAAGCTTAAATATTACATTATCAGAATCAGTGATCCTGAAGAAATCGAATGACATGACAACCATTACACGGGTTAGCACACAGGCACCCAATGTCTAGAACTCTTGTTTTATGTATGACAGACCAGAAATTGAGTCACAGCAATTTAAATGGTATAGTTTCTATGTGAAAATGTAGTTTTGCTTGATTTGGGTCACAGGAGATAATGAAAAGTACAAGTTCTCTCACGTCACAGCCCCCCCCCCAGCACCGGTTAAAACACTTTTCTACCCCAAATACTTTCGGGACACTTGTAGGATGATGTACGGGGCAATATCTAAAAGTGGTTGCTGTGTATTTATTTTAAAAAATCGAAAAGCGGAAGAACAGTGCAATAATAACGTTTTTGGTTTGGTTTTACGTCACAGCAACATAGTAAAGATCACATGGCGACATCCCAGCTTTACTGGTGGTGAAAAACCTCCGGTGTCCTTCTGCGCAAAACAAAATTAAATAGCATTACAAAACAGTGAAATAAGTATCCATAAACATTATAGCAGAAAAAACACTGGACTATGTGATAAAATACATGATTCGGTAAAGTTAGACAAAACAAGAAACAGTTGGCTACAATACATTACAAACAAAAAATACATTTTTATGCCCCCACAAAGTGGGGTGCATATAGCGTTGCACTTGTCGGTCCGTCCGTACGTCCCGAAATCTTGTGAACGCAACTCCTCTTAAACCGGATGGCAGATTTTGCTTAAACTTCCAGGGATGAACAACCTTAATGTGTAGATGGTAGTAAAGGAAGGAATTTTTCGCTGCGACCAAATTTAACAGAATTATGGCCCTTTGTTGATTTTTCACTATATACTATGTAGAAATTTTGTGAATGCAACTCCTCTTAAACCGAATGGCAGATTTTGCTTAAACTTCCAGGGATAAACAACCTTAATGTGTAGATAGTAGTTAAGGAAGGAATTTTTGCTGCGACCAAATTTAATAGAATTATGGCCCTTTGTTGATTTTTTCACTATATACCATATATATGTTGTCAGTGGGGGCATCCGTGTCCTTTCGACACAGTTCTAGTTCAAATAAACTTTCTGAGTGCACTCGATTTACTTTCTTATTCATTTTCTGTAAAACTTGCACAAAATAAAATCGTTTTTTAGCATTACACATGTTGTTTAATATCAAGTGAATGTAAATGTTGTTACTTGTTGAGAGGTTTTTTTTTTGGTTTTGTTTACTACAACATTCTAACCTTTACATTCCATTAACCTTTAAGCGTACTTAGCGTAGTAATAAGTTGTAATATAGGGATTTTTGTTGTAATGTTTTATGTTTTTTTGTTGTTTTTTTTAAGTAGGTTAGTGTCATTTTAAAGCCATTAATCAAACTGGGGACGAAAAAAAAGTAATTGTTTTATTTTAGGTAACATAATTGTCAACAGTAATTACATGGTCGTTTTTGTCCTACTACTGAAATAAAGCATGAAATTCTTTCAAAATCAGACTAAACACAAAACTTATGTATGTAGCTATTGTATTTCATCGCGGAAATTTCCCTGTTGTAATCAGCGATTAACAGATATACCAATATATACAGAAATTTCTCATGAATATCACTATTAGTTGATGTAATTACTGATATGCAAATATAAATTGTTTTTGACCCATTACGCCGGGAAATTGTTCATATGTAATAACCAGAATAATTACAATATGAGTGGATGATATTTATTCAAGGTTAATTATGCTTCTTAACTGATACATTCATGTTCTTAGACAAAGCCAGTTTGTATGTGACCTATAATAATAAAAATCTGGAGAAAGTGTGATCCTTCGGAAGCATTAATCACAACAAAATTAACAAAATTACATGAAAATTGCAGACTCAGTTTGATTGAGTCTGTACATGAAAGATATTGAAAAAGTGCCTCTTCTTTCACGCTCCATGGCACCGGTTTGAGCGGTACTCAATTTTCATCTCTCAATGAACCGAAGGACCAGAGAAAATATAAAAGGGCAACTTTTTATAGCTGCCACACAGCGTTTGACACCTGCTAAGTTCAATATTGATATTATTTGTAGATACAGTCTATTCTAGGAAGACCTATGCTTCCATGATTTTTTTATGATATTTTAAAAATTCTAAAAATTTACAAGGAATCGAACAACTTTTCTGGCAGGTATTCTTAACTTTCTTAACTCCTCAGGCTTTTAAATTTAACAATTTGCTCCATCTGTTTTGAATATGATACAATGTATGTACAAGCGTCACTGCAGTGGTGCCATTTTTGTAATCTGCTGTTGATTTCCAACCTAATACATGTATTATTACATTTCACAAGTCTCTTGTATGGCCAGTGATCGAAGATGGTCGTCAAAGATTAATAATTGACAAATTCGCCATGGGAAAAGCCGACCTGTCTGAGTAGCAATCAGTAATAAGTAGAAAAAAATGACAAAAACAAGATTGATTCTCCGATGTATTCATAGCCCAAAACGGTCTCCCACAGACTTTTAAACCTTTAGTAAATAAGCTCCGCCTGAAGAGTAGACGAGATGTTTTAATGGCTGGCGGTCTTTTTTTATCTTCTTTTTCTTTAATAAGACATTTGACATGTGTGATATTTTGTTATGTATGTAGCTGATGGAATTGGTTTATTTTATTACCATATATATCTTTGTGTATACAATAGGCAGGTAATTCAGGCTATTATACAATTTCGTATATGTATGTACGCAGTTAGTAACTGGCACACCAATAATATAACGAGTTGTACTATATTATATTATTATCCATCATTATAAGGCATGTTATATCATGTAAACTGATATTGTTTTCAATGTAATACATTGCATTTTAACATAACTTTCTAAAGTGCAATATGACTGCCTCGTGTTTGAAACAATATAACCACACACACAATTGTTTGTAAATTACTTTCATGGTCATGGGTAATTTTGATAATGTAATGTAATCAAACTATTTATAATGGTATTTTATACGCCTCAACATTTGAATTTAATTTAAATTTTTAAAACTACAATTAAGCTCACCCATGCTTGTTCTCGATAACATTTTTGTTAAAATTTATTATTCAGTCGTGATTCAATGATGTACTTTACCAAAATGGTGTAAAACAATAATAAAACAAAACAAAAAACAACAAAAAAAACAACAAAACAATTATAGCTGTAATAATATTGCAAATATATATTAAAAATAACATACCCCGGTATGGACTTACGTAGGATACTCTCGCTTATATGGGGCCGTCACACCATGACGTTCTGGTCAGCGTTCTATGACGTTTGCGGAAACGTTGGTATTCGCCCATGGTTGCTGGGATAGCGCCAGAAGAACGTTGTGTGAACGCTAATGAACGTCGGTGATCGCCTGGAATCGGCGGAGAACGATAATTCGGAAAAAAAGTTTTAAAAGTGCACAAAAGTTTTCACTAGACCAGCGTTCTTTAACGTTTAATTTACAAACGTTGAATAACGTTTAAGAAGAACTTTCCCATGGAACGTTTTGCTAATTTATAGAACGTATGTGGTTGTATTCGTACCTGAACTAATGAACGGAGGGGCACCTAAGGTCTTCCCAGTAAAACCGGATGCCGCCATATGAGCTATTCTGTGTTGGTGCGGCTAAAACCCAACCAAAAAGATACAATATTGTGCTGCAATGCTCAGTATAATTATATTCAAAGACACAAATTCAATTTAAACAAATTTAAAATGTGCAGCGTTAATCTCTCGGACCTAACCGGAAAACTTTCGGGAAAAAAATTGTGTGCACTGATTGGTTAATCTACTAATCTATTGTGAATGGTATAGTACGTACATTGTATCGTCAAGCTTAAACGGTAAAAGTGGATGACCTCAGAAAAACCCACATTTGTGAAGTTCAGGACACAATTAAAAAGATAACATCTATTTAAGTCATCACTATTTCACATGATAATTATTATCAATTGATTCACTTCTTGTCTGCCCGCTTATTAATAGGCAAGTTAATATTATAATAATATCCCTGTAGTCTAATGAATAAATTATAAGTTTTCCAAGTCATATTGAATTTAAAAATAAAAAAATGTATAATCAAAAGCTATTCATGAAATGAAAATACATTTCAAACTCTCCCAATGTTTGTCAAAAGTATCTTCCTTTATACCTTGTTAATTATGGTCTGTGTTTCCCTTTCGATTTCGTATTGGTATTTAATATTATGCTTAGCAACCTCAATCGAAGGTTTTTTTGTTGGTTTTTCAAATTCATTTTACAATAATACATGTACTCGCATATGTACTTTTTTACACATAAAAGTAAAAGATTTTTTTCAAAATCTGCATTATGTATATTCCTAAAAGAAATTGTATTCTAGTCAAATGCAAATGAGTGTTTTCAAAAAGAAAACGAGTCATATTAAAAACAAATTCACAGTCACCAAAAAGTGGTTCTAAGGTTTTAACATAAATTTTGCAAAAATGCAGTTTGGATTATCTTTGTACAATTCTGAATCCATAATGAATTCGTGTTTAAGAAATGTCAAATGTAAGTGAAACATTTTGGTTTCCATTCTTTGTTTTCAAATTTAGCATTAAGTTTTTGTCCCCATTTCAGTTTACAAACAGGTATAAAGTTACTTAATTATAATATATTTTCAAAATGAGAGATGGTGTTGGTGAAATAAAAAAAAAATGAGGCATTTTTCAAAACACTAACAGAACAACCAGCACTTTTAAGATATTTCACTACTGCATGACATATGCCTTGAAAATGGAATAAATAAAATAAATAAAATAAATAAAATAAATAAAATAAATAAAATAAATAAATAAATAAAATAAATAAAATAAATAAATAAATAAATAAATAAATAAATAAATAAATAAATGAATGAATGAATGAATGAATGAATTGATCAGAATATTTAACTTTTTTTATTTCCATAATTGAACATAAATATTGAAAGTATCTTTCCAAGATAAGTTTGTACAATAAATATTGAAAGTATCTTTCCAAGATAAGATTGTACAGGATTTCACTATGGAGAACCACAATTTAACAGCTTATTTGGAATTCTATTGCTCGTAATGATTCGCCGGACCAACATAGTTTTTAACGCCGTTATAAACGAATTTAAATCAATCTTTACGTGTCCTCCATCTTTTATGTTTTTTATTTCAAAATCTCTTTTTACCCTTACAGGAAACTAGCCGTATAAAATCAAAGAATAAAGTTTCTATCTGTTCTAAATAAGATTTGGAGGATTGGGCAAAGAGACAAATAAATTATGAAAGAGTGAAAGTGACAACTATTTTTCCAATCGGTGTAATAATTATTTTCTACCTCATTTTCAAAATAAATTCTGATTTTGCAATTTTAGTTTTAAAATTTAATTTGATAAATCTACATGAAACTAGAAGCAAAGCATATCAAAGCTTTGCTTATTCCAAGGTTATTTCCATCTTGTTTTTATACTGTTTGCACTAAGTCTTTCTTTTCTAACCGGACGACTTTTGTTTAACAAAATTAACTTTCAGACCTGAAATTCTAGTACTAGTAAATAAAACATTATAGGAATTGAATGATCAGAATTTTTATCATTTTGAAGTTCTCTTAAAAGGACCAGTTACACTTTTTCTTCTATATGTTTCAAAATTGTTATTGCGTCGATCGGCAACAGTTGTAAATCAAAATATTTGGACATATGCATGCAAATCATTCACTTATTTTACTCAAAGGAAGCAAAACATGCCGTAGCTATATGTCCAAATGAGTATTTTGAAAACTGTTAAAGGTAATCAGAAATAACAAATGTTTTGAAAAATGAGTGACATGTATTACCATTTTTGATACTAAAAGAGTCTTTAAAGCATTGACTAATAAATGCAGTCTTGTTAGATCTTGTAGCTCTTAGCCTCTTACCAAAGCATAATTGTCCCAAATGTCAAAGGTCGAATCTTAATTATGGACAAATGAGTAAGCTGTGAGCAATGCTGGATATGAAATTCATATTTATGTGTAATTATAAAACGGTAGTTACAGAAATATTTACTAGAGTATAAACGGAAGCGGATATTGTAAAAAGTATTTTGAGTCAAGTTTGTTTAATACATAAAACATTGTTTGAACATTAAAACAAGATGCTGTTATCGCAGATTGTGATTATCGTTTTATGCTTTCCCTTTATTTATACAGATGATGACCACATAATTCTTCCACCGGATATCGAGCATAAGGTATGTTCTTATCATTATCTTGTGTTGTCTTTTTTGTTTTGTTTTTAACAGAAACAAATAGTTTTTTACTTATAAAGAAAGAACAAACATGAATTTGTAATATTTAAATACTGGTTTTAGAGAATGTTAGATGCCTGTTACCTTAAGATAATTATGATAAATGTGAAATAATTTGTCGTAAAAGTAGCAAAATGTAAACAATGTAGTTTTTTGACTTCCATACAAAATACTAATTTCACTTTAACTGTAATTATTGCCAAAAAGCAACATATGAATGGTACATGTAATTGACAAATGAATAAATTTTTGGATATTGTAAACGTACACCAAATATAAAAAAAAAACACTAAAGAATTTCTAAGGCTAATGGGCCTTTAATATGTATAGTAAAATACAGTATGACAACACAAAATCTTTTTAGCTGCATCTTTATTGACTATAGCAGTACAATAAAATTTCTTCACATAATTGTATCTCCAAATACGTTGCCAAGCAAAGATGATATATATTTCAGGGCCCGCCTGTTTGTACGTCCTCGGGAAGTTTATGTGGGATAGATTATCGATATGTTACAGAAAACGATATTCCTATCGATATTTTAAACAGTGAGAAGGAAATATGCCAGTGTCCGGAAAACATAACATGTTCAAGTGGACATGAATGGGAAAATATGACAAACTCTTTAGTGTACAGGCTTTTTACAAACGGTAAGTATGTAAACTTAATATATATACACTTATATTAAAGCAGCATGCCTCCAAATTCATGCTAATTTTCATGAAAATTTTGAAAATATATTTCAAAGTAAAATATTGTGAAGTAAACGAAGAAAGTAATACATGTATACACAATGTGTAAGGCACTTACAATCAACGTAAACTACCAAAAAAGAGGTATTTAATTTAATATACATGTTTCATAAATATTTACTAGGTGGTCAAAAATTACTGGTTAAGATCAGTTATTGCCAACTACCGAAGAAGCCAAAACGACGATGTGGGTTCAACCAACCGGTTCTTGTCAGTAGAGGGCGTGGTATGTTTATGTTTGACATGGTCGGTGACATGAAATGCCTCTGCACAAAACGACCTCTGGTGCCAAGGTCAGACTGGATGGAAGGGACGTACGATTATGTTGAATACGGCTGTGGACAGGTTGGTGTCTTTAACTGTTGAAATAGTGTGTGTTTCTGTGTGTGCGTGCATGCGTGTTATTAATCTGGTATTGATCATCAAAACAATTTTATAGTGTATTGCACATAAAAACAGATTTTGTGATGTCCAGTCATTTGATATTGAGATCTTGTTATGACAATGTCATTAGCTCCAAACAGCTATAGCCATCTTACTAACGTTCTAAATATTATACAATGCATTTGGTATGTTAATAAAGATTGTCATTTAATTTATACCATTGTGCACCAAAATCGTAAAATACACCTAGAGCTCCCTATTTTAACAATACATGCTGTGTTGTTACTTTGTTCATAAAGGCCGATTAAGCCTCAAAATATTATTGTTTTCGTGTCTCACAACCTTGAAAGTTCTTGTATTCTGTTACATATTCTGAAAAGGAACTCGTTGGCCATAAATTTGGGCCATAAAGTTGAATCATCTATTACTTTTTTGTCATATTTGACCATTGGTAAGTTATTGTGATTAAGTAACTTGTATGGAAGACGAAATACCATTTTGTTAATGTCTTTAGTTACTTTAATGACAAATTATTTCAGTTTCAACGCCTCTTTTGTCACTTAAAAATAATATGCACTAAAACCGTCACTTAAACATTATAAAACATAAACCATCACTAAACAGTACAAAACACGGGTTTGTTTTTTTCTCAGGGAAAAAGTCGTATCCATTTCTGAGGCTTAAGCAATTATCATGGGAACGATATGTTAATTTCAGAAAACGAAGCATAATTTTGCATATTATTTGGACAAATTGTTTTGATGTATATTCTGGCCTTTCATCTTCCAATAAAGTGTAGTGTTGTACGCCCACCGCCCACACTGCTGGTCTTGCCTTGTTGTTTTGTTTGTTTTGTTTTTGTATTTTGCATTTTCGTCGTAAGTTTAGGAGAAATACTTTAACTAGCACTGATGTGATTAAAATCCCTGCAATCAGCTTGTATTCGTAAAGGAAGAGCCACAATAAGCAGGGTCCACACTTGACATTTTACCTAATTACCTTATATTAGACTTTTATTGCATGGTCTTTCAATTGTCAAGGTTATATTTGAATTACACAATTTGAAAGTTTGTGCTTATCACAAAGTAGTCTTTTACAAAAAATAAGCCAGGTTTTAACTAATTTCATGAATTAAGATCATAAAGTTCAAACTTTTAAATCCTATTCATTAAAAAATGATGTTTTAAATATTAATAAAATCTGAGCCTAAATTACTACAGTTTTACAGAACATTAAGTCAATATTTTCACAATTGTCCTTGAGGATCAAGGACAATTATAGGTTAAGGACCACGCTTAATTAACATCACATGAAGGTTTCGTCCTAAAATATTTTTGTTCAAATAAGAATCATATTCAATCATGAATAACAAAGATTATAATAATACAATAATAATTTGACTTTAAAGGCAAGTCATTTTAAGGTTTGACCATAGTGGGGGGCTAGTCCATATATGAATCAATATAGGGAATTTTAGATGATTTGGTTGTTAAGGAGCTCCATAGAGGTCTAAAAAGCCTGGAAGCATAGATTGCCGAGTTGTTACGATTGACAAAGATAAACAGACTGAACAATATGAAAAAGATAAATAGACTCAGAACAAAATTGAAAATCCATATTTATTGCAATTATTTGACCGATTTGAGTTAAAAGCGCATAAACACTTCATTTTTCGTCATTTTACAAAATAAAAATGATTATTTTGGAAAAATAAAATAGAGTGACCGAATGATTCAAAATATTGCACATCAATTATTGGTGTAGACCTACAAAAATCGTGTACACAATTTCACGCCGTTTTTTTCCCAAAATAATCACTTTCACTATCAAAATGAGATACTAGTAAACTTGAAAAGCGTTTGAACATGTTTAACTCATATCGGGCAACGAATCACACTAAATTAAGATTAAATTCTGGAAATATTGTTAACATTTCCTTTTCATTTCACTATTATTTCGTTTGAAGTAGCAAATTGATCTATGTGAGATATTTGAGCCGCGTCACGACCAAACCAACGTAATGCGTTTGCAACCAGCATGGATCCAGACCAGCCTGCGCAGTCAGATCAGGATCCATGTTGTTCGCTGTCAGTTTCCCTACTTGTTATAGGGTTTGTAAGCGAACAGCATGGATCGTGATCAGACTGCGCTGATGCGCAGGCTGGTCTGGATCAATGCTGGTCGCAAACCCATTATGTTGGTTTTGTCATGGCTTGGCTCATTTGTTTTTTTAAATTTCAGCCAAGGTGCGCCGTGTTGAATACCGACGTTTGCTCGGAAGTTAAACAAGTTGGACGTGACCTACGATCTCGATACTTCTGCCGATGTAAAAGTTATGAAATGTGTACTGGGGAAATACCGATGGAAGATGGTCAGTCGGTGTTTCACACGTGCCAGCTGATGCATTAAACAATATCTCAAGTTTCTACAAAGATATATTGTAGCGAAAATTTGAGTGAAAGTTCGCGTGAATGAACATTTTACAACATACTCTAAATATTTTCAAAAATGTGCAATCATTTTAGATAAAGTATTGATTTTAGTTTTGAAATTACATTTAAAGCTGCAAGCCTCCAGATAAGCCAAAATATTTCAAGAAAATCAAACTTGAAAAAAAAAAAAAAAAGATTTTAAGAAAAGTTCAAAGATTCATGTAATGATTTACATGTTATGAGCGATGTTGACTAAGTGTGCAGTATATATCACGATACACGTATTTCTACTGCGTGGCTAACGCATTGAGGGCTATTTTTGCATATTTTGACCTCTTTTTTGTAATTTAATTTGGATTTTAAATGCCGTTGGCAATAAGTAAATTACTTTCTTTGTTCATTTCACCAATATTTTACTTTTGAATACATTTTCAAAATTTTCATGAAGATAAACATGATTCTGGAGGCATGCTGCTAAAAACTCCGTAAAATGCAAAAAATGGTAACTTTAAACCCATCTGCATGTACCTTGATGGGTCCGGGTCATTTATATTCTGTGACAAATTTTGAAAAAATCTTTATTTACTACAAATGGCTCACTTTATGTTCAGTTGTTGATACATTTTTTTTACTATTTTACTATTACATTCTTTAAAACGTTTAAAGTTAGTTTCTTGTAAATCGAGATCGTTGTATTAGTTTTATTTGCTTGGTTTTACGGCGCACCATCACAATTTAGGTCAAGAAGAACATGAAATAGATAACAACACCGAGAGAATCTGGAAAAGTTCGATCAGTGATCACATGTGTGTCATCTCATGATAGCCAATTATTGTATTGAGGGGCGATCGGACAGTTTGTTCCCAATATGTCGCATAAGAGACAATGTAAAAGTGCAGGTGTGGGCTTAAAATGTGTCTTCGTGTTTCTGCAGATGTTAATGCAAGAAAAAGGGTGCATTCAACACTCATTGTTATAACACTCGATTGTTATGTCTTAGCAAACGCCCAAATTTGTGTGCTCCACATCATCTTATGCCATTTGTTTCACCAGTACTTTATCCTGCTACTGTCTTTATTATCTGATTTTGACATCAACCATGTATTCTCTATTTCCTTCCATCGAATTAGAAGATATAGTGCAGACACAACTACATTGTTTACAGTAAGTCAAGGGCCATATCATTATCCATCCTGCATTTTTTCCATAAAAATTAAGACAAAACATTCTTTGTTAAATTGTTTTATTATATAACATGCAAATAACAATACTTTTTCTATTTCACAATTTATCACAAAGTGTTTGTTATGTATATTTGTATATTAATATAATATCAACAATAAAATAAAAACATATACATGTATAATCAACTACACTAGGTTATCATATAAAGGTACAAGTCAAAAAGATATTCTTTTCTGTACAAAAATAAAACAAATCAAAATAGTAACAGAAAGAAACTAGAAATAACACTTATGTCTATGGTTTAACAATAAGGGTGTCCTCATTTGAGTTTTAATAACACAAAAATCCAAAAAGGGCAAAAAATAACTTTGCATATAAAACTTATGTCAATATTCAATGAGACAATATTCATTACAGTGGAAAATACCAACATCGACTTTTTCATTTTGTTACGATAATTCAACTAAATAGTCTCATGTCATGGCAATTGTTTTTTTTTGTTGTTGTTATTTCAACAAAAAATTAATACTGCAAATCTATTATTATTTTTCATTCTGTAATGATAATAATTCCATAGTCCCATGCCATGACAACTGTTTTTCAAAACAAAATAATGCAGTAAATAAATATAAAAAACCAAAATAAACAACAAATACTCTTAATATCGGTCACTTGTTCTGAGTTCCAAGTGCCCCAGAAATAATGTTTTCTTAAGTCTCGAAACTTTTGGAAATTCTCAATAAATCTTGAAATGTTTTGGCCCATCTGGAGGCATGCAGCTTCAGAATATGCACAAGATCGTATAAGAATTGTAATTTCTTTTGTTATCAATAGTATGCCCGTGGCCAGTTAGTTGACACTCTATATCAAATGATAACAGATAATAATGTAAGATTCTTCATTTAATGTTAGTCAAGAAATGCAGAAAAATGGCAAAATTGCCACTTGAGCACCATCTGTAAAAGACGTCACACATGCAATTTATATAGGGATGATGACGTCATGTCATTTCACATGTATACACATCAAATATGACTATATACGTAACAAAGATAAACATGTAATATATTATATTACACAGAGAATAAGCAATGTGAAACAATAAAAATATCCATAGAAATCACAGTCTTTTAACTGCAAAATTGATTTTTGACCTGTATTCTGTTGTTGAGCAACACCGAGATATGCTTCTAATCTATCTAAAACACATATCAATAATGAAAAAATGATTTACAAATTACAAAAGTGTAAACACAAAACAATCAATTTAAAAGTTAATATCTGTTGATATGGTTACAACAAACAATTATCTATCACATGACCCCACTTGATGCATCTTATATCCTGTCATTCTTGTATGCTCATACATGTATATATAGTTCCCAATTTTTACAATATTTACCTTCCTTGCTAAAACAGGCAACCAATTAATATTCTATAAAATACAACTGACAAAATATGAAAAAAATTTCAAATAAACAGCTGATTTGCGTGAATTGTCAAATTCTTTTATAACTATGCAGGAAAATATTATTATAGCACCAATACGTGAAATATCTTTTATCAGTTTTCACAAACATAATAGAATTATGAGAGATTTTTTCATCTTATCTTAAACCTATGACATATTAATAATGACCCCCAAAAGTGGCAGCCAGGGGAGGTAATAATTGCTTTGAGAAAAGCATCTATTCAAAAGTATAGTTTCGTGGAGTAAATTGCTTCCCTACAAGACAATGTATTCCACTTTAAGATAAGTTTTACATCAATATTTGACAAAATAAATGTAAACTTCATGGACCTTTACTTAATGGGTAACTAAAATACCGATGTATTATCTTCTTTTTTATATATACAATGTTACTTAAGTGTAATTCATACAAAACAATATAAATTTCTCCATTTAAATCAAATAGTTTAACAAAAAATGTGACTGCACAACTGAAAGTCTGAATAATCTTTGTATCCAGCCCATTAAGCCCCAAAAATGCATTTCTTTTCATTTCTCAAAACCTTTTTTTTAATTTTGGTGTTCTTTACCATTTCCGAAAGAAAGTTCTCATTATGTGTAAATCTTCATTTTCATTTAACACCATATAAAACATAGCCAATGTACACGCAATACTTCCAACATTATAAAATATAACCAATACATACCAAAACATATAAACAAAACATTGTCTGTACCATGTGAATAATAATAGAAATTATTATCGGATCCAGCATCATTTTTATTTTCAGAGTACAAAAGAAACAATACCAAAATGCACATGATACTCAATCGAGCCTCATTTTACTTTTTATTGTTCAAAAACCCATATCAACTCCTTACTGTTATTGAATTTACAAAGTTCTATCAAAATGTCAAAAATAGCAAAATAAAGAAAACGCTATACCGGTACATTGTTGAGAACAATACTGATTATATTGGACTCATATGCAGTTACAAAACCTATATCACACTTGGCTAGCCCCTAGTCCAATATAGGTTTCACTACTGTGTACTCGTCCAATAGAATTCAATATTGTACTTAACAATGTAAAATAACCACATAATATCTAAGTGTTCTTTATTTGTTGGGTTCCTGCATATTGAGGTATTCCAACATAATTGTTCTTTATTTGCTGGGTTCCTGCATATTGAGGTATTCTAACTGTCTAGCTCTCTCTTGGTCCCTTTTCAACAAGAACATTGCTGGTATAAATAGGACAGCACCAAGAACATACAAGCCAGGATACAAGATATATAAAGCTCCTGAAAATATAAAACAACAGGACTTTTTACAGAAATATAAGCTCTTTTTTAAAGTTTAGAAATATCAGCTCTTTTTTAAAGTGACCTTATGCTCATGCACAGCGCTAGTTGACTGTGTAACATTTGAGCCGCGTCATGACAAAACCAACATAATGGGTTTGGGACCAGCATGGATCCAGACCAGCCTGCGCCTCCGTGCAGTCTGATCAGGATCCATGCTGTTCGCTATCAGTTTCTCTACTTGTAATAGGGTTTGTAAGCCAACAGCATGGATCCTGATCAGACTGCACGGAGGCGCAGGCTGGTCTGGATCCATGCTGGTCCCAAACCCATTATGTTGGTTTTGTAGTGACGCGGCTCAAATTTTCTTTCCTATGAGCCTCAGCATCAAGTGTGTATACAACATTCTAACAGCCGTCACATTATTCCCAATTCAAACAGATTGGACCGTCCAGTGCATTATTACACAATATATGCATGGCATGAAAAAGGAATGCTTACACATCATGTGACATCAGATATGACATATCTAAACCGAATGACATCATAAAAAATATATCTACGCACAATGTAGTTCAACATATTTTTATCAATTCTCTTTTTATTGGCATGTTAGAAGGGAATTAGATGTCTATTTATTATGCTTTACAGTATAATAATGCATGGTTTATTGTTCAAATGCTTTGTAATGAATCACTTTATCCTGTTGGCGTACATGATTGTATTCCTGTGCCTTTGAACTTGAACCATGCAAAACTTTACAACACACTCAAAATTGATATCTACTACCTAATTTAAACCATGCAATCAACAAAATCCACATAATGTACTAGGAAAACTTACTCCCTGTCATTTTCCTTTTTATCATAAACATGGACCTTCTATAAAACCTGTAACAACAGCTGTCAGTATGACAGCAGACTTGACTATTCTCAGTGCAAGTTTCAAGTGAATCTCTTCAGAAGTTTACAAGATTCATGTTTGTATGAAAAACTTTAAACAAGAATTTTTTTATGTTCACAAAGTGCCATAATTCTATCAAAATCTAACAAGGCTTCTGTTAGTGGAAGTTTTCCTGATTTTGGCTAGTGACTTCAAAAATTTCTTGGTTTTTCTTATTTACCTATATAATATGACTTCCAATGTCTGAGAGTTTGCAGTCTCTGACTTCCAAATTTTGAAACTTAATTGATTGAGGTGAGAGTTTGCAGTCTCTGACTTCCAAATTTTGAAACTTAATTGATTGAGGTGAGAGTTTGCAGTCTCTGACTTCCAAATTTTGAAACTTAATTGATTGAGGTGAGAGTTTGCAGTCTCTGACTTCCAAATTTTGAAACTTAATTGATTGAGGTGAGAGTTTGCAGTCTCTGACTTCCAAATTTTGAAACTTAATTGATTGAGGTGAGAGTTTGCAGTCTCTGACTTCCAAATTTTGAAACTTAATTGATTGAGGTGAGAGTTTGCAGTCTCTGACTTCCAAATTTTGAAACTTAATTGATTGAGGTGAGAGTTTGCAGTCTCTGACTTCCAAATTTTGAAACTTAATTGAAACCTCAATCTAAGTCAGAATTACTGACCTTGGACAGTGCCCTCCAATTATAATCCCCCACACATGTACACTTCTTACAGCATCAAGTGAATACCTTCAGTTGTTAAAAAGATTTATGTTGTATGCGAAATTTTGACCATGATCTTTTTTTTTAAAGAACCATAATTCTGTTAAAATCCATTCTAATCTTATGAGCATTGGAAGGTGACCTCTTTTTAAGATCTAAAATAAGTTTGTGAGGTAACAAGTAATATATACCTCTCAATGACTGTGACTTAGTTAAACCATCGTTCTCAAATCCATCTTGTATTGGCGGCACCAGTAATGGCATATTTCCACCAATGTTACTAATAATGAACAGATAAACCGCAACTGCCGAGGTACGAACTGAGCTAGGCATTAATTCCACCACTATAGCCAGTGTTATCCCTATCCACATTTCACCTGTAATATATAAATAAACCACATGAATTTATGAATTTTATACATTTTTGTTATTTGTTTCAAAGGGTTTAACATCGCACCAGCACTGTAAGGATCATATGGTAACCTTCCAGGTTCAATGGTGTAGGAGGAACTCATGTGCCCCTACATTCATTATTTCAGGCACGATCAAGCACCTGAGTAGAACCACTGGCCTAATATTGTAATACACTATAATAGTTAAGTTATACCATTGACATCTTAAATTTAACAACATTTCAACCACAAGTTTATGTGCTGACTAAATCTAATCTGCAGCATTTCAACAAGATATGTTTAAGTTAAATACAGGATTTCAAGATGATAAACAAAAATATAAGTTGACTTCAGCAGTTCAACATGATAATTTATGTTGAACATAATAAATTTAAGTTAATTTCAGCATATTAACATGGTTTACTGTATTTAAGTTGAATACAAGTTTCAACATGATAAATTTCAAGTTGTATACAACATTTTAACATGACAGGGTGATCTGAACTTAACACCAATTCACTTATACAATTATTACTCACCAAATAAATATGTAGGTATTTGACAGATATAAGCCCAAGGTGGACTGAAAAATAACGTCCCAGCTGCAAATGGTGCTGCTAAAATCTGGAGAGAAACAACAACAAAAATTTGTTTAACATATTAAGGATGTAGTATAACACAGTAATTATCTCCCTTAGGTGATACAATGTCGTCAGATATCCATCCATTCATATATACATTGTGTACATACATGTTAAAGGGACTCCCCTGAGGTTTTTTGACATGAGGGGACTGGAAAATAATTTTTTAAGAATAATCATAAATGTAATGTTTCATTTGATGTAAGTCTAGAATAATAACTTGTGTACAAAGTTTCAGTTTGTCTTCTCACTCAGTTTTCTTCTGGTGAAAAATTACCCAAAACTGAAGTGATGTAACACTTTTCACTCAAACTGGGTTAAGAACAGCACAAACATGATTTTCTGAGGATATTTCTGAATTATCTTTCTGTTTAAAGTGCCCCTGCTGATTTATATAAGAAATTTATATTATAATTATGTTTTAAGGCTTTTTGACCTCAAATAAGTTCCTTAAATTAAACCATTTATAATTTTCATACAGTTTAACTAATTCTTACCAAAAATAATTTTTCTGTGCTTAAATAAATAATTATAACATGATTGCTGCATCATCATGTATTTTGTATGTCATAAAGGACTATAAGTCAATAAAAAACTTAATGCACTTTGAAGAAAAATTATCATGGAAATCACTTATTTACTTAAATACATGTTTTAAAGAATGACATTTTAAAATTTCAATTGCAATATAACTTTCCTTTCAAAAATGCCTATTTCAAATTCATGAAGGGCCGTAACTCTAACATTCAGTCATGTTTTAGTAGTATTTGATTAAAATCAGTTATATTCATGTCGAATTTTATTGGAGTCTAATAAATCACTTGTAAACTTTGGCTCAAAAACTTGCCTAACAAAAATCCCTTCTTTTTAAGTCATGCATGTTTAGATTTTAACAATAACTAAAAAGCAACATATAATAACAGACAGAAAATGGTAGATAAGAAATAAAGAAGATTAATATGAAAACTTGACTTACTAGACTAGCAATGATGACAGCTACTCGTGCATATATGCCCCTCCCCTTAACTACCCAGTCTGAGATAAAACCGCCTACAGCTACACTCAAAGTCCCGCCCACAATAGGAATCCAGCCCATGTATTTAGCAATATCTTCTTTACTTTCTCCGATACTAGTAAAATAAGGCTGAGTATTGTAAGCAAATACATAGCCAGCTGGAATAATAAAAGTGAAAAATAAGAATTCAAGAGATAAGATTATAGTTCAGTCATAAAATAACCCTCTCTTGTCCAGCTTATAGTGCTGGAACTGTCCACTATCATTTTTTTTGGATATCCAGATGAAAATTAGAGTAAGTTTATAGTATAGAACCTTATGGCAAATGCTAATAATTAATATCTTTTAAAGCAGCTTGCCTCCAGATTCATGCAAATTTTCATGAAAAGTATTGTGATGTAAATAAATGGCAAATGGCACTTACAATCCACATAATTTACAAAATCAAGGCAAAAATTTAGGGCCATAATTCTGTTAAATTTGGCCGCAGCGAAAATTCCTTCCTTTACTACCATCTACATATTAAGGTTGTTCATCCCTGAAAGTTTAAGCAAAATCTGCCATCTGGTTTAAGAGGAGTTGCGTTCACAAAATTTCTACATAGTATATAGTGAAAAAATCAACAAAGGGCCATAATTCTGTTAAATTTGGTCGCAGCAAAAATTCCTTCCTTTACTACCATCTACATATTAAGGTTGTTCATCCCTGAAAGTTTAAGCAAAATCTGCCATCTGGTTTAAGAGGAGTTGCGTTCACAAGATTTCGGGACAGACGGACGGGTGGCGTGACGGACGGACGGACAAGTGCAACGCTATATGCTCCCACTGTGTGGGGGCATAAAAACTGTAAAAACATTGCAATTTGCTTTTATTTACATTTATATTTTAATGAGGGTCATGATGGCCCTGAGTCGCTCACCAGAAACAACTGCTTTTCAGTGTTGGAAATTATCCATTGTCAATATTTTCTAATATTAAATTTGAGCATAGAATATGTTTAAACAATAATTTGAAGAAATGCCATGACCTGGGGCATTTAAGCTTTAGCTTAAACGGGGCCAATCAAATTAATATGAGCAAACTTGATAAAAGACTACCTAAGAATGCTACAAAGTTTGGTGATCATCTATCAATTATTTCAGTAGGAAATGATGTTCAAAGGTTTTTCTATTTTTAGCTTTAGTGGCCCCTAAAAGGGGCTAATCAAATTAATATGAGCAAACTTGATAAAAGAGTACCTAAGAATGCTACAGATAAAGTTAGGTGATCATCCATCAATTAGTTCAGTAGTAGAATATATTTAAAGGTTTTTCATTTTTAAGCTTTAGCAATTCACCAAATAAAGTCAATGTGCTTAAAAATTGGACAGTAACTTGTATGAATTGTTTGTCAAATTAAAAAAAGATTTTACCCGCATTTCTAACAGAACCTGCCAAAATTGCTAATATTAATGATGGTGCCATGAATGGTTTCAAGATGCGTCCAAGTTTTGTACAGAAGGTGTCATTCTGTGTTAAAGGCTCGTTCCCTTTGACGTCTGCTTCCTGAGCCTCTTTAGAAGCACTTTTACGTTCCGGTTCCTTTACTACAATCATGATGAGAATACCAATGACAATACCAGGTATCCCAGAGATGAAAAAAGACCATCGCCAACCCTAAAATTAAAATAAAAATATACTCTCAAACCCTAATAACAAAATAAAAATATACTCTCCAACCCTAAAATGAAATAGTAATATACTCTCCAAACCCTAAAATGATATATTAATATACTCTCCAAACCCTAAAATGAAATAATATACCCTCCAACCCTAAAATGAAATAAAAATATACTCTCCAAACCCTAAAAAGAAATAATAATATACTCTCCAAACCTTAAAAAGAAATAATAATATACTTTTCTTGCATATCAGACAGGATTTTCTTGCATATCAGACAGGATTATCTACCGTTTAACACCGGTGCTTGAAAACCCTGTCTTACACCCCCTTGTAAGACAAGTCACGTGCTTTAATGACCTCATTGCTGTGTGCCATTTATGGAGAAATGTTCACTAGGTAATCCTACATGCCAAATATTTAACCTCTAAGCATTGTAGTTTCACAAAAGAAGATTTAAATGTATTTCCCTCACTAATGTATAAACATAGTAGTCAAACAAACAAAAATGGGTTCATTAAATTTTTTCAATGTTTTTTTTTTGCGATCCTTACAAAATATCCTTATATAAAAGGAATATGAGTAAAAGAAACATTGCTAGTGAGAATATGTTTGGGACTGACCCTCATACCAACAATATAGCAGACGGGTATTATAAAACTACGCCAAAATTGGTAAAAATTTGAAATTTCACGTGAAGTTTGGATGACAATGACTTTGTGATATGAAAGGTAATTTCAGGGCTAATTTCATATGTATTGGTTCAACAAAATAGGTGAAAACAGAGATTTTTTCTCACATGCAATGTGTAGGACTGAAATGAATTTATATACATTGTATCTTTAAAATATTGATAAATTCTATATATTTTCAAATATTGTATGAATTAAAACAAAAATTATACATTAAAATGTATGAAAAAAATATTCGAGGCCACAAGTATGCAAATTCTAACACTGTTCACACTATATTTCCCTATCAAACTGATAGGGCAGTAAAGTGCATTATATTACTTGATATATGCACAGCATATAAAAGAAGGCTTACACATCATATGACCTAATAAAGCAAATGATGTAGGAAAATTACTTCTACGCTCAATGTAGTTCAACATATTTTTTATCAATGCTCTTTTTTTATTAGCATGTTAGAATGGAAATAGATATTATTTTACTTGCATTACAGTATAGTAATGCACAGTTTTTTGTTCAAATGCTTTGTAATAAATCACTCAAGCATATCGGCCTTATATTCCTGCGCATTTGAACAAGAAGACTAAAACAAAAATTTAAACTACATAGACCATACATAAATGTTATATTTTTGGATTTTGTTCGTCTCCATTTAATCTTGTCGTGATATTTCAGGTGCTTATGGCTATGTATTTTATTTCAGGCCTTTTTAAAAAACACTACAATTTTTCTCACCTGTCCATTTATATTAGCCGCAGTAATGAGATTCCCGAGAGCATATGACATACTGTATCCTAAATATATACCCCAGTTATATATCCCGAGGGCGGTGCCTCGTAACTCAGATGGGTATATATCTGTCAGCATCGATGCCACAAATGGAGTACAACCCGCTTCACTGAAAATAAAATTCACAAGTTTCACATGTCCCTAGCAATTAAAATTTTTTATTAATATTGAAGATTATTTATACTGTTGCACTATAACTTGTTTGCGTAAGTGTGTTTTAATATGTCCTTTAAACGTCTTACGGCTGAATCAAAATAAAGAAAAATCCATTTCATAAATTCGTTAGGGTAAAGGTTAAGAATATTTTTAAGCTGGCTTAAATTTTCTTTACTTGCAAAGGTTTTGCCTGTTAAAATTATATTTGTTACTTAACAATTTTGGAATGACATTTTGACCCCATTACATGAATGTACAGATCCTCTTAAAAATATGGAGAAAATCACATTTTTCTTTCTCCATTTACATTTATTGTCAATAGGACATCCAAAGTTTCAGTGCCATTTCATACAATATAATATTCCCGGTTCAAAAATTTTAATTCAACGACAAACCCATTTCACAAAATCATTCACCCGACTGTTAATTTTCAATATTATTAACGTACCCCGAAACCGAGGGCCCGAATCTCAGTATAACAAGCTGCCCAATATTTCTTTTGATAAATTCCCGTTCAATAAAGTTCATGTAGGACCAGAAGATGAGGGACAGGCAGCCAAGACAAAACTTTACGATTATATTTGTCCGCAGCAAAACTGATGAAAATCCCTGCAAAAGTATACACAACCACAAATACTGGCCCTGCAACAATCTGATATGCAAAACCTTGTCCATTATAATCCCATTTACAAACAGCGTGTGCCATCGTGCCATTGCCGACAGTAGTGCTCTCACATCTAAAAAACAAGAATACAAACTGTATAAGAATCTTACACCGGTTTCCGGTTCAGACCGGAATAATCTGACTGTTTCAGGCAGTAAAGACAAGCAGGCTCAGGTTTTGATACACAGTTCTGTTTTCATTATCAAGAGATTGACAATCCATATCATCAGTTAAAACTTAAAATAATGTTAAAATCGGTATTATTTTCTAGCCTGTAGATTTAAATATCCCCATTAACCCCTGGTCAAATCGGTTGTTTATAGTAAGCACATCTGTTGCTTAAGATAAAACCACACCAGTAATCGCCTGATTCTGATATTTCTCTTTGTGACAGCAATCATTTTTTCATATGTAATAACAGTACATGTATTTACACAAGTAGCATTATTCGAAGATTTTGCCATTTATGATTTTCTTGCACCAATTTACTCCTTTTTGTTGCAATTAAGCCAATAGGCGACTGCCAGCGGTAGACAATAGTAGTTTGAAAAAGACATAACAAACTTACAGAAGATACTGAATGAGTGTAGGTTCAATATTTAATTTATTGAACGAGTTGAAAAAAAAACATTATGTGAGTCCTAGGTTCTTCCTTACTGCATCACTTCAATCACAAACTGATCTTTTTTGCTTGTTTTTGGTTGGGTTTTTATATTGCACCAACTCAGTAGAGGTCAAATGGCGACTCTCCAAGTTTACTGGTAGAGAAAGACCTTGGTGCCCTTCCATGCATTATTTCAAGCACATACCTTGGTGCCCTTCCATGCATTATTTCAAGCACATACCTTGGTGCCCTTCCATGCATTATTTCAAGCACATACCTTGGTGCCCTTCCATGCATTATTTCAAGCACATACCTTGGTGCCCTTCCATGCATTATTTCAAGCACATACCTTGGTGCCCTTCCATGCATTATTTCAAGCACATACCTTGGTGCCCTTCCATGCATTATTTCAAGCACATACCTTGGTGCCCTTCCATGCATTATTTCAAGCACATACCTTGGTGCCCTTCCATGCATTATTTCAAGCACATACCTTGGTGCCCTTCCATGCATCATTTCAAGCACATATGGGGACCTGAGTAGAGCCACTGACAGGTTGCTGCTGTATTCTGAGGTAGAACATAATTAATGATCAATAACAAGCTAGCTACCTTTGAAACATATTATACTCACTTTTCCTGTTGAAGAGCGTCACATTTAACTTTACCGAGGTCACTCTCGGTATAATTAGTCATGATCATACATCCTTTGTCACCAAAATGTAGTTCTTGTGCCATTGGTTTAACTGTGATTGGGAGCATGTACCGGTCCAGTTGATTGAGTAAATACGTGATGAGAAAAATCAACAGCACGAAAAACTGATACGGTCCCACTTTTTTGAGAAACATTTCTGTAATAATTACATAATATTTGTTATAAATTCTCAAAATTACAATTATGAATTTTTTCATGCATTATATTCAAACATACAATAACAAACTGCAATATGTTATAGGCAAAAATTTACAATTTAAAATTTTTATTTACTTCAAAAAAATTACAACTTTTAAATAAATTTTAAAATTAAAATTTTTCTGTTTCCAATTTTATTTTTTTAACCCAAATTACACACTTTTCCTTTCTTTTACTGAACAAGCAAATGCACCCTTTAAAAAATGAAAACATTATTTTTGCTCTGCAAAAAAATTAAACAATTGCACCTATAAGTTTTTTTTCCATCACAATTTTACAATTAGAACCCTTTTATCAAATTTGCACAGCAAAATTACCCATTAAAAATTTTAGTTTTTTGTTCATTAAAAAAATACAATCTTTTTGTTTTTCAAATTTTTTAATCAATTAAAAAACCCCAATTTATTTACACAAAAATTTTTAATTATTTTTATGTTTGAAATTTACAAAAACACCTTCAATTTGGGTTTTTCCAAAAAAAACCAAATTTTTAAAACCCTTTGTAGTCTATTTTTTAAAAATGCCCAAATTCCCCGATGTATTCTTTTCCCAAAAAAATTTTGAAAGTTTAAAATTTTTATTTTTTCAAAATGAAAAATACAACCGTCCCCTTTTAAAATTTAAAATTCCCAAAAAATTAAAAACCTCTATTCTAAAAAAATTAAAACATCTGTAAGTCTTATTCCTTTTCAAAATTAAAAAATTTTCCCAACCCTTTTGGGTTGAAATTTCCATCAAAATTTACTATTTCAAAATTTTTTTTGTTTTTCCCAAAAAATCAAAAAATTAAACAATTTCAAACCCTTTTGTTTTATTCCATTTCATTTTGGGGAAATCAAAATAACAAACTTCATTTTATTTTTAACCCAATTCAAAATTTTAAACTATTTTAAAGTAAATACGTATTTCTTCTGTCTTTATCGGATCTTCCACTATTCAACTTTTTCGGTGTACAAAGACGCTCTTTCTCCGAAGAGTCTGAAACAGAACGTAAAATGTAAATAAAATATTGACACATATTACAGGACTTCATATGTGCTTCTGCTAACACATTTCATATACACATATGCAGAAGTTTATAAATGATCATATTTTTACTTGCAACAAACTATATATACTTGGTTCCTATGATATCATGGGTTCTATGATATCACAGTATTTACATTTTCTGCGACTGCTAGTAAAAGCAACACACGATGATGCTAATATTTTTAAAACTGGCACACTCAATTCATTTTCATCTGCCAATAAATTTAATTTTATGAATAATGAATGTGTTCATGAGAAGAAAACTATTTTATAAAATCATCATATTTGACTACTAATGTAATTTGATAATTCTATGTTTCGTGATCTTTTTCCCATAAAAAAATACATGTAATAATTTTGCAATGTTTTCCATGTACTAGTGCAATGTCATTTCACAGAAATGTTTTGATAATAAAATTAATGGTGCCGTAAATGCAATAAGCTATTTTTACATGGGCTTCTTGAATCAGGAATATTAAACAAGAGTTGAGCAATGCTCAACTATTCTTAGTGCTTGATAGTTAAAGAGCGTAGATAATGTAAAATTTTCTAAGTTAACAAAAGGGCAAATTTTTTCTTTAATTCCATGTTACAGTTATAGGCCTTGGAGAGGGTCCTATTATGCTCTCAAAGAATTGTTACTAATTTCAAAATGTTTCAAAGCCATATGAAAATATCTGAAGTGGTATGCAAACTTACATGTAAATTCTATGTTGAAAAAAGGGGCATTATTCTGCCAAATGCTTCATAGAGTTACCTTATCCTCTTTACAGGTTGGGGTCATGATAGTGAACAAGAGTGCAAAGTTTCAAAGTCATATGTCAATGGACTTTGAAAATTTTTGAGGTGTTACAAAAACTTTAACGAAAATTCTAAGTAAAAAAGGGGCATTATTCTGTCAAAATGCTTGATAGAGTTACCTCCTCTTGTCTACAGGTTGGGGTCATGATGGTGAACAAGTGAACAAAGTTTTAAAGCCATATGTCAATGGACTTTGAAAATATTTGAGGTATTACAAAAACTTTAACATAAGTGGTTACGCTGACGCCGACACAGACGCTTGGGTGACTACAATAGCTCTACTTATTCTTATCAAATAGTCGAGCTAAAAAAGCTAAAAACATGCAACGACAGCAATTCCTCACATGATTTTCTTGGTTTATGCCTATTTTTCTTCTCTGTTAAATATCAATCTGTGTGTGCCATTTTTATGCAAGAATGAACATTAACATTTATATGACACACATACCTTTTAATCAGATTCCGTCACTGATAAAAATTCTTAAAAAAATTATCTCCCAATAATATTTATCACAATTTTATCCTTTTCACTATTATATCCTCACAAGCTTTTGTCTGTTCAACTATTATCCATGATTACGCAAGTGACAATATATCAATTGTAACTTAAAACATAAATCTACTGATTTATAATATACAGACTCAGAACAACAAAAAAAGCACCCTATGTTCCATTTATTAACATTATAGACCTACAAAACTTTTTTTATCAGTTAATTTTCGGACACCCTTGATATAAATAACTGTACACTGTGATTAAATATGTTATCTTCTTACTAGCATACTAGTATAAAATAATCTTAAATATTAAAGTCAAAATTTTAAATTGCTAGGGACATATGAAATGCTGTGAATGGACACAGTGAACTTGCTAATGAAAGCTTTTACATTTATACTGCAACCTGAAAATGCAATTTTCCAGTATCTTTTCTGTTTTTATCTTTAACGTAATTATTATAATCTAAGGCAAAATATCATGACTAAGTAACTGGAAATACTGAATATCAGCCAAGCTGAAGCATATAGAACAAGCATTAAAAGAAAAATTTTCAATTCAAAATACATCATCTTTTTACATGGGAAATCATGTGTTGCCAAGTTCCGACATCGATGCCAACAAGAGCGTCAAGATGACAGCTTCTCTTTTTTTTGAAAAGTATAGCTAATAATAAGTTTATTTAATTTGTGTCATAAATATGTAAAATTTTCAAAATTGCAAAACCAGAAAAAAAGTTCTGTTTCCCAATATTAAACAACTCTCTGGGATTATGGGCAATTAAATCCTGAATATCTGGGACATGCATGCACTTAATGACCAATATCATTCTCAGCGATGCATGTAAAGAACAATAAGTCCAATATTAACCTATAACTTTGGATAACTTTTATAAACCAATATGAATTTGCAATCTGGGAAGCATTGAACCAAAGACCAATAATAAATACCAGTAATTAACAATACCTGGGAAGCATTGGTCTTACTGAAAACTATAAACCTACTATTGGGAAAGCATCATGGGTAATTCTAAGACCAATGGTGGCCTACTTCATGGAAAGTATTGAACTATATACATGTATACTAACAAAATATACACCTACTATCAGGGAAGCATTGAACAAATTTTACAGACCACATAACCTACTTCATGGAAAACCTTGGCAAATATATACTAACAAATACAAAGCTACTACATGGGAAGCATTAAACAAGATCTTACAGATCAATGAAAACCTAAAGCATGGGAAGCATTGGATTATAGTAATACATACATGTACTTACATTAATATAAAGCTAATTTCAGGGAAGCATTGGACAAGTCTTACAGACCAATAATAACTCTACTAACTGGGAAGCATTGGCCTTGGCGACCGATATGAACCTATCAGGGAATTAATTTAGGCTTAAGTACTAATTGGGAAGCACTTCCCTATACAAATGTACTGACATAAACCTACTATAGGGGAAATACACTAAGACTAAAGTACATGTAACATGAGACACATGTCAACAGCACATGGTTGGCCATGTGACAAATCCTGTATGTTTACATCATTGTTTGCTTGTTCCAGATAATACAAATTGATAAATTCAATATCCAAACTCATGATACAAGTTTTATCAAATGTTACTGAACAGTTCAAGATCCAGAACATGATTCAACACATTGAAATATCTGTCCTTTTTCTGATATTACAAAGGTCTGACCATCACATCTATTTAAAATGCCTAATATGGGTATTTTTTTTTCCAACTCTGCAGCTAGAAACCATTCCAAATTTTAAAGGTTAATTTTGTTTTACAAATAAAAAGTTGCATAATTTCTTGCCAGACTAAAGTCAAATAAAATATAAGAATAAACTAGAACTATCTCTGAATGTGATTTCATACCCTTCCCAAAAACAACCTTTGGATATGTGGAAAGGGGAATAACTTGCAGAAAAAATACATATTAAAGAAGATAAAAATTGTCTCCAGTGAGCATTGAAAAAAAATGTATCATAGGTACATGTAATGGCAATAATAGATTTAAAATCTTCAAATTAAGCTAGGAAAAGGTAACATTAACCTTTGATTGTGCCAATTTACATAAGTCAAGCGTGTTTACAACCCTAAAAATAGGCAGAAAAAGGTTTGTGACAATAGGCGCGGAGAGAACTGGTTAAAGCCATCGACTTTAAACCACTCGCCACTTAGCTCTGTGAGTTTAAGTCCTGCCAGGGACATTGAATTCTTTTACATGTGGAAGATATAAAGCTACATGTAGCTTACGTTAGGTCAGTGGTTCTACTCAGTTGCCTGTCATGGTTGAAATAATGCACCAAGAGGCATTCAAGGTCTTCTTCCACCAGTAAAGCCATAAAGTCGCTATAATTATATCCTTTACTGTGTTGGTATGACATAAAACCCAGCCAAAATAAGACTTTATGTTAATTGAAGAATGTGACTGAAGAAGATATATCAGTGTTACATATTAAAAGTTAATAGTCATGATCCATTATCATAATAATTGAATAGTTGAATGGAAAAAATGTCATCATCAGCAGTTTAATGGAAAAAAGCTAAACACACAGTCAATCCCCACTAGAAGTCATTCTCATCATAATATGGTTTAATTAATTAGGCACAACATCCATGAAGGGGACCCTTTATAATTATTTCAACAGTTGTGTGATGTCCTGAGATCATGAAGGGGGGGGGGGGGGAACTGTTACATACCATAAGTATCATGACCTTTTGTACTGTGATAATGTCAAAACAATAAATTTTTAAGTGATGAATCAGAAAAAGGATATAGCTTTAATTCTCTAAATCAAGATCGAGATCTGTTCCATTTGATCATGGTCTGAACTGTTGCCTTATTCAGTTGGTACATATTTAGAAATTTTCCCCAAAATGATGGTTATGTTCATTTAAGATATTAAGCATCGTAAGGGTTCATTATACCAATAATATATTCATGTACTTTCAAAGTAAATAACTAAGAGTTTTGTAGCTTGCTGAAATAATAGCCTTTCGATTTTGTATTGATCGATTATGTATTGATAAAAAGTTTATTATTCTTTGGGGCTCAACATGATAAGGATAAAATATGTTTTATACGATACTTGTTTTCAAAAGAGCATGCAAGGGAGATAACTGGCAGAAAATAGCTGCTGCAGTTGTATAACTTGCAATATATATGGCTTTCATATTGGAAAAACCAAAATATAACAATTTGAATAATTTTACCAATATTTTCTTTATCTATAACATGTGTCCATACAATGTACATTTACAAGGTTGCAGTTGCTTGACATATCATCACAATTAAAATACCTTTGTTTTTCTGTTTTTTTAAGCCTATTTAACTTATTTTTGGACGACAATTTGGACACATTTTTAGTCATATCTTGGCGGTCAATCCTCCTAACCAGCTTTCCTTAATTGACTTCTCATCGCACATGATTTCTGAATCAGTGGCGAGAGACAAATGACCATTATACTAAATGTCAGACAATAAATGCTGTAATTTCCCCTTGGTCGAGGATCGAACCATGGCCCCTCTATTACTTATCCCATGCTCTCCCTTAACATTAGCATATACAGTAATTGCAATACTGGTATACCTGTATATTGTTGCAACACTTATACTTACAAAATGTTGCAACGCTTATACTTACAAAATGTTGCAACACTTATACTTACAAAATGTTGCAAACACTTATACTTACAAAATGTTGCAACGCTTATACTTACAAAATGTTGCAACGCTTATACTTACAAAATGTTGCAACGCTTATACTTACAAAATGTTGCAACGCTTATACTTACAAAATGTTGCAACACTTATACTTACAAAATGTTGCAACGCTTATACTTACAAAATGTTGCAACGCTTATACTTACAAAATGTTGCAACACTTATACTTACAAAATGTTGCAACACTTATACTTACAAAATGTTGCAACACTTATACTTACAAAATGTTGCAACACTTATACTTACAAAATGTTGCAACACTTATACTTACAAAATGTTGCAACACTTATACTTACAAAATGTTGCAACACTTATACTTACAAAATGTTGCAACACTTATACTTACAAAATGTTGCAACGCTTATACTTACAAAATGTTGCAACACTTATACTTACAAAATGTTGCAACACTTATACTTACAAAATGTTGCAACACTTATACTTACAAAATGTTGCAACACTTATACTTACAAAATGTTGCAACACTTATACTTACAAAATGTTGCAACACTTATACTTACAAAATGTTGCAACACTTATACTTACAAAATGTTGCAACACTTATACTTACAAAATGTTGCAACACTTATACTTACAAAATGTTGCAACACTTATACTTACAAAATGTTGCAACACTTATACTTACAAAATGTTGCAACACTTATACTTACAAAATGTTGCAACACTTATACTTACAAAATGTTGCAACACTTATACTTACAAAATGTTGCAACGCTTATACTTACAAAATGTTGCAACACTTATACTTACAAAATGTTGCAACACTTATACTTACAAAATGTTGCAACACTTATACTTACAAAATGTTGCAACACTTATACTTACAAAATGTTGCAACACTTATACTTACAAAATGCAACATTTATACTTACAAAATATTGCAACACTTATACTTACAAAATGATCCCATATTTGAAAATGTATAAATCTAATAATCCAACAAAATTATAAAGAAATCATCTTTTATTAGTACATTTCATCAGAGACATAGATAAAGTTATCTACATCTCTGATTAAACTCATATGTATTGTATATAAATGTATAATTATATATTTCCATAATATTGGAAAGTAAGCTTCTTTACAATAGCAATATAAATCTTATATTTGCGTTTACTAGAACATTTTCCATCTGTTACCATCTCATTTGCATTTTAATTAGAAAAAGTTCCCAACAATAGAGGAAACAATAGGAACAGTACATATATGACATACATTAATCAGGGTCGTATTTAAGGAACTTGACTGAGGTCCCAAAAGCCCTAAAAACATTTGAAATTCTTGCATACATCAGCAGGGGCACTTAGAACAGAAATATACAGTATGTAGAAGATAATTAGGAAACATACTCAGATAAAACTGAAAATTATACTTTTGTGCTTTCCATAGCCTGATGAGTGAAAATGCTTTTCAATTATATTTTTTTATAGTTAGAATAAATATTAAACTCTGGAAAGAAGGAGTTAGCCAATGATTTGAACTTTTGCACACAAGTTGTTGGTCTAGACCTTCAACAAATAGTCTTATTATAGAATACTAACCTCGTGGAACTATTTCCAGTGCCATCATGTTAACTTTTTCCTAGCCATCTTTTATTATTTTGGGAAGAAATAACTTTTTTTCCTAGCCACCTTTTACTGTATGGGAAGATTTTTTCATTGCTTGACTATGTTGTTTCATATATGGGAGATGATTTTTTCCTAAACTACCATCTTTAATATATTGGAAGAGATAGTCATCTTTTCCTATATCCCTTCTTAAAAAGTTACATGGGAAGAAAATAGTTATGCTTTTCTAGTCGCCTTCTTCTATTATTAAGAAGAAATAGTCACTTTTTCCTAACCACATTTTTTCCTATATTGGAAGAAATATATTGTACAGCTGTGCATATATTTATAAGGAACATCATTTGCGTTAAATTCAAACAAAGTTGTGCTAAATATAAGCGCAGCACTATCAACGTGTCAAACCTAAAATATTTCGCATTTTGGATATGTGAGGAATAGAATACTATATCCATGAATCTTCATTACTAATCTACTTATTGTACTTGTTGAGTAAAATAATATTATACACACCAAAGGCTCACATACATAGAGGATATTGAATGAGTGTAGGTTTAATACTAAATTTATTGAATGAGTTGAATCAAATCATATAATGCAAGCCTCTGGCAAGATTCAACGAGTTCAATTAATTTAGTATTGAATCTACATGAATACTAGAACTCCGCGAGTCGGATGTGTCGCCTTTTGAACAATGTAGTTTAGGAGAAATGGCCAGGACAAAAATGAAATATGAAAAATAACAAAGGGCAATAACTAAAAAAATAATAAGTGCAGAGCAGCAGTTTCTGTGCACTGCACTTCTTATCAATAAGATCTATCATTCTATGATGTTTCAAGTCCATAGCTTTCATACTTGAGGAGAAATGACCAGGACAAAAATAAAGTAAGAAAATCAACAAAGGGCAATAACTCAAAAAATAAGAAATGCAGAGTATCAGTTCTTATGCACTGCACTTTTTCTTAATGAGATCTATCATCCTATAAAGTTTCAAGTCCATAACTTTTATACTTTCGGAGAAATGGCCTGGACAAAAATTAAGTATGAAAATTAACAAAGGGCCATAACTCAAAAATTAAGAAATGCAGAGTACCGATTCTTGTGCACTGCACTTCTTCTAAATGAGACCTATCATCCTATGAAGTTTCAAGTCCATAGCTTTTATACTTAAGGTGAAATGGCCCGGACAAAATTAAAGTATGAAAATAAACAAAGGGCAATAACTCAAAAAATAAGAAATGCAGAGTACCTGTTCTTGTGCACTGCACTTCTTCTTAATTAGACCTATCATCCTATGAAGTTTCAAGTCCATGGCTTTTATACATTAGGAGAAATGGCCCGGACAAAATTAAAGTATGAAAATTAACAAAGGGCAATAACTCAAAAATTAGGAAGTACAGAGTACCGGTTCTTGTGCACTGCACTTCTTCTTAATGAGATCTATCATCCTATGAAGTTTCAAGTCCATAGCTTTTTTAGTTGAAGAGAAATGGCCCGGACAAAATTAAAGTATGAAAATTAACAAAGGGCAATAACTCAAAAAATAAGAACTGCAGAGTACCGGTCCTTGTGCACTGCACTTCGGGTTATTGAAAGAAGCATGCATACCAAGTTTGAAGTCAATCAGACTTATAGTGACTGAGTTATGCTCCGGACAAGCTTTAGGGGACGCCAACAACGACGCCGACACAGACGCCGCCGCCGACAAAAGTAACCCCTATATGTCACCTTTTCAAGGCGACACAATAATATTCTATTTATCACATATATAAAATAGGAACTGTAAACTGTTAAAAGGAGTATTTTTTCATAGACGCGCCTATAGTCTTATGCTAACATTAGCGCACTTTAACGATACGTTTATATATAGCGCAAACGACGTCACATCAAAGTGTTATTACACTAGTGTAATATTGTTTTTATACAATGGCTTTATTACACTCCTGCGCCGCAGTTTATGTGATAAAGTAATATAATTTTACAAACTCCTCACAGTGATTTGATTAGCTACGCTCTGTGTGACACAGCAAAGATAGGCCACTGCGTTGAAGTTTGATAATTTTATTCAACCCTTCAATAAATCCAATATTGCACTATACACTCATTCAATATCCTCTATTATGCATTAATATATATATATATATATTACTACTCACCGTCATTATTAGTAGCTGGCAGGAGTCGAGACATATTGCACTATTTAAAATAACAAAGAGATTCTTTTTTTTCTAGGAGTATTTCAAAGGCTGAAAATACAAAAAAAATAATGTGTTACTTCATATTTGCTAACATACATGCCATAGTCTTACTGAAGTAAAGCATCAGTCATCTGAAAGCCAGTCCCAAACACGTTCCATCTGTCCACACACTGTCATATTTTATGCTTACTTATAAATAAGGTCTTTATTAATGTTTGTTTCGACTAGTCTACGTGCATTTGTGTATTGTTGTTTCTGAGAAGATATTTTTAGTAATCTATAAGTCAATGAAAACTTAGTGACTCCAAGGGCATGGTATTCTTGACTGTAAGTGCAGGACTTATTTAATTTTTCCGAAGGTCTGCTAGGAAAACCCTACCGAACATGCCAATTTCTAAGCTCTAGATAGGCATTGTAGTTTCACAAAAGAAGACCTGAATGTGTTTTGTTATAATATATATTCTAAATAAAAAGAAAGTTTCAATAACATAGAGACAATAACAAATTTTTTCTCATATTAACTCTAACAAAAATCATTGAACCAGAAAAAGCTGATAATATACACAACTAGACTTGGTACTGATTATCCCTGTAAAGATTTGATAAAATTGCACCACTAGTTTGTGAGTAGTCCAGACAAGCTTCTGTGTAGCTGGCAATACAAAAAAAAACTAGAAATGTGTCCATAGGACACGGGTGCCCCCACCGCGACACTGTTCTGTCAATCTTTTTACTAAGTCAAGGGAAATAACTCTACAAATACTGGATAAATCCACAAGCCAAACCCCAGGTGCAAATCTAAAATATGCTGAGCAACCTGCCTATAAGGTTTATTGACTATGTCAAATCCTTTTTGAGAATCTTGCGACACAAGTTGAAAATTGCAAAAATTTTCTACGTGAAGGGCAATTACTCTAAAATACTAAATAAATCCAGACGAAAATACCTGGTGCACAACTGCACATGCTGATCAATATTCCTGTAAAGTTACATGACTCTACGTCAAATACTTTTTGAGTTATGTGCGACACATGTTGAAAATTGCAAAATTTTACTAAGTCAAGGGCAATAACTCTGAAAATACTAAAAATATCCAGACGAAAATACCCAGGTGCACAACTACACATGCTGATCAACATTCCTGTAAAATTTCATGACTCTAGGTCAAATACTTTTTGAGTTATGTGCGACACAAGTTAAAAATTGCAAAATTTTACTAAGTCAAGGGCAATAACTCTAAAAATACTAAAAATATGCACACGAAAATACCCAGGTGCACAACTACACATGCTGATCAACATTCCTGTAAAGTTTCATGACTCTAGGTCAAATACTTTTTGAGTTACATGCGACACAAGTTGAAAATTGCAAAATTTTACTAAATCAAGGGCAATAACTCTGAAAATACTAAAAATATCCAGACGAAAATACCCAGGTGCACAACTACACATGCTGATCAATATTCCTGTAAAGTTTCATGACTCTAGGTCAAATACTTTTTGAGTTACATGCGACACAAGTTGAAAATTGCAAAATTTTACTAAGTCAAGGGCAATAACTCTGAAAATACTAAAAATATCCAGACCAAAATACCCAGGTGCACAACTACACATGCTGATCAACATTCCTGTAAAGTTTCATGACTGTAGGTCAAATACTTTTGGAGTTACATGCGACACAAGTTGAAAATTGCCAAATTTTACTAAATCAAGGGCAATAACTCTGAAAATACTAAAAATATCCACACGAAAATACCCAGGTGCACAACTACACATGCTGATCAACATTCCTGTAAAGTTTCATGACTCTAGGTCAAATACTTTTTGAGTTACATGCGACACAAGTTGAAAATTGCCAAATTTTACTAAGTCAAGGGCAATAACTCTGAAAATACTAAAAATATCCAGACCAAAATACCCAGGTGCACAACTACACATGCTGATCAACAGTCCTGTAAAGTTTCATGACTCTAGGTCAAATACTTTTTGAGTTACGTGCGACACAAAAGTGAACGGACGGACGGACGGAAGGACGGACGGAAGGACGGACGGACGGACGGACGGAAGGACGGACGGACAAGGGTAAATCTAAATGCCCGCCACTAACGTGGGGGCACAACAAACCGTTTTTTATTCAAGGGCCATAACTCCACCAAAAATCATTTAACCAGAAACTTGAGTAGATCTATATAATTCACAGTTTATACATGTAGTATCAGTAATTACTATATTTTTGTTAGAATTGTTTGATTTTGTACTAACAAGTAAAAGGTTGAAATATATTTGGATAGTATAAAGGGTCTGAGGACGGGGGGGGGGGGGAGGTACCCTGCCGGTGGTCCCATGCTGATAACCTGTGCCTTACACTAAATCAGTTGGGAAAAATATAAATTTTGCATTGAAAAAAATTTATTTATTTGTATAAAGAAACATTAATAAAGGTGAATATAACTCAGGCCTTTTTTCCTTACTTTTCTTATCTTTGTGAAATCAAAATACAAATCTAATCAATGTAAACTGAAACAAATTGGGAACTGATTAACAAAACAATTGCTTACTTGATATTTATATCATGTCAGTTGAATCCTACATTCAAACGATTTTCACTCATATGAAAATTATCAGGTTATAGCATCAAATGGATTAGGTTGCATAACTTGAGAACTATTTCTCATTTTCCCGTGTTTTCCCGGAAGTTACAAAACCTCCATTTGAAAGAGTATTTGGGGGTTTTCTCAAAACATTTAATTTATTCCACAAATTAAAAAAGGATAGCTATTTACTTGATATGCAATTTGAACAAATATTACGTGTTTATCTATATCATTCTGGTCTGCATTAAAAATGAATTATGCTCCAAACATTAACCTCAGTTAACACGTTGAACATCACACTGTTCTGCAATTTCTTAACTGTAGGGTTTACATTTATAGGCCTAATGAAGAATATTTTTAATTCATTAACACTGGTCATCAGATTTAAGACCAGATTTTTTTCTCCAATTTAATTTTTTCTATATATATATGCTTCATCAACATATTCGTCTTATCAGGTTTGTCCGCGGCTTTAATTAAATAACTATAGCCGTAGTTCAGTTTATAATACAGATTATTTTAGTTCGGTTTTGGCTATAATAAGCCTGTTAAAACACTCTTGAATCCGTTCCTGGAACCAACCAATGAATGTAAAGTTTCTTGCTCAAGGAAGTAACTTCTTGCCTCTGACGGTTTGAACCCACTCCGTCAGCAATCCTTAGATTACTAGACGTAGTTTGTTGCAAGATATGAGATAAGAACTTGAAGTAGGTTTGTTTTTTCCTAGTCCCTACCAGATCACCAGAGGGGACATCAGGCTATATATGTTTATCCCCCACCCTCCCCTCATTTAAACCCCTAATGTTGTCGCGGGACATCTTTTAGTTCAGTTAAATCTTCTTACGAACACGGACTTAAATTAATGTCTGTGTTAGGAAGTACAATGAAAGAATGTCAAATTTTATTGATTTTATGGTAAAGACCTCAATTAAGTAGCTTATTGTTTAGCATATTATCATGTTATAATAAGATACTAGTACTTTATCAGTCCAGTTTATTACTACAGTAAAAACCCTCAATTAAGACCACCATCGGGACTAGACCAAAGTGGTCTTAATTGCGGGGTGGTCTTAATTGTGGATATTCTTATCTTTGCTTACACACGATATGACCAGGGCCTATTTTAGTCATTTTGTATGAACAAACAATATGTATCTTAACCTGCAAATACAATATAAAGTATATATTTTATAATGTTACATCAATTCAATTCAATCTTTATTTAGCAATCGGCATAAATATGCCCTTGGCCATTTACAAGTAAATAATTATAGAATATGGCCAAGACAAAATAACATATCAATGTACAATAAAAATTCAAATGCATATGATTAATCAAACACATAACATATAAACATTACAATGCAATGAAAATAAATCATTAAATATCCCATAAATAACAGCTTTTGACACCTTGTGTAATCAAGTGTCATGCCTAAGAGCAATCAAGCAGATAATAACAACATAACAACACATTTTAGATCTAGGAAGGTGTTGATTTTAATATCAGTGGTCTCAATAGTGAGGTCAAATAAAGAACAAAATAAGAAATTGGGACTGAATTAGGTGGTCTTAAATGTGGATAAGTGAGGTGGTCTTAATTCTGGATCATGTAACCATTGACATAAAGAACAGAAAATTCCGTTCTTTTAAAAACTGGTCTTAAAAGCGGGGTGGTCTTAAATCCGAGGTGGTCTTTAGTAGGGATTCTACTGTACATACCTACTTTACATTGGAATTAGTAATATTCACTTTAAATAAAATCATCTCCTACTCAAAATAGCATGTTTTTTATCATAAAGTTACTATAATTTTGTAAGTACATATACTAGCGGATACAATTGAGGTTGGACACCTAATAGCCCATTAAAGGAATTACACTGAGGTCTATTAGCCTAAAATAATAGAATTTGAAATTCTTTCATAACTTAAAATTGAAAACTATACAATTGGTACTACATGTATATAAATATACTCGGTATTAAATGGATAATGTATTATAATGTCATCTATATTTCACGATTTTGGGGGATTTTCATAAATATACAAAATTGATAAAGGGAACCACAATTATTTCAGTAAAATTCCATTCAAATTCGTCAGTGTCGGCTTATCGAACACATCTACCAGGTATATCTGACCGAGTTGCAAATCCAAATCTAATCAAATCTAGGTATAAGAAAAGAAGAAAATAACAAGATAATGGAATGGACAAGAAACACAAAAATAAATAAAAATCCATATCAGTCAGATAAGCCCAACATTTCTTTCGGCAGCAACACCTTACTTTTTCCATGATTCATGCATATAATGGTCCAATTGGCCTCCCGTGGATCAAAATAGTAAACATCACACAAATCACACAAGTTGTTCCTGCAATGAATCGATCCATCTATTTTTTACATAAATCAGCGTATTCAAAATGTATGTTTCACCGTAACGTTACGGCATTACGTCAACAACGCTTTACGTGTACCCGATCACTATCTTTTAGAATACAGATTTTCCTTCCCTCGATGTTTTATGCATTAATACAAGCAGCATGCATTTGTTTGTTCAGCAAAATGTGAATAGATACGTGATAAATGTAATCAGAATTTCTGTTTCTAGACTTAATGAACATTTATCAGACGTGTCCACGTGTTTTTTCTTTCTTTTTATTTTCATATTTAAAACAGAGAATTTTATTAGTATTTTTATATAAATAGTAATGCTTAAAATTAGTAATTTTCACCAAGAAATGAAAGTCTCTGAGAATAAGATTGATTTCTATGCTTAAAACTCGTTATTCTTAACCTGATTGCTTTTTGCAATAAAAGAAATACATATGTATGTGTATATGCGTGAGTGGTAAATATAAAAGATATTGTGTCTATGACCTTTACTGGTGTTTTTTCTTCCCTTTACCTATGTCTTAGAGGAACAAGGATAATATTAAATAGTTTGTCCGTGTGAAATTTATGAATAATAGTGACATGGTTTTCTAGATTTATTGAAATTTGCGATAAAATTTGTTTGGTCAATGTACATTGTATAACTATCTTTTTATTCGTAAGAAATTAGCAATATTACCAGTTGATTAACGAATGTAAACATTTGTTAGCTTTGTTTGTACTTGTGACTCAAAATATGTCCAGAAATTCTGATATGGAAAATCAAAACATCGACTACCCCTGCAAAACCGGTAAGGAATGAGTTTTGTTAAGAAGAGTCGAAAAATCTAAATGAACTACAAAAAAATTGAATATTTTCTCATTGTCAATAATTGACCTGTAAGGCCAATGGATGTTTCCCTTCTGGTTGGGTCGGTGCAAGGGGGCGTGCATGGGCAGTAGTTGCACATTCTAGTACCGTCCATGAACAAGCACTGAAACATTTTTGGCGTTCTGTTCTCCCTATGGGATATCATGTTACAGGGATAGCGCGGATTTGAAAGTGTTGTGCACCTAACAAGTAATCATTCAAATTTCGTAATCGTTTATTTTCGGGGTGATTTTGTGTGATAATCGCCGTTTGAACACATCTGCGGTTTTTTAAATTTGAAATTTCACATTTTTTGTGTTAAATTGTTAAATCTTAAGCCGGTGATAGGGGGCGTGGACGGTAACTTGCACTTTCCAGTACCGTCCATGAATAGGCTCAATCAATCCGAGCCTGCAACATTTTCAATTTTGTCTTTTTGGCGTTCTTAGCGATTCCGTTTTCTCTATTTTTTAATTGAGAGTGTGTGTTTGGGAGATATAAATAATATTCTGGTCTGATAAATTCAGATAATACATCTATGAAGTTTATAATATGCTGTGTCATACGTGTATGCTTTCATCATAATAAAGACTAGTACATAATGTCTTTAAACCAGATATAGAAAATATGTTTTACAAAACTCGAAACACACCAGATCACGTTTCCTTTATAGTTTGAACTATCCTTTTGTCGTTTAAACACTTTGAGATAACCCCTCCTAACAAAGGACCTGTCAATTTTATCTTCGGGGTGCCTCCAGCCTAATTGCCTTTCAAGGTGTTTCATTGGTTAATCGGAAACTATCGAGGTCATGACCGCTATTCGAGTGTTTTCATTGGTTGATTTTACCGGAAAATGATGATGAATGCTCTGCGGCAGCCATTGCTGAGGTGAAGTGAACCAGAAATTAACACTGTTGTGTGATTTTATTTGAAATACATCCTTCATGTAATCGGATCGGATTAGATACATGCAGTTCGATACTGCAGCGTAGGAATTCCTCCATTTCTTACCACTCGGTGTATTCTAAACGGTATATTTGTGCACATTTCACTGATTTATTCTTGGAGATATACAGAAAAAGACTGCAAATAAAAAGCAGAAAAAGAAATGGATCCCGATCAAAGATTGATGCACCCAAGTGGTACAATGAACAATAACACAGGTGGTATGAATATGAATCAGGGCTATAATATGGGTCAGACAGGTCACGAGGAGCCTAACGATCAAAGAAAGCAAGAAATAGGGGACATTCTTCAACAAATCATGACGATCACAGACCAGAGCCTGGATGAAGCCCAAGCAAGGTCCTGGTAACACCATTTCAAGTCTTCTTTGAAAACTATATGTTGTATCATGGATAGTGGTTGAGTCTGGTTGTTGGTGTTGTCAAGGAGCCTGGTGCATGAATAACTGGCTGAGCTAGGATTAGCCTATAGTTTATAGCTGTGGCCAACGTACTGGTCTCTTTGCAGACCTGTGTCATGCTTTAGTTAGAAATCACTTGCTTGCATGCTTAGTTGTTATAGAGGAAAACATAGTTTTGAAATATGAAGTTACAACTTAAAATTGTAGAGGGTCAACTTAAAACAAGTTAACTGGTGGTTCTACTGAATGTAGAACATTTTTGCCAATTTCTTGACAAGAGATTTAAAGAGAATTTTAAGTTAAAACTTTATTTTAAAACTTTAAAGTTGTGCAACTTTCTATGAAAATTCTAAATTTAAGAATACACAAATGTACAGCTGTATACCTTTTTAGAAGTTAATAGAGGTTTACCTTCATACCCTAGTCGAAATTTAATATATATATAATTATAATGACTATATATAGATTTTCTGTTTGGATATATATATATTTCACTGGGAGACATCTTCCCAGATTCTTAGGCACTAGTTCACAAGTTCATATACACAGTTTAATTGATAGAAAGTCACTTCATATACGTTTAGATGTTGATACAAATTTAATTAGCATGTCATGGCAATTTAGATTTTGATTTAAACCTGGGAATAATATTACAAGCAACAGGATACTGGAGATTAGCAAATGCATTATTTCTGTCTTATCAATCCACATGCACCATTTATTTATTTTGTTGATTCTTGTGAAAGATCATTTTTTGTGAAAGTGAATAGTGCTATTAATAAGAGAAATATATCTAGGCCAACTGGCGGAAGAATTTCTGACATACCTTTGATATTTAAATGGTCTATCTTATTCTTTTCATAATAATGTACTCAACAGTTTATCGATTAATTGAATGCCGACATAAGATAAGTTAAATTTCTCAAGAAATTTTAAGAAGCAAATTGAAATAGATAATTATGCTGATTAAAGACAGCAGAAGTTTTAATGCTTCCAAGTTCTTAATTATTTTATAAGAACTTTAATGATGACTTTTTGCTCTCATTTTAATGGTAAAGGGATCCAGGTGCCATCAATAATCAACTCCATCAAAGAAGCAAGCCAGGTATTTGGGGGTCAGTTCTGTCCTTGACCTTTGAATAAGAAAAAAACATATACATGTATATCCCGTGTATATCATTCAGACAATATTGATGAATGACTTTATTTTGTGAGATATCAAAGTTTTTTTTTGTTGGATGTTTTTTATCCAACTAGTCTGGAAAATTGCAGATAACTATAGTTAAAAGAAAACCTATGCAGAGAAATTGTTTGTTCTCTTATAGACAAAGCATGAATTCTGTAGTGTTTAATTTCTTACTATTGACAATTCTGATAAACAGACCCTTTTACAAATTACAAGATTTCATGATTCAGGTCAGAAAGTAACATTCATCACTCAGACTGACCTTAAATATTTTTTTTAATTGATGGTACATAGACCCACCCTAATGAACATTGAACCTTGGTTGATAAATTTCACCATCACATCCTGGTATAGATGTTGTAACACAATTGTGTGCCTGCTGGGTTACCAAACGTGGGTAGACATCATTCTCACTCTCATATGACTCGTCAAATTATATAATCATGAAACAGTAAAGTCTACTTATATATAGGTGGTTGGTGAGTTTTGCTTATATTTTAGGCCTAAAATCCTAAATCTGTTGTTTTCAAATTTCATTAATTTAATTGTTTGCAGTACTTCATGCGTGTCTTTTGAATAGTTTTAAACATTCCTAGTGCAGCAATACACAATAACAATTGACATTATGATTTAATGGGTAATGTATTTATTTTACTTTCACATATCCATTTAAGAAATAAATTGCTTTTTACTTCGTCTGTGATTTTTATAGAAATAAATTTTATAAGCATACTCTAATTAATAGATTATGAAGATGTTGGATATATAAATTTATTATAATATGGAAAGTCATCAAATGGGGTTCGCACCAAATGTATAATGTTTAAGAGATTTTTGCCTAGTTTAACTTTAATGATAAAACTTTTATAACTTTGAGACAAACCTTGAATTTATTTTCCCCAAAATTAGGGAAGAGCTGCTTCCCCAGCCTGTGAAAAAAAAGCCATGGAAAAAAGCAGAAATATAAGACCTTCCTTATTTTTGTTAAACTTTTTAAAAAGATGTTTCCATTTTCAATGCTGTACTTAATTACGATTATAACTGAATGAATAATGGACATATACATTAAAAATTGTTTCAGATTTTTGTTTCTATAGCCTAGCTTAAGCTTGAGCACAATTGCAGAACCCTTTACTTGTACATGTATGACGTCAGAGCATGTTTTTTTGTATGACATACCACTTGAAATACCATTTATAAAAAGGTTTAATTACTCTGAAATTATTGAAAAAATAAATATAATTGAGAGTTAGTCTTAAAGTTTCAAGTAGAACAACAATTTTTAACTTGACTATTCAAAGAATAGGGAGAGCTTGTGTTTGTGTTGGCATCACACTTTGGTTAAGTTTTTACATGCACTTGAACAAGTTGGTATCCAAACTCCAAAACTACAGAAGAAAATATATTGCAACTTCACATTTCTCTGTTATGACATTACAATGCTGACACAGGCCCTGTAACTCTTGAGTTACCTTTGTATAGAGTTATGTCACTTTTCTTTCTGTAAAGCAGGGAATTGTCCAGTATGTCTTACACACAGCTCTTGTCTATATACAAAGCTGTCTAATTTGTTTGCCGCTGATGTACACTGATCACTGTTTTGTTTTTCAGACCACTGCTCTTGTTTTCAGGCCACTGTTTTGTTTTTCAGGCCAGTGTTTTGTTTTTCAGGCCACTGCTCTTGTTTTTCAGGCCAGTGTTTTGTTTTTCAGGCCATTGTTTTGTTTTTCAGGCTGTCTTTTTCATTTCTCCTTTAAAATTTTGAGTAATTTCTAAACATGGGATGCAGATTTCTTCTCAGTTTAAAATTATTTTAGAAATATCGTAAGATATATAAAATGGTCATAGATTCTAAGTAAGGCATGTCTTTTCTAAAACAAACAAACAAACAAACAAACAAACAAACAACAAAATTTCTTAAGAGATAACGAAACATAATTATTTTATATCTGATCATTCTTATGTAAACAAAGAAACTTCAGAACTAAATTCAACTTGATATGGTAAATGATAAAGAAAGTTTTATACGAAATTTATACTTCATAGTAAAGTGTTTCAGCAGAGATTATTTGATATTATATTTTGTTTGTGTTTATTTGTCGCCATAAACAAGTTGAAAAAAATATTAATGTGCATTTTGAATCAATCTAATTAATGACATTAATTATGTTCTTGAAAATAAATTGTATAATTGAAGATCTGCTCGTTTAATACATGTATGTATATCAAGAATGACCCTTCTTCACCATATTCTCTTATAGGAAACACACCCTGAATTGTCACAGAATGAAGCCTGCTCTATTCAGTGTTCTATGTGAAATCAAAGAAAAGACAGGTATATATTTCTAGCTATATTTTATATCTTTACAATTTATTAATGTTGTCAACACATTTTGTTATAGATCTTTTTAGTTTATAATTTAACCGGATATACTGGATTTAATATGCAGGAACATGTAATTGTTGAGGTTATTTAGTTTTGGTCTAACATGCTAAAATCAGATACTTGGAATTGTGAAAATGTATGGTTACCATAGCAATGGTATATGTATGTGACCATACATTTTTTTCATATACAATGCCTGTTAGTAGACCTTAAGGATGATACTTGACCTTAGCAAAGCTATTTTTTTTTCTTCTTAAATGGACGTGTCCAATTTTCAATACAGACTAAGGGTGTAACGGTTTACCGGTATACCGATATATTGCAATATGAAAAAACAAATTTTGTACCGCGGTACGATTTTTTGAAAACAGATATTTTATTAAAATCATATTTTTCAATTAATTGCCTTCTAACTTTGTACAAATTTCACATAAAATCTTTAATTGGGGAATTTGTTGGCGCCAACGTAAGATAAAAGTATCCGACAACTAGTACACTTAAAAGTCAATAAGCGGCCGCATAATTTACATTAGCGGCCCAGATGTGGAAGGTCACACGCGACTAGTTTTGTGACACTTAACTTTCTATTTATTCCTTACATTTTATTAAGTTTCTACTAAAAATATATACATATAATAATAATATATAAATGTTACTCCTTACCTCAAAACATATACATGACAATACGTATTGCAATATATTGCAATACGCTTCAGCAAAATGGCAATATATTGCAATACGGTTTTTGCTGTATTGTTACACCCCTAATACAGACTAAACCATTTATAATTTTATGGGTAAAATTTCATGATAATTAACTGTATTGACTGAATAGCCAACAATACAGACCATGGTCCGACTTGTCCAATCTTGGACTGCTCTGGTCACAATGGTTGAGTATTTGCCACTAGAAGGCTAAGAATTAAACTAAGTCTCATTTTTAGCAAAACTTTTACAGACGTGTCGGCGTTGCCATCCACAAACTTTATTATAACAAGATAAGTTCTTGTTAGTGCTCTTGCAACTATCCGGTTCTTAAAATACAAATTTGAAACACCGGTCTTAGGTTATACTGTAAATAAATTATATATATATATTTATATTTGCACAAATATAATTATATGAAAACATTATTTTGTTAATTACAGTTACTGCCTAACTATTGTTCAAAGTGGATTTAATTAAATTAATTTATTCAAAAGTTCATGGCTTCCATCTAACTTTGGCAATTATATCAGAAATCAACTCTCTAAAAGCTACCCACATGAGTATTGTTGTAATTCACAATAATTTGACTTTAGTTTTAATATTAAAAATTGACTTGTAATCAATTTCATGCTTCACAATATACTATATATATATATATATGCTAATTGTGATACACATGTACAATGTTCTTCACAATGATTTGGCTATATATAAAGGTGGTGACCTGTGTTCAATTAGGATACAGAAAAAAATATTGCAAAATCATATCGCACAGTGTACCATTCTTTATCATTTAAGATAAGAATAGATGGAGATAAGAAAAAAAATGTTGAGCGCCCCCAGGGCAAATTATACAAAGCTGTCAGGCGAGTGATGGATCATCTTGAATTTTTTCTCTTGTTGTGTGAGTTAATTGCCTGAGGGATGTATTGTTTTATATGGTTCGGAAGATAACCCCTCCAAACACCTCAGTATCTTGTGTGAAACAATAAGTTACATGTACATCTTAATAACTGTTTGTGGTGTAAAATAAAATCACACAGATTATGCAGTAAGCATACATGTAACTAGAGCTTCGATTATGTTCCAAAATTTTGAAGAGAGACTGCAAAATGTGGCATTGGATGTCATATTATATTGGTAAAGAAGGAAAAGTATTCTTTTTTGGAAGTCACTAGCCAAAATCATATAGTAAATGACTCCCCAACTTCCACTAACGGAAGCCCTGATAACTTCAGTAACTTAAGTGTTCCAGAGAACTTTTCAGTCCCTCTCCCTATAACTTGCTAAAATGGTTTGTAATGGAATTGCCCAGCTTTGAATATGAATCAGTCCATTCAAAGTTGAAGAGATTTCAGTATCCGAATACAAAAAATGGACTTGTCAGCAAAACCCATTTATTATTTTGGGGGGAAATTTCAAAATATGTATTGAATGAATAGCAAATAATGCAGACCATGATCAGACGGCCCAAAGTCATCGTGCTGGCGATCTGGTCTGCACCGGTTGCCTAATGGAGCAAAGAGCTTGTGTTTTGGGTTCATACAAAGTGCTTTGGAGGCAGATATACTATCAACTTTGGGCTTGACTTAAAATGGGTTGAATTAGGCAATTCCCATTACGCATGGAAATATGTTTGACTTTTTCTCCCACATCAATTGAATAAACGTGCGTTCATGTTGTACGGACAGACAAAAGTTTTAAGGATTGTTACCGAGTGTTAATGATGTAAGCACATTTTATTTCAATGACACAATTGCTGCATGAAACATTAATGTGTGAGTGACGGGCAAGTTTCGTAACTAACTACATTTCGTAAACTTGTGACGGCTGCGTGGAAGGCAATTTGTACGCACTTTAATGAAATACATCAAAATGCTGAATACTCGTGTAACAATTAACATTGATTTTCTGTCAAAAAGCCATCATACTAATTTGAAATGTGGATGACTTACGAGTAAAATTCAATTTTGAAAAATGATGTAATTCAATGCCTATTGAGTTTTGTGCTCTTAATCTTGGTTCATTAAATTCAACAGTTGAAAGAGTTTATTTGAAATACAAGCGGCACTATTACAAATGTTAACAATTGGCAACGATTAGTGTGCGTTGCAGGCAATTTAGCTTTAGATATAAGATGAATTTGATTAGATTGAAAGTGGAAATGTAGAATATGTTCTTAAGAAATTTGAAAAATGATTCCTTAAGCAAGTTTATACATTATTATTGTTAGTATTGTAAGAATGTACATATTGGAAAGAGGGGGGTAGGAAATAATACTAGGCGTAAAGGTATCAAGCAATAAATTGGAAATTTTTTTAATTATGGGAAAAGATACATGAAAATACTTAAAGAAATAAGATTAAATCAAATGTGTGTCAAATAATATTGTTTTTTGAATAATTCATTATTGAATAAATACAAATACTTTTTTCATAATTTATATGATTTTCTAAATTATTTATGCATTTTTTGAGCTTTTTTTGTTTATATAGATGAATATATGTATTAAATACACTTTTAACAGGAATTTAGAATCGCCCAAGTCTTCAGTGGTGAAGAAATTTTTTTGATGAGTCATTCTGAAAGAATATTTATTTTATAAACTAGAGAGATCTCATGAAAATACAGCAGAATTGTGACTAGACATACAATTTTAATGTTATCAGTTGTTGGGGATTATTTTTCAAACAAAATGACAAGATTATCTAGAAGATCATAAATCAGGGGTGGTTATAGAGGAATAAGACTGCTAAATGTAAGCCTTCCTGAGCAAATTATAGGCAGATTTGAGGCTTTTCGTCATTTTTTATGCAGTTTTGTCTGTTTTGTTCCGGCAAGATTTTTTTTTTATTTTAGATTTTTTTGTTGTTGATATTTTACAACTTTAACACCAGTGTAAGGGCTATGGAAGTGCTGAAACTTTTTTATCCTATCTTATCTAATGGCTTTTAAACAGACCGTAGAACTAGAGCTAGTACTCACTACATTGACCAAAAAAATTTATAGTGATGCATTTTGTGGTAATTTTAAAAATGGTGCAATATTTTGGTAGATTTTCAAGAGAGATACTGAATTCCATTTTATAACTAAGGAAGGCCCAGAATTCTGCTTGTGTTGAATGATAACTGAGTTCAGCCTTCTACTTCCACCAGTAACCTTAACAGTTGTTCTGATGTAACCTACTGCAACAACCAACAAAATCTGTTAGAAAAAACAACACGGCTAATCTCTTAACACAATTATTTGTTAATTTTTTGGTCTACATAATACAGTCTGGCTAAAATGAAGCCAATAATATGTAAGAATAATTTTACACCTGCTTCACTATTTAAATACACAAGTGTTGACACTTCACTTAAAAATAGGAATCAGAGATTTAAGATTTTACAGTCAGGAATGATATCTACAAAATGAATGGGCATTTTATAAACCTTGAACAAAATTTGGGATTTGTCACAGTCAGAACATCAATGTCTGTTTATATCTCCCATAATCCTCATGGATTTTGGTACATACACATAATCCACATGGATTTTGGTACAAACACCCGGCTTGTCATCTGTTTTATCTGTTTAAACATATAGATTTTGCTGATAGTCATAGAAAATATTTGAAATTGTTTCCCTGACATTGATATTTTAATTTTAAGACTAAGTAGGGTCACTTTTTCAAGACCCATAACTGGAATGAATTTTGAATAAGGTATGAACGTTAATGAATTTTCAAAATAATTGTTCGGTATCCATACATTGTCTTGTTTTTTTGCGGAACTAAACCTTCCTCTTTCTTTATTCCAACATTAGTTAAATTTTTATAAGTAAATTTTTCCAAAGGAATTGAAGAAAAACATACTTTTTTTAAGACAGGATTTCAGTACTGAAACTTTTGTTCAGTCAAAATCTCAAATCATCAATTGAGATTTTTATAGGCCAGTCAATCTCGTAACATGTGATAGAAATAAATTTATGAGAATACAAGTGTTAAATATAATCGATACCAAATGCAATTCTGATCTGTAGATTAGATTGTATCTTTTTATTTCCTTCTTTTTTGGTTCTCCTTGTAAATGTGATAGGAACGTTTGTTTGATTAGGGATATGAATAATCTTGTGTGATATTTAGCTGGTCTTGATTTATTCTGTTTGATAAGTGATAAAAAATGATAAAAAATCTATTGCTACTATCTTAGGTAATAGATTTCAAAGACAATAGAATGATTGTCTATTGTTATAACACCCATACCCCCCCCCCCAAGTAGTGATGTCCGATTCCTTATCCAAATGGAAATAAGAAATAAGTTTTTGGTTCCCCATCAACATAAAAGTTGGTTTTCAGGACCTTTTAATGGAGTTAATAAAAAAAAAGTTATGTTTTTTTTTCCCCCAACAATGTGTTCTGGTTTTATACTTATCATAAATTTAGGACAGTTAAGAGACTTTCTTAAGATTTTATTGATAGTTTACTGAATACCTTATATTATATTTTTTTCTTTTTCAAAAACATGTTTATTGCTCTATGCCTTTCAAGGAAAATGCCTAGAAATGCTAAAGAAACGAAAGTATTTAAGGTGGTGATGTATTGTTACTCTTCATTCTTGCTTGACTTATGTCTTAAGAGTTGTTTCAATGAATAAGTTACATTACTGGAAATTCTAATGTACACTCCCAAAGCTAACTACATTAAAATTTCACATGTATATAACATCTTAGTATGTCATGAATAAAGATTAAGAATTTAAATACGTTATTTTAAGAACTGACTTAATTCTCCCACTGGAATTTAAATCATTTTTTTCTCTAAATGTATGAAAATGCTGAAGGGCATTTTTGGAAAACATCTTTTTTCTTTTTTCCAAACTAATATATAAATGAAATGTTAACCTTTATAGGCTTTTTAAGAAAATTGTTTTTGCAAAATAAATCATCGTTTCAGAATGAAGTTCCTTTCATTTCGGTGCTTTTGATGTGGTGCTTTGAATTTAAGTTTATCTCTTATTCTTCGAAGACGCAGGCTTTCGAGATCTCTTGGGACGTTCTTTTAAAAGCAGTCGTGGAAACGTCTGCCTGCTTACTGTAGTGACGGATCAGTCTGACTTTTGTTTATACAGCAGGCGAAGTTGAATTCCGAATTTTCCGAACCTCAATTTTCTTTCATCCTTCTCTTCGTACTGAATATAGAGCGTGATGGTGACGACGTTGTAATTAAAAATTGCAAGTTGTTTTTGTCTCCCCATATTGATCACCAGTGAGGGTCTCTTTCCCGAGCATTTTAGCGTGCTTTATTGATTAAGTTTGTTTTATTTTCTGTAGCGGAATGATACATGTTGGTGTTTGCTCGTCATTTACTTCGAGAGATGTTAAGTATTGTCATCGTGCATTCTGGTTTGAGAAATCAATGAGTAGAAAATCGGGTTTAATGGTAAAACGGGGATATGGCTAATTGATGTCTTTGATAACATTGTCTTCTCGCTGGTGTTTTTTTTTATACAGGTCTGTCATTGCCTGTCTTGTTATTACAGAAATTTATTAAAATACTTGTCAATGGTTTATGTTGTGAAACTGATACCTGAAGATAGTTTTTTCTGAAGTGAAAAATTACACGGTCAATATCACTTTCAGTTTGCTGAAGGGGAAAAAAAAGAAGATTTTTTAACAATTTCTTTGAAAAAAAAATTCTTTGTTCTGTTTTATTAATTTTCAAAGTTATATTGTTTGACTTGAAACTTCTTACACAGCAATCTTTATTGAAGTATTAATCAAGAGTATGTAAACATTTCACATGGCTAAAGTATCTGAATTTTCTTTTGATTCTGTGAAAAATAAAGCACTCTGTGGGTGTTATACAGTATGAAATATTCTGTTATTTTGTCCTGACTTTGACTTGTGACTTCCAAAATATAATGCTTTTTCTTCTTTACCTATATAATGTGACTTTCATTACTTGACTTTGATTTCCAGTGTGATACATTTTCAGACTCTGACTTCCAAATTTTGGAGCTAAATGGAAGCCCTGTCAAATGTAAAAGTAAATGTGCACATTGGACAAAGTATATCATGACATCATTATACAAGAATTGTAAAATTTCATGTTTTGTCAATATCTAATTTATAATCTCCATAATAAGGCTACCTATCTCTAACAGCCATTTTAACTTAGCCCATATATTCCTGGCCACTATAAACAGGTTAAACTGTACAAGGTAGTGCCAGATATGGTTATCCGAAAATTTTATGTCGTAAATTTTTATATTACAGTATTAAGTATTAGAAATTCACAAGAAGAAGAACCCCCAGATCCTCAGTTGATGCGTCTTGACAACATGTTGATAGCTGAAGGGGTTGCGGGGCCAGAAAAAGGTGGCGGTTCATCAGCCGCAGCAAACGCTACAGCCGCGGCTTCCGGTGGACAACCGGACAGCGCGATTGAGCACTCCGACTACAGGGCGAAATTGGCACAGATACGGCAGATATATCATACGGAGCTGGAAAAATACGAACAGGTACTTATAGTATTTGGGTGACGGAAACTGGTTGTAGATTAACATAACAAAACAAGCGCGGAAGTCTTCGAAAAAAAAAATCTTTTTAATAAAATTTTAATCTGCTGGATTTGTGTTAAGAATTTGCCATGTTTTGAATCTGGAAAATTCAATTCAAATATTAATGTGAATTGGTCTAAATACAATGAATAAATACAATAAATAATAATTACATTGATAGTATTAGTATTAAGTATTTAGTATTAGTCAGAACAACAAAACACAAAAGAATTATACACAATAGTTGTTGGCAAGTTAATTAAGACACATGATGTCTGACATTGCATATATTTATATAGCAGATAATAAAAGTCTTCTAGAACAAAATATTGTTATTCATGAATGATCATTCTAAATCACTTAGCATTTTACATTTCTTTTTCAAACAGCATTTTATAAAGAAAATCCAATTGTTTTTATCAACATTTGAAATACTAATGAAAAAAATGTGCCCATTGTAGACCCATCCACTTTAAAGGATTCCATAAATAAAATCAGAAAATTTGGGGCTGCGAACAGTATTATGGCCTGGCCAGAATGCATGGACATGCATGCTGACAAGGCTGTATACTAATGGCAAATGCTTAACACTTTCAGTTCGAGCAGGTTAAGGGTGTTTAATATTAATGCAACTTAAAATTTTCTATTCATTCATCGTGCATTTCAGATGCCGTATAGCATTATTTTATATTGAAGAAATTAAAAATATTTTAAGAATTATATTTTAAGCTATGCTTAAAGCTTGTCAGCTTTTACAAGGTTTAAAGAATGAATTTTGAAAGTTTGTAAAATAATGATACACAAAAATCTACAAGAAAATGGTGAGGGATGTTTTAGTTTTTTTTTTGTGGTGTAAGTGCTGAAAATTAACTGTTTTTTTGGTGGTCTGTGACCTTAAATTTAGTGGTCTGTGACCTTAAATTTGATGGTCTATGACCTTAAATTTGGTGGTCTGTGGCCTTAAAAATAAAATCAAGTATGCAAAGGTAAGTGACTAACATTTTTTATTTCTCACTGGAAACGAAACTCAATACTAACAGTGTTTGTTGGAGAAGTTTTTCTCTTTTTAAAAACTTAATGGTACCGGAACAGGATTTTGGTGAGGTTTGGCTTGAGATGCGGTGTTATTGTGGTGTATTGTTTAAAAAACACAGACGTAGAGTAGTTTGGTTATGTAAATTAAGAATGTTTTAGATAAAGCTTATAAGATAGGAGTCTTTATTTTTATATATACATATATTTTCAATGGTAAGTACAGTAAATTGGCTTTCCACAATAACGCTCCAGTTGGGGGGTCGGCAGTAAGTTCCATATAAACGGGGGTTCAGATACTGTATTTTTCCCTAGCAAATCTTAAAATAAGATTGATATTTATAGTTATTTTGGTATTAAGAATTCATTTTGTAGATTATTTAAAAAAGATATTGTCTTATGAAATTGAATAAGTTTTGAAAAAGAAAGACAAAGATATTTGAAAAGAAGAATAAGAAATAGTTTTGCATTTTACATCTTTCTATCTCTTTCTTGAATATTTTCACTTAGATTTTTTTAATGGGAGCGAAAAATGTAAAAAAATAATTTTGTTTAAGAAATCTTTTCTTGTCGGTGGACAAAGAAAATTTTTCTGTGTAACAGCAGTGTATGGCAGTCAGATACTGTTGAAACTTCTATATTCAATCCATATTTTAGGTGTCAATTTTTGTTTTGTTTTGTTACTATAACTTGTGTTACTGAATGGTTGAAGATGGTGACAGTTTGTTTGTGCTTATCAATTTTTTTATGTTTTAGCTTTACATGCATGAAGGAATTGTATGGTTTTAGAAACAAAACTTTCACTGACAAATATTTTACTAGGTCGTTGTTGTTTTTTTCTATGTTAGATGTTAAAATTATAAAGTAATACTTCAGAGTTATCAACTAACACAAAAATAAATTTTTAGGACATTACAGGAATCCAACATGGCTGCTGGTACAAACGGGAATATCTGGTTCATGGGCAATTATTTAAGGTTGATAAGGGGTCTGCCTCTCAACCCAGGGGTCATGGGTTTGAGCCTTAATTGGGTCACAGCCATGTTTCTTCATGCAACACCAGTGGCAGTACTAGTTGGTTCCAGGAAGCGAACCCGAAAGTGATTAATATAAGTTGCAAGAACTTGTTTCATATCGAGCTTAAATTAATATATTTAAACCAAAGAAAGCATACTTTTCTTATGTATATATATTTTTCTTTTATGTTTGTGTTAAGTGCATGAATGGTCTCTTAAATGGTTAATGATAAGATAAATAGATCACTTCGACCATGTAATTTATTCATCAGTTACAGGTGAAATTATTATCATAAAAGTGTTGATATTAACTTATTATAAAGCTGCCAAAGGTTTGCAGTTAAGATGTAATAAAAAACTGAGGGTAGTTTTCTTATTCGTACACAGAATCTTCTATATATCATTAATATATGAAGGACATTTCAGAAAATAGCTTAGCGCAAAAAAACAAACAAAAAAATTAAGATGCAACCATTTTGCATTTAGTCAGGACTTTATAATTTATATTCTGTAGAATTGTCACTAAAAAACTTTGTGGTTGGGATACAATTATAAGTATTATTAATTAATTTTACAAATTTATAATTGAAAAAGTCAAGTGTTTCAGAATTTCTGTCAATTTCATATAATTATGCATCAATAGAAATTTAAGACGATTATCATTATAAATAGAATTTGATTTATCAATTTTGACTTCTGTTAGTGAAAAAAAGAGAGAAATTGTTAGGGTTGGCGTTGTTGGGCATTTAAATGGAATTTTACTTATCTTTGGAAAATTTGGATACATTCTGTTATTTTCATGTAAAAGATCCTCATGGGTCCTGTTATGGTGATATATGTAGTTAGGACTTGAATAATTCAACAATATTGTTTTGAATTGCTAGGAGTAAAATAATAAACTAGAATAAATGAATATGATCGATTTATTTTTAATGAACTAAAAACTTGCAGATTGGAAATAAAATATTTATATTTTTGAAATGAAGTTGGTTCAAAGTTGGACAGGATATATACCATTGGTAACTTTATAATAGTGATTGATTTTGGTGACAGATAAAAAGACTTAGGGGTTTATATAGGAATGTTATGAAATAACTGTTTGGATTGGGAAAAAAAATTGATTTAATTTTGTTTTTATTTTGCATTTTCATGATTATTTATCCTATTTTATTCTCAAAAATTTAGTTTTCATTTCACTATATTTTTTTTTTTTTTTGCTTTATTTTTGTTTTTAAGCATGATTTTTATTCAAGAAGATCAAAACTTGGCATAATAATTATTGTACCCCATGCAATAGACAAATACAAGTTTGGATTTACTTGTCAAATTACAAAAAAAATAATCCTCGTTCCAATTTTTTGTTAAATGTACTTGATTCATATCAAAACTTGCGTTTGTCTATCTCGGTATACCATATATCTCTTGTAAATCATTATCAAATTCCCTGTGCTAGCGAATTTCAAATTAACAATTCAAGAAACGATCAAATTTTTTTTAAATTAAAAAAGAAAAATTAAACAAAACTAGGCGAGTGTGGTGTTAATATTGCAAGAGCTCTTAAAATAAATAATTTTTTATTAGTCCGTAACCAATTTTAAGTCGGGTTTATATAACAATCGAGGATGACAAAAATAATTGAAAAAAATAATTACGATATAAATAAATAATGGCAGTCAGCATGAAATTTTTCAAATTTTATTTGATATCGTGAAGTAATTTAGAATTGGTAATGTGTAGGAACACGTAATTAGTTTTCCAAAAAGACCGCTGGTAGGTGAAAATGTCTGGAATAAGTTCTTAAGCACTTAGAAATCAAGTACCCTATTGGCAGTTGACAATAACTCATAAAACAGAATGATTTGTGAATTTCTTTCACTTTTAGACATTTATTCAAGTCATTCAATCATGAAAATGTGATGATAATATTATACAATAGTGAGGTATTTTCAAAAAGGTAAAGAGTCATTGATAAAGATGCTAAACTGTATTTTGGCATGTAAATTCGAAATTTTTCATTATTTTGCTGAAGAAATAATAAGAATGTTTTCAAAAAATACAGGAAACTTTTTGAGTGCTAAAACAACAATGACTGGCTTTTGTCACAAGTTTAAAAAAATTGGGACAGCTTGACAATAAGGCTATAAATTGCTCAGATTTAGCTTTTTTTTTCCAAAGTCTGTTATAGTTTGTAATATATTTCAAAATTTAAGAGCGGGCAACTCCGTCTTACAAATTTTGGTGATGTTACTATAATTAGGGTTAAGAAAATGTTTAACAGAGAAATATGGTATCTTAGCACCAGATTCAGCTTATTTGAAAGTTCTGGAGGAAACAGTGATTATTTAACAATAACGACAGGCTTGATATGTCACTAAACTTAGACAAAACCAGCCAGAAATGTCCAAACCGGATTTGGAAGCTCATTGGTGCTACCACTTTTCATATTAAATCGACCTAGAAAATCATGGTAATAACTATGAATGGTTCCCAGTATTTGACATAGATATCCTGAATGGTTCCCAGTTCAAAGTTAAGATACATTCTATTAAGTCTAAAAGGGAACCAGCTTTTTCTTTCATTATAGTCTAAATTTCTTATGAATATTTTCAGTTTAAAAAAATTATTTCATTAATACTTTGGGTTTTTCTTTAACAATTATATAAGTAATGAAAACAATCAACGCGTTTACTTCCAGAACTTTCGTAACACCCCTGCCATACACTTACACATTTTAATATGCATCTGTTTCATAAAAAAACGTGTACCACATATATATTTATGCCTGCCTCATTGTGTATTGTAATATAGCCGGATTCTGAGGGGACGGACCTGCAAAATAACGATTACCAAGCAAAGCTCGCACGGATACGCAGCATATACCAGACGGAAATGGCAAAATATGACCAGGTAGCGGTCTCCTACTACTATGCATTAACATAATATATACGTGTTACTATTCTTTTCTCTGTTTGTTTGTCGATGAGATCAAATTTTATTTATGGTATTGATTTTACCCCTGTCAAATTTCCTACCAATTTAGTGAAATTTTGCATTTTTTCCAGATTTGTCAATTGTCAAATTAAGCGAAATTGGATTTTACTAGTGTTTATTGTAGATTTATCCAATGATAATCATAAATTTGCCCAATTTCATGAGAGGGATAGATTTACCCATAGTATAATTATGGTACATTTGCCTAATTTGTATTGTAGTTTTCTCAATTTGTATTGTTCACTTGTCAAATTTGTATTGTAGATATCTCAATTTTGTATTGTAGATTTCTCTATTTGTATTATAGACTTACGCTATTTGTACTGTAGATTTACACAATTTAATTAGTAGACTTGCTGATTTTGTATTGTAGACTTGCCAAATTTGTAATGTAGATTAACACAATTGGTAGTGTAGATTAACACAATTTATAGTATAGATTTGCCAAGAGACAGATTAATAAGAGAATGGTTTGACATACTGCCTCTGTTATGCAACTATTGATAATTCTACCAAATGATCTGGTTGTAAAAAATTCTATCAATAGGATTGCAATGGGCTTTTAATTTCAAGGAATACATTAAGTGATGTGTCTTTAAGCATTTCACACATATTTCAAAAGCGCTCATTTCTAGTTTCTCATATAAAGAGAAAGTTGAGCTATTATGATCAGGGCTCATCCTGGGGGGAAATTTTAGGGAGAAGTGACAACCTCGCGAAAATTAGGGAGAAGGGAAACAACCCAATGTGTATGCATTAACATGCATGGCTATACATCCTTTAATTGTAATATAAACACAATCAACATCACTTATAATATTTCTCCAGTTCATTAATTAATAGTAGTATTAATTAAAAGTAGATTAATTATTTAGTAGTTGATCAGGCAATTGCATCTAAGCTTTCTCTAAATATGTGTTTATATATTTTCATGTACATTTGTTGATAATAATGTGTAAGAAAGGATGATGATAAAATCAATTTCATATTTTTTACTTTACTTTCCTCACTTTTAAAAGAAAAGATGAAGTCACATTGGACAATGATTAATAATATCTGTTCTATTCTGTTCTGGTAACAGAAATTTCTCTCTTAGTCTGAATGTTGTAATGCCACATTTATATGCATATAATTATGCTTATAAAACAATTTTCAAACATCAAAGAATATGTAAAATATGTACTGCAAACATTTGTGCACATTATATTTGATCACTAAAATTACATACATTCATTTCTTATTGAAAAATTTGACTGAGAAATTGTAGAAAATTAATTTCTAATTACCTCCCTTTATTTTCATGAAATGTTAAATTCGGTAATATCTTTATAAATAATGCTTTTTAAAATTTACAATATTTATAAATCTTAATCTGAGCGTCATATTTACGAATTTATTTTGAAACAATAAGAACACTTCTTTCCAGACAAATGTTGTTGTTATATACATGATATACGACCGATATGTAGTTAAGCCGGGATGTCTTGCCCACGTGCGTAAACTGTGTCAAATTTGGCATTTCTACAAAGAGAACAATGCCAAACACCCCTACTGTCTACAACATACCAATAGCAAGATTTTTGCGAATTGGCTTTCTTAAATTTTCGCGTATCAGAATCAGTAACTTTCTTACTGCTCGGTTACGGCATTTCGCCTTGTACTGCCATGACGTGAGCGACATAACAATTTTACAGTCAAAATTGATGTTAACAGACTGAAATCATTCAAAACTATGATTAAGTTTTTAATCTGCTTGCTGATCATTAATGAAATTGATTATTTTTAATTGACTAACAGTTTTGTGATAGCCGTGAAAAATCCATTGCACATCGCCTTTACTCGGGTTAAAAACCCACCATCGAAGTGCATCGTGTACATCAATTAGGGAAGATTGTACTTGTTTAGATAATCGGGGAAAATTTTTTTATAATTATCGCCAAATCCCGTATTAAACTCGCAAAACTATTACACAATTATACCGTTTCGGGCCGATGCTCTCGTTATTTACTGTTTAGAGTAGGCGGTCTATCGCTTCGCTTACAGGTAGAAGGGTAGAATAAAGCGACGCTCTGATTGGATTATGATAATTAGCGGTCGTCATATGGGCGGATACAATCTCTGCTCTTTACATCGCTAAGTAATTACTATATGGGAATTAAGACTTTATCGGCGATGTTGACTTCTCTTTGATCAATCGGAAGAGCGAAATTGGAATATACACGGCGAAGTTTTCGCCTGAATCGCCCTTCCGGATGAGCCCTGATGATAGCTGTGTTGTTGTCATTGTTGTTCAAAAACTTCAATCTAGACCATAACAATTTTCAAGGTGTCATTATGAAACTTAAAATTCTTGCTTATCATGACATAAGGCAGTTGTAAGACAAGGGGAATAATTCTGAAAACTATATATTTGGAGTTATGCCCTTTTAAACCTAGAATTTTGTCAAAGGTGGGCAGTTTAAGAGACAAGTGTTAACACTGCATGCATTGATCTTGTCTAAATTTACCTTTTTACATTTCTTGATTATCTCTGCTTATATCAAGTGTGTTCTCAAGAAATTTATATAGGTGACACAAGAACATTTTCTCCTATATTTAAATATTTTTAAACATTTTCTCATTTATTCAACTAAGTATATAAATCAGCAATTTTACTTATATAAATGTAATGTGTGAACATGGATATTGAAAAGGTCAAGACGGTAAGTGATCTACTACTGTGGAAAGTTATGTTCATTTTTCCATTCCTATATTGTAATTTACTGGATTTCTGAGAAAATATAGAATATTTTTTTATGACATGAAGACAACTTTAATGTTTAATGAGAATTAATTTGATATTTTTCAAATGTATAAATGAAGTTTAAGAGAGTTCCACATAAGGTTTAAAAGGTTATATCAGTATGAAATCATTTCAACCAATATTATGTTATGTAACATATAAGTACAGTGATTTTTTCCCCTGTATTTTACAGCTGAATAAAGGCTGCTTCCCCTAGTCCAAAATAGATATATTTTCCCCTAAAAGTGCTTATATTTCCCCCTGAAATGCCCTGTGCAGTTCTTCACCAGAACCATGATGACTTGAGAGCAGCTCAAAGTCCCTATAAATAGACTCTGCTTTGTACCATGCATGCTAAATTGAACTGAAATTGAAAAGTTTATAAAATGTGTGCTTAAATTTCATTCTTAGTTATTGAAATTTGACTTCAGATTTCCCTCTTTTCTGATTTACTGCGCTATATTTTCACCTTCAGAAAGCCACAGGTTGTTTTTAAAATTGAAAAAAAAATCACTGAAGTATATCTCTAATAGAGGTTCATGTATATTGAATATGATTTTTGTGATATGATAATGATATCCAAGTAGAGATATGGAATAGTGTAGTGGAGGTTATAACATGAGTAATGGTATAAATATATTGTTACTGAGGTATGCTATATCATTATTCAGGTAGGGTATATATAATTTATATTGTTACTGAGGAATGGTATATCATAACTTGAGATATGGTTTATCATATCTGAGGTTTGCTATATACATGTATATCATTACTGAGGTATGGTATATCATTATACATAGTAGAGGTATGTTATATCATAATTTGAGGTATGGAATACAATAGTAGAGATATGGTAAATCATAGTAGAGGTATGGTCTATCGTATTGTATTTCATGTGCGATGTATTGTGAAAGTTATACAAAGTATAGGTACAGTGGTAACTTATATTGTTAAATGAGGTAAAATTTGTCATCACAGTAACACTAATAGGATTCTTAATAACTAAGGTGTAGCTAAATATATTAAGAGACTAAAAACAATTTACAGTATGGTAAGTATTATGTTATGTGAAATGCAAAAGATATCACATTCATATACACATACATGGAAGGTAAGAAAATATTGATTTCAAAATTCAACAATTCAACAAATTAAATGGATGAGTCACGATAAGCTTGATGTTTTTAACAAAAAAAACTTTTTTAAGTAAGCAGTAAAAAACTGTTTTATTTCTGCTTGTTAAAATGAAATTATTTGATGGTAATTTTTCTGTTGAAGTTTTATCTTTATCATGGTGCAGGAGTTCAGTTAGATTTTCTGTGAAAGTAAATAAGGTAAGTACCAGTAAGTTTAGGCGGATATTTTACGGATTATATATGGCATTTGTTTATAAAAAAAATGCATTGTAAAAGATGTTTGATGTGAAGAATGACTTATTGTCCAAGATTGACCAAATATTGCGGATTGACGGGGAAAAAAGGGTTAGTCATAAAAAGTCATGAAATAGCTTCAGTGGTAAGACAGGTCAGTGGAAGTAAGGTAGGTACTGGGTAATGTTAGTATTATTTGATTAAAGAAAGAATGCATGCTTTGCATATTTAGCTCGACTATTCGATAAGAATAAGTAGAGCTATTGCAGTCACCCGAGCGTCGGCGTCGGCGTAACCACTTATGTTAAAGTTTTTGTAATAGTTCAAATATTTTCAAAGTCCATTGACATATGGCTTTGAAACTTTGCACACTTGTTCACCATCATGACCCCAACCTGTAGACAGGAGAAGGTAACTCTATCAAGCATTTTGACAGAATTATGCCCCTTTTTCGACTTAGAATTTACGTTAAAGTTTTTGTAATAGTTCAAATATTTTCAAAGTCCATTGACATATGGCTTTGAAACTTTGCACACTTGTTCACCATCATGACCCCAACCTGTAGACAGGAGGAGGTAACTCTATCAAGCATTTTGACAGAATTATGCACCTTTTTCGACTTAGAATTAACGTTAAAGTTTTTGTAATAGTTCAAATATTTTCAAAGTCCATAGACATATGGCTTTGAAACTTTGCACACTTGTTCATCATCATGACCCCAACCTGTAAACAGGAGGAGGTAACTGTATCAAGCATTTTTTTACTATCAAGCACTAAGAATAGTCGAGCGTTGCTGTCCTACCGACAGCTCTTGTTTATTGTGACTAGAAAAGATGGTGTGTGAGAAAAAAGGGAGGTTATTTGATTGAAAATATTGTCATATCACTGACGGATATATACATTTCTTTTTCAGGCATGCAGCGAATTCACGACACATGTTGTAAACTTGTTACGAGAACAAAGTCGTACACGTCCCATTGCCCCCAAAGAGATTGAACGCATGGTGAGCATAATCAGAAAAAAGTTTGCGGCCATAGAAATGCAGCTAAAACAGAGCACGTGTGAAGCGGTGATGATTCTGAGATCTCGATTCCTTGACGCCAGGTGAGTGAATTTTTACGGTTTTTACGATTACTTGACAAAAACAGCATAATCTTAGTTATATAGCTTGACTTTGTGCAAATTTCATTTGATAAATCATCTGCGATTGACACATCAGAGATTATTATGTATACTTAGTGGAAATTAATTCAATACGAAGAAGAATCATTCAAATTTTACTCAAAATCTTGAATTGTTATGATATATATCCGAATGGGAAAAATTCTGCAAGACAGGCAATTTTTACTTGAGTGAAATATTTGGTAATGCTGAGAAGATTTTGTGAAGATTTATAGCTTTAGAGTAAGACAGTTTAGTTTATATGTAATATGGATGATGCTAATAAGCTTACTGTATATTTGTAAATGAATTTGAATGCTTCATATTTGAAATATTGAGAAAATGCATTGATAAAAATTAAGTCTGTTTTTAACCGTAAGGACTTAATGAGAAGAGTTATGATGATATTATGAATATATAGTAAACTCTTAGCGTTTGACATGATGTATTTATGTAATGAACTGGCCCTGCCTTCAATATTAGGAAATGGTAGATACTGGTTAGTTTGCATTGACGTGTATGCTTGCTCCAAGCTCTATATTCTCAACATAGACAAGTCATTATCTTCTTTTATATATAAAGGGTTAGTGGCGACATGACTTAAGTAATCTAAGGATTGCTGGCCTTGACTGGGTTCAAGCCCTGTCTGAAGCAAGGCATTTTTTACTTATGGAAGAAACTTTACACCGTTTGCATAGTAACTGTACACCAATTGCTTAGTACTGGTTGCTTTCCAGGAATGGATTCAAGAGTGTGTCTGTAAGCTTATTGGTTCCTACACAATGGAACTAAAAAAAAAAATTCTGTATAAACTTTCAATACTACTTTTAATGTCCATTTCACATCTGTTTGAAGTGTATGCAGAATCTTTATAAATATGTGAGTGAATTTCATTCAATACCATGTTGTATTTTGAAAGGCGCATTGAGTCTCGGAAATTAATATGATTTTTTTCTCTGAAGGAAAGGCAGACTGAGAGATTTTTTACATGATAGATATTGGATTTTTTTTTTAGATTTTTTTTTAAGCCATGTAGGTCTATACAAATCTATACTTGTGTGCAAATTTCAAATTGTTCGCCCGCTCTGTTTTTCCAGAATAAACTTTTCTTGTTTTACTTCTAAACTGGGTTCTCACAGATTTTGAATATATTCTCAATTTATTTCTTTGTTATCGGTTTAATATGTTTCCATTTTAAGTTATACTATGTTGGATATATTTACTGTGTAAGAACACCAAAAATTCAAGGCTTTTGAGAAGTATGAACAAAAAAATTTCAACAATAGAGCTTTTGAGGCTTAATGCACCTTAGTTTCTAAAAATATTCATATAATAATGAACTGAAACAAACAAGATGGAATTGGACATTAAAAATAAATTAGCTTTCTTACCATTAAAGCTCCTTATAAATATTGACATTCTAATAATCTTTTTTTTTTTGCACACCAAATATTTATTTTAAAAGCTGTACGACTTCGAAATATCTATATATATTTCTGTACAGGCGAAAGCGGCGAAATTTTAGTAAGCAAGCAATAGAAATGCTAAATGATTATTTCTACTCCCATCTGAGTAATCCGTACCCTAGTGAAGAAGCTAAGGAGGAATTGGCCCGAAAGTGTCAAATTACCATTTCGCAGGTGTGTCCACGTTTGTTTTGTTGTTCATTTTTCATCAAAAGTGTGTTCAGAGATGTTGGCTTTCTGCAAAAAATAAGGCATAATTTTTTTTGTTGCGATTTTGAAATTTTAATATTTTTTTTTGTAAAGGATGAATGATGACTTGAAAAAAGTTGTCGATTTCTGGAATTAGCTTAATAATGCACTTATGAAATAGTTTTGGACAAATATCACACAGTTTGAAACAACGTTCAGTTATTTTGCCTGGTTATGTATTGAGCTTTAATTTCATTTTATATCGCAAATCAATAAGTTATAAATTACGAAGAAAAAAAAATTTCAGAAAAGATATTCGTTATAAATATCAGCATTATTTTTGTTACAAGCTAAAAGCCATTGACTTTTTTTGCAGATCTCTTCAGCCAGCATCTCTGTTCTTACAAAAAAAATATTTAAAAAAGCAATTTTTTAGCTTGTTTTTCTATTGATTATTTATACAACAGGAGAAAGAGGCGCAATTTTAGTAAACAAGCTACAGAAGTACTAAATGAATACTTTTATTCACACCTGAGTAACCCCTATCCTAGTGAGGAGGCAAAGGAAGAATTGGCCCGAAAGTGTAATATCACCGTGTCACAGGTCTGTCCTTATTCGAATAATCGTAATAATTCTATACTCTTGATTGATAACACTTTGTATTGTATTCATATGTAAATAACATTGCTTAGGGTTTTCAGCTCTTATGTATACAGGAACTCATTTTCCGGTTGTGGTCGGAATTCCGGTTGTAGCCGGAATGAACTGGCTTAACTATCAGCAGGTTTGTGTTTCTTTAGAGATGTACGAGGCAAAAAATGAAAGTGATTTGAAATGAAATTTCAAAATGAATGAAAAGATGGTCCTGTACTAAGGTTAAGTTTGAAATTGTTTCGTAGTAAATTAGTTAAAACTTTAATCCTATGTAATTATTACCAGGCACCTTAGTAATGATAGTACTTTTAAGGGAAATGAAAATAATTTGAATATTATGTAAAAAGCACGGTTTTAAGGAAGAAATTAAACGTTAATTTATGTCTGAAATCAGACATTAACGGATCTGACCTCATTATGATAATTAGGTATATAATTTTATACGAATACGTAATTGTGTAATATTTTCATGTCCTTTCTGAAAGGGCAGTACAAAGGTGCAATTTGCTATAAATTTTCATTGTTTTATTACATTTTCATGTCATAAATTATGCAGATGAGGTAGTGTAGATCTGTTTTATGACTCTTTTAATTATAACCTACTTAACCAAAACTTTCCCAACCCTTAGATTTTAATTAGTCATTAAAATTTGTTTTTCTTTGGTTTTGTTCGTTTTTTTATAAATCTATATTTTTTCATTACGATGATACTTAATACTGATACTAATCCATAAGTAAGCTTTGTATTAAAGCTTTTTAGTAAAGTTAAAAAAAAAGTGCTGTCTTTTTAGGTAGTTCAGGCTTTCATGTTTAAAAAAGTTGTTGCTTCATCATATATTGTCTGCCGTTGGAAAAAACTTGTTCTTATTTTTTTTATTGCGAATTTAAAGTTTGGCCATCGTAAGGTTGTTGCCTTCCGTTAAGAACGTGTACGAACTAATTTGGTTGCAATTTTATTAGGCGTGTGCCTTCACATGATAGTTATCTGCTTGAGTTTTGACTTGAGATTGAGATAATGATCTTCGAGTATGAAATATGGTTCATCTAGCGATGACAGGCTAGATTTTATTGCGAGATAACAGAATTTACTCAAGGCAGGTGTAACGAAAAGTCATCCTTGAGTAATAACAGGTCATAATAAATCAGTTTTTGTAGAACCTTATTGGATAACTCATTTAAAGTATAGTCAACGCATACATAACTGTCCATATCACCCGAGTATGAAATAATACATTGACATTTTATAAAAAAATTATTGTATGCCAATAGTTTTAATATTTCATGTTACATATCATTGAGTTTGGTATTTTGGAGGTGGGGCTATATTTAAAGTTGTACTTTTACTATTTCGGATATTTGAGATTAGTATTTCACCCTTTTTATGAAAGGAAATTTTCATTCAAGCAGGTCACAAAAAAAAATTGTTTCCCTATTATTTGAGATTCATTTTTCTCTATTATCCCCTCTGCAAAACAATTTTCCCTCTCCCTCGCCATAATTTCCTAAAAGTGTGTGTGTGTGGGGGGGGGGGGGTGTTGAAGCACTCAACTCCTTATAGTTGTACATGTTCATCAATGGTATCAATAGTTTAAATGTTAAAAACCTGCCAGGGGTTTTGGATTTATATATAAAGACAAAATTATATAGCAAATCTATATAATATGCAAGATTGGGGAAAAAATGCTGTTTCTACTTACATACGCGTTACTGCCTACAAAATTACATGGAAGGACACCTGAGGTCGACCAATAACACTAAAATATCACAATAATGACCTTAATAATGTCAGTATGCCATAAAAATCAAGAAATGAAAATCTGTGAATAAATAAAGACAAATTAAGACTGATGTACCTGCTCTACCTGTAGAAATTTATGACAAATTATTTTGTCATGCACACTTGAAGAAGATGGAAATTTTTTTTTCTCCTAAAATTTCATTACCCTGACAGTGCATGTTAAATATAATAATTTATGAAATATATTTATGTAGATAGTGTAACTGTATTAGTGCCTTTGAAGAAGGTCATTGGCCAAATTCTTTTTGCTTTTTTATGTAATAAAAAGTGACCAAAAGATTTTTTTTCTGGTTTTTCCTTATTATTTTGGCTTCATTGAGAAGTGTTAATTTTTTCTTGGTGAAAAAAATACTTGCTTATTATGAAAAAATTGAATTAATGTAAAAGATTTGGCAGTTAATAATGGGAATAAGAATAAGGAAAGATCTTTGAGAATGACGAATAACGAACAATATTTGGCTGATGATAAGTTAAAACAATGAATAAATAAAAGTTTTTGTCTGATGAAAAGTTAAAACAATGGATAAGGAAAAATATTATGCTGAAATTAATGAATAAGGAATAATCTTTACCTGATGTTAAGTTAATATGATAAATAGGTGTTGTTAAGTCAAAATACATATACATATACGTAAATATTTATTGTTGAATCACAGCTTATGTTTTCTTCCAACATTATCCATCAATTGCCTGTATTTAAATAGTAACAGAATCCCTTAAACATTCTTGAAACGGGCATCATTATCCAACCACCTTCACGCTAATTGCGATATTTAATACGTTTTGTCGGCTCCCTTTTCATGGCGTAACAAAAGCGGTCACCTTTCACAGAAGGGGATGCTATATACATTGTATTTATAATGATACAGTTTGTTCACGATCATTAATCACACGTGTCAAACTCGGCCAGAGTGAAAAGAAATATTTCACAGTATTTGTAAGTCATTTAATGGCTGTTTTACGAGATAAAAGGGAGATAATTATATCAATTTTACGTGATCGGTCACTAAAAATATGATCAAAGAAAAAAACTTTTCGGTTTAAAGCGTTAGCTAGATAAATAGTTAATCGGTAATGATTTTTCATTAGTATAAATGTTTTTACCTTTTTAAATGCTAACTCACAGTAAAAAAAACAAAAATGCGTGTTTATGGTAATATTCATGAGCTTTTCAGTCATTTTGCATTTATTGTTTTCTAAGGGTTTATTTACACCAAACAGCGTTCATTAACTTCTCGCATAATGAGTACTTCCATGCATTCCTTTAAGGTCAAAATGTCATTAATGTAGTTATATACAATAGGGCAGGAGGGGTGACTTTACAAGACACTGCTCTTTTCGTACAATGGCGACCTTTGACATCTGGGGTCATTTGCAAATGAATTTTTTAACTGTTAAGAAGCATTGTTGTGCGATTTCTGTATATCGAATGGGTTGAATCGGCTTGAAAATAGAGTGTATTATTAAAATCTTATTGAAAGACTGATGTTAAATTAGTGTAAAACATAGATTAGAGAAATGAAGGATGACATAGGGTGATAGCAACTGAATGAATTAAGTCCAAAATGAATGAGAAAAGTTAAATTTTTAGATTTACTTTGTTGGCTCCATTGATATATTTTTATAAGGTTCAACATATTAATTATAGGTAATCTACATTTTCATCCAGTAGGCTCGAATAGCTTGAATATGGAAACTAATTAAAAAATTCCTTGAAAATTGTAAATAATGTGAGTGTTTTAACTACAACGGCCATTGGTCCCTCATTTAATACATCTTTACTGTTTCCTTGCAAATTAAAGAAATCAGTTAAAGAAATTAATATTCATTAAAGCATTTGCTGTAATTGCTAACTTATTTCCACTGAAATAGGAATCCAGACAATCTGAAGGAAAATTCTTACAAAATTTTGATGTACTTGATTTAAATTTCTCGGTTCTTTTACATGAACCATGTTCCAAAATCAGCACACTTAATCTTCTATTCTAGCCCATTAACTTTGATAAGTTCGTCAAGTAAAATCTGACTTTCAAAGAAATTGGATAATTGGAGTTTTATCACAGTTTAGAAAGTGTTTATGTCCCAGAAAGATGCTATAATGATTTATTTATGGTGCTTGTACATCCCAAGAACTGTAAAAAAATATTATCCGGTTTCTAAAAATAGATGACAAATCAATGCCTGGTTTTGAAAGCCTGGTTTTGAAAGCCTTACAGTATGTACATATTACAAGATCTGTTATATAGATATTTTTCTTAAAATAGGAAAATTAAGGTACAGATTTTAAAACCTTTCTAACTTTGTCCTTAAATATACTGGTCAAGACCTGTCAGATGCTAGCTTTTTAAGGCTTTTAAAGATGGTTCTGTTCAGTTGAAGACCATCATTATGTTACAAAAAGATAGGTAAATAAAAATTGTTCAACAGAGATATCAGACTTAAATTGTTGAAAATAGTCTGAAAATTTCATTGCTTTATGAAATCTTCTGTTATAAAAATTAGTAAAGACATAATATTAAGGTGCTAAAATGACTCGTCGAGTGTGGGCCGCAAGTACAAGAAAATGATGAAGCAAATTTTTATTACTGTCAACATGCTCTTTACAGAAGCTGCAGTAGATATTAAAAACATTTTTTCCCAGTATTATAACTTAATTAAGTTTAATTGGAACATCATAAATCAGTCAAGGCAGGTAAATGCCTATTTAAGATTCTAACGAGGGTTTGTATTATGATGAGACATCTGTATACTTGCGGAATATATTCACGCAACTTGAGCGTGTCATTTATTCTCGTCTTAAGTATCATTTTAATGGTGTTTTAATCTCATTTTAAGTTTCTCGATGCATACCAACAAGTACGTAATTAAAATTTGATACATATTTAAGATAAAAAAAAAATCGCGTAAAAGTTTTAATCAAGTTGCTACCGTATCAAATAGAGTTGTTATCACTTGTGAATGTCTACGATGAAATGAAATTGATACATAATGATATATTTGACATAGCACTCTAAAATAATTCATGCAATGTAGAAAATACAAGGTTTATCATTTTGCGCCCCTGAAAATTTTTTTTTTTTAAATTTCTTTTTTTTTTTTGGTATCAAATGAAATTAAGGTTTCAATTATGTCAGCGTAAATTAAACTGAGTAATATTTTATGTATGATATAATAATTATTAACATTATTAAGTGGAAAATTGTGTTGGAAGAATTAGGAATCTTGAAGCGATGTAAAATTGATAGTTGAAACACCAGTGTTTTTTAAAATATTACATTTTACGTTATATAGGAAAGAACTTAAATTTTGCCAGAGTTTGGTTCATGCTAAGAATACAGTATTTCAATACAATTTAATATAAGTTTTCCTTTTATATTCTTTAAATTTACCTATATTTCATACAGACTATGTGACAAAAAGATGTTTAAAAAAAATAAAGAGAAGCTAAAATAAAAATCAACAACAACAACTGAAATCCTGTATAAATAAAGAGCTAACCCACAAGTTCAAAGATATCCAGTGATATTAGTTAACCTTTTCACCCTATATTCAAACTTTACCTGCTATATTTGTGTTCTGGATTTGTGGAATAGTCAGGGCTCGACAAATCCATTAATCCGCTAGTATTTACAAGTACAAACTTACTCCGGACGTGCTCGTTCTTCAGACTGGGAACAGTCCATGGGAAAGCTTAAGCGATTTTGATACCAAAATACAAAAATTGAGCGACCAGTAGTATAAACCCTGGGCAAACGGGATACTTAGTTAAGTCTCAAAAGCAAATCACTTTCATGAGCCTCTTAAGAGGGACATGTATATATACTGATGGCAATGGCTAATCACTTTCCAGCAGGGTTAAACGGCATAAATTTCTCTGCTTATTTATTCTATTGAATCCTCGAACCAGGATTTTTAGGGTGAAAGGGCATGAATTGAAGTTTATTTAGTTACTTTCTTGTAAAAAATAATTATTCTTTGTTAATTTTCAGTGTTAAATGACAATGTTATACTTTGCATATCATTCGAATCTTTGTTACTGTTTGTTTGATGTAAAATAATTTCTGGTTTAATATTCACATAATTAGTACTACATTTTTTCAGGGGCATGTTTTTGTTTTAGAGCTTGTTCTTGATTGAAAATACTTAAAATCGTTATTGATGCTTCCATTATGTAATAAGAAAAAAATGTTTCAGAATATGTATAGATTCACAGAATTACGAGAGCTATTTTACGGGCCTCGAGGTTATAAAAAACTATTTTAGTCCTGTCCCGAATCTGGAGTTTTACAATTTACATTCTGTGCTGGTTTCTGACCAATCAGATCTCTGAGATTTGAGTTTTAGATTATGAAAATTCTCTTTAACCTTTTAACCCAAATATTTTAACTTTTTGAGTGCATGTGAGATTTTTATTGTTGTAACAATGGTGATAGAGAATTATTTGCAATCTGTTTCAGGTATCTAACTGGTTTGGTAACAAGCGTATTAGATACAAGAAAAATATCGGGAAAGCGCAGGAGGAGGCGAATCTATACGCGGCTAAAACTGCGGCAGCCGCGGCACAACACGGTCAGCAACACACTTCTGATACGGGACAAGGTTTGACCTGTTTACCTCCCCTGGATATTTAACCTTCATGTCACAAATGTTACGATACTTTCGATACTTTAAACGCTTAGCTGAATAAGATTTTGTTCGCTCTATATATATAAAGATACTCAAGAGTAGAGAATGTATAGACTTAGTCCTTCATTTATTTACGCACAGAAGGAAAGCATATTTCAAAATATAGTGAAATATTAAAGTAAAATAATTATGAGTTAGGGTTTTTTTAACATTTGAATTAATTTTATTGCAAAAAAGTGAGCTTTTGAATTAGTTTTATTGTACAAAAGTGAGCTTTTGAATTGTTTTATTGCATACAAGTGAGCTTTTGGAGCCTACGTATTATGAATGCTTTTAAGCTTTAAGTTTTTGCCTGCTGTTCATGATTTTTTTAAGAGACTTTTTTAATAGGCTGTTTTGACTATAGCAGTGTTCAACCCAGATTTGCATTTTTTTTGCTGTGTAAGAACTTATATAAAATAGTTCTGAAAATTTTGCATCAGCTTTTTATCTCCCAAGCTTGCATGATTTCTGAACCCCCTGCTGAATTTTTGTAATGGAATTGCCCTTCTTTGACATCGGAACAGTCCATTCAAAGTGTAAGGGATTTCAATATCAAAATACAAAATTTATGCTACCAACACTCAACAGTATTAAACTTGGGCAGACTGCATGATGTCGATGCAGGCCGACCTTGTTGTATACTGGTGTAGGACAAATATGATTAAAATATTAGTCAAATTTTCAGTTAGTTTTCATTCACTTTTTGCAGAAATAAATACATGTAAATTATTACAAATTATTACACACAGATATTTTTTTCCTTTCCAAATCCTGCAGTTTAAATTCAATCTTATATGAGCCCATATCTATTGACTTTCTTTTGTGTGCAGATTTTATTATTGCCAATTTGTGTTTTGCAGTTATGTATCATGCTAAACAATATTGACCTTTGACCTATATTAAAGTATATTGCAAAATGACATGAAGGTTAGAAAAACACAGTCTCTCAAGTTGATAGTATAAAAAACTTAAAGCACATTTTTTCTCTTTTTTTTGATCATAAACAAGAAAAAAATCAAATGAAGAAATTTCATTGTATTTTGTTGATTTATTACAAAAAGTGTAGAAAATTATATCTTATAAATGGAATCTTCAATAATAATTTTGACAATTTATATACAAAAAAAAAACTTGAGAGACCCGGTCAGGCAAGCATGTTTTACCTTTTTCCTGTGTTTTATATATACATATATATTTAATCTTGGTTATATATACACATACATTATATTATATGAAAGAATTCTTAAAAATGTTACAGTGACCAAAATATTCCAGGGGTGCGTTTCATAAAGAATCGTAAGTCTAAAATATAAGACTAAAGTTAGGACTGGAATAAGTTTGCACTTAGGATTTTTCTTGAAACGCATTTTTATGCCAGTTTTACACTTACGACTATAATCGGTCCTAAGATTCTTTATGAAACGCACCCCAGCTTTCTATACGGTGTTTTTATTGATGGAGACATTTTTGTTTACTGTTTTATATTTCTTAAAAATTTAATACACGGGTAAATACTTTGTGATAAAATGTATGTAAAGGGCAACTTTGGTATTTTAAATGTCCCATGAATCTAAAACGCCTTCTAAGCAGGCTTATGTTCAGGGGCCAACTATTTGGAGAATAGGGAGTGTTATTGTTATCACTCTATTGTTGGCGTCACCGTCACACTTTGGTCAAGTTCTTGTGTGCAAGTTGGTGTCTTGAAAACATTCGAAGAAAATGGGTTTGAAACTTCTCACACTTGTTCTCTGTGATTATCTAACACATAACATAACTCTTAGTTACCCTTTTACAGAGTTATGCCCCTTTTCTTACTGACAAGGGCCGAGAATAGTCATGTATACTGTCTTTTGGAAGCTCTTGATGTGTTTTTAATGCCCCATGAATTTTAGGGTCTGCTTAGTTCCCTAGTGTTAGAGAATGAAAGTAACAAAGAAAAGTCGACTGTTATTTGGTTTGAGTTCTAAGCTTGGAATAATTTGGGTGCAGGGGATTAAGCCTTAAGCAACAAAATTAAATATCTCGTGCCATTTCAACTTCAGGTGTGATTTATGTAGTTTAAACAGGGGAAATTAGGTTATTTCTGGTAAATAAATGGGGAAGGACTGGTTATTTCTGTGAGATATTCCTGTGTAAACGGGTTAATTCTGGTAGATTAACTGGGAAAATATGCTTGTTAACAGCTGACCAGTATCTAATGCAGCTGCATATTGGTAAGAAACCCTAAATAAAACTATGTTTTACATTATATAATAATATATCAATTTTTTGTCACATCAAACATTATGAATCAAAAGATCTGATAGCAGACAAGTCTTTGTAACAATTAGGTGCCTGTTTATCAGGTGATATCATGAGATCGCCACATCATGAAAATTACTTTTTTATGTCAATAAAGCCTATTTGATTCTCATTTTCCCCTTGAAAGATACGAGCATTGCTTGGTAGTGTATTATTCTGTGAGGATTTGTTACAACTGTAATCAATATTTTAGATAATAAGCGGCAAACTTGTTTTAAATTATGAAGACGGCAAGCAAAGCCCATCTGTTATGTGTAACTAAAATGAAGCCGCAGCCTGTGACATAATTGAAATGTTATGTAACATTTGCGATTTTCCTGGTATCTGGGTTGGTTGAGCTGTTACCACTCCTATGATCTTCTTTTTAAACCGTTATATGACTGGAAATTGTGTTGAATTGGCCAAGCATTGCACACTGAAAAGTAATCTTGGTAAGCATATTAAGATTGGTTATTTCCTGGTTGTAACAAATATTGAAGGGTGATGCAGTTGCTAAGTAAGCTCATAAAAGGGTTAGTGATTCTACTAGCGGGAAAAACAGTAATAGATTGAATGGTGTCTTGGAGAAATAAAACTTTGAAATGAAAAGTATTTTTGTTTAGGTAATACATGTACCTTGATGCAAACCCAGCATAAAGATTGCCAGATTGGATTTAATTAAGAATTCAGATTACATAAATTCTTTCCAGCTTCTATACCTTAATATATAAAGTGTACGTCCACCTATTATAGTATATTTGGCATATCTTCTTATTTCAAGTTAGATGCATAATTATCATAGAACGTGTATTATTATTTTGATTTTATATAAAAGAAATTTCATTTTAACATTTTACTCATGTAATATAATTATATTGTTATTTATAGATTATGGTGACGGGGACTCCGATGACTCATCAACAGTAGGCTTTAAGAGCAGCTCATTTTTACCGCCGGGGGCGTCTAGCTACAACATGTCAGCAACAGCGGGGCTTCCCGGGCAGGGGCAGGGCGGCATGTATATGGGAATGAATGGCGATAACTATACCAGTGGCGGAGACACTTCGGTAGGTATATTAAAACATGAAAATTGAACTGTGTGGCAACTGGGATAAAAAAGTGTCTTATTAATTCTTTTCAATTTACTGTCTGGTGGTATAATATTAAAGCAGTGAATTTTTATTTGATAAAAAAAAAAAATTGTTAAAAATGTAGAAATTATTATATGAAGAAAAAATCTATTTAAATCCTTATAGGTTTAGCATTATTAAAAATATTTAAGACTTTTTAACTGTTTATTGAAATAATAGGATAATGAATTTGTTCAGCTTGGATTCACTTGCACTGTTCCATTGTGGGTCTGAGTCTCACAAGAGACAGTGAATTTGTTCATGTGAGGAAGCTATGCAGCTAGCTTATTGTAGATCGATGATTCTACTCTGGTACATGTAGATCTTCTTGGGTAATTGTAAACGTTCTACTTGGGTTCTTGTACCAGGTCTATTCAGGTACTTATACCGGTTCTTACCCGGTACTGTACCGGAAATAATGCACCAATGGTTTGTCGGACAAATCCTCTACCAATAATGCTAAACAGCTGCTGTATATATATATCATAACTGTGTAGGGACAACATAAAAGTTAAAACACACTAGTAAAAAGTTCAGATTTTAGCTTATTCTTAAACTTTGTTGTTATTCTGCATGATGTTTGCATTGATTTTAATATGATTTAGTTGTTAGAATATATTAATTTTTGCAAGAATAAATGTAAATGAAATATATTTACAAAAACATTTTTGACATTTTTTTGAAAATATTTAAAGCAGCATGCCTCCAGATTTTCAGGAAAATTAGCAAGAATCTGGAGGCATGCAACTTTTAAACTTGGTATGGGATTTTATCAATACAATTAGAATTCAAGTAAAGCATAAAAGTTCAAATGACCAAGGATGACTTGTATATTTATCGTCATGAAATCTTACCATACATTTAATTGCATTTATTTATTCTTGTGCCTGTTACTGCGATATGATATTTAGTTTTGCCTTTTTGATTAATATTTATTATTTTTTATATAACTTTGTTAACCCGTTGTGTTTTTGGTGTTATTAGTTTCTAACACAAGATGACCAGGTGGTTTATTTGTTTATATTACCTAGAGATTTGGTGCTGGAGTTTGGTGCATTTTGTACCAGGAATAGAGAAAAAGCATATTGGGTTGTAGAGATTTTTTTGTCCTAGGCTTATTTTGACAGGAATTAATCATTTTGTTTAACATTATCTCTGAGAATGCTAGAATGTGATGGAATTGTCTTTGGATTCTACAAGTATAATGTGATAAAAAGGCTTACCTCTTAGAGTCTAAAAGTACAGACTTGCCTATAGGGTCTACAAGTATAATGTGATAAAAAGACTTGCCTATAGGGTCTACAAGTATAATGTGATAAAAAGACTTGCCTATAGTGTCTACAAGTATAATGCGATAAAAAGACTTGCTTCTAGTGTCTACAAGTATAAAGCAATAAAAAGACTTGTCTCTAGAGTCTACAAGTATAATGTGATAATAAGACTTGCTTCTATGGTCTTTAAGTATAATGTGATAAAAAGACTTGCCTAAAGAGTCTACAGGTATAATGTGATAAAAAGACTTGCATAAAGAGTCTACAAGTATAATGCGATAAAAAGACTTTTCTCTAGGGTCTACAAGTATAATGCGATAATAAGACTTGCCTAAATAATAAGACTTGCCTAAAGAGTCTACAAGTATAATGCGATAAAGACTTGTCTCTAGGGTCTACAAGTATAATTGGATAAAGACTTGTCTCTAGGGTCTACAAGTATAATGTGATAAAAAGACTTGCCTCTAGAGTCTACAAGTATAATGTGATAAAAAGACTTTTCTCTAGGGTCTACAAGTATAATGCGATAATAAGACTTGCCTAAACGATAATAAGACTTGCCTAAAGAGTCTACAAGTATAATGCGATAAAAAGACTTGCCTATAGGGTCTACAAGTATAATGCGATAAAAAGACTTGCCTAAAGAGTCTACAAGTATAATGCGATAAAAAGACTTGCCTATAGAGTCTACAAGTATAATGTGATAAAAAGACTTGCCTATAGAGTCTACAAGTATAATGTGATAAAAAGACTTACCTTTAGAGTCTACAAGTATAATGTGATAAAAGACTTGCTTCTAGTGTCTACAAGTATAATGTGATAAAAAGACTTGCCTAAAGAGTCTACAAGTATAATGTGATAAAAAGACTTGCCTAAAGAGTCTACAAGTATAATGTGATAAAAAGACTTGCCTAAAGAGTCTACAAGTATAATGCGATAAAAAGACTTACCTTTAGAGTCTACAAGTATAATGCGATAATAATACTTGCCTGTAAAGTCTACAAGTATAATATGATTTAAAGCGTTGCCTCTAGAGTCTACATGGATGATGTGATAATAAGGCCTGGCTATAGGGTCTACAAGTATAATATAAAATGACTTGCCTGTAGAGTCTTCAAGTATAATGCGATAATAAGACCTGGCTATAGGGCCTACAAGTATAATGTGATAAAAAGACTTGCCTGTAGAGTCTATAAGTATAATGCAATATAAGAAAAAAATTAAGGTAATTTAGATATAGAGGTAGTTGCCGTTTAGAGAGAGATTACTAATTTCTACAGAAATAATATTTTGTGATGGATCAGACTTAGGAGGTGTTTGTTTCTTGGATGTTAGAATAATGATAATGTGGTAGTGAACCCTTAAACCTGCTTGAACCTAAACTGATCTGCGATTGTCACCAGCATAGTGCCATGCTAGCCAGCGCATCAGTGCAGTCTGATGTTAGTTAGCTTAAGAATGACAATGGTTCTACTCGGTGCCTGTTTTGTGACTGATATAATGTACAGAGGGGCACCTGTGGTCTTCCACCATCAGGAAAGCTGGAAAGTCACCATATGACCTATATCATGTTGGTGTGTAAAAAAAAAAAAGAACAAAAAAAATACTGTTGGCTGACAAAAATCAAACTGTCTACCTGATATTCCTAAGATGTAAAGTTGTCCATCCGGTCAAGTCCCATTTAATAAATTCAGCAGTTAAGGGTTAAAAAGATCTGAAAGGTATACTAGAGGTCAGTAGAGGTCAAAGGTAATAATTATCAAAAAGACCTAAAGAGTCTACAAGTATAATGCGATAAAGACTTGTCTCTAGGGTCTACAAGTATAATTGGATAAAGACTTGTCTCTAGGGTCTACAAGTATAATGCGATAATAAGACTTGCTTCTAGGGTCTACAAGTATAATGTGATAAAAAGACTTGCCTTTAGAGTCTACAAGTATAATGTGATAAAAAGACTTGCCTATAGTGTCTACAAGTATAATGTGATAAAAAGACTTGTCTCTAGGGTCTACAAGTATAATGTGATAAAGACTTGTCTCTAGGGTCTACAAGTATAATGTGATAAAAAGACTTGCCTCTAGAGTCTACAAGTATAATGTGATAAAAAGACTTTTCCTATAGGTCTACAAGTATAATGCGATAATAAGACTTGCCTAAATAATAAGACTTGCCTAAAGAGTCTACAAGTATAATGCGATAAAGACTTGTCTCTAGGTCTACAAGTATAATTGGATAATGACTTGTCTCTAGGGTCTACAAGTATGATGTGATAAAAAGACTTGCCTCTAGAGTCTACAAGTATAATGTGATAAAGACTTGTCTCTAGGGTCTACAAGTATAATTGGATAATGACTTGTCTTTAGAGTCTACAAGTATAATGCGATAATAAGACTTGCCTGTAAAGTATAATATGATTTAAAGGGTTGCCTCTAGAGTCTACATGGATGATGTGATAATAAGACCTGGCTATAGGGTCTACAAGTATAATATGATAAAATGACTTGCCTGTAGAGTCTTCAAGTATAATGCGATAATAAGACCTGGCTATAGGGCCTACAAGTATAATGTGATAAAAAGACTTGCCTGTAGAGTCTATAAGTATAATGCAATATAAGAAAAAAATTAAGGTAATTTAGATATAGAGGTAGTTGCCGTTTAGAGAGAGATTTCTAATTTCTACAGACATAATATTTTGTGATGGATCAGACTTAGGAGGTGTTTGTTTCTTGGATGTTAGAATAATGATAATGTGGTAGTGAACCCTTAACCTGCTTGAACCTAAACTGATCTGCAATTGTCACCAGCATAGTGCCATGCTAGCCAGCGCATCAGTGCAGTCTGATGTTAGTTAGCTTAAGGAATGACAATGGTTCTACTCGGGTGCCTGTTTGTGACTGATATAATGTACAGAGGGGCACCTGTGGTCTTCCACCATCAGGAAAGCTGGAAAGTCACCATATGACCTATATCATGTTGGTGTGGAAAAAAAAAAAGAACAAAAAAAAATACTGTTGGCTGACAAAAATCAAACTGTCTACCTGATATTCCTAAGATGTAAAGTGGTTCCATCCGGTCAAGTCCATTTAATAAATTCAGCAGGTTAAGGGTTAAAAAGATCTGAAGGTATACCAGTAGAGGTCAAAGGTTAATTATCAAAAGGTGTATGGCTAAAAATAGAACTAACTGGGTCGGTAATCAGTTTGACCTTTTTGTTACATTAGATAAATTACATGTCAAAGATTGTTAAGGAAAGGACATTGGTGAAGGGAAGCAGAGTGTAATTGAAATTTAAAAAAAAGGAAAGAAAAAATTCTTTCAGGAAGAGTATGAAATAATGTTGAAGCCTCTGGCAAAATCATTGCAGAATTGTAACAAATAGACCATTCAAGTGGTTATATGTGCATTTGAGATTTTTATATAACTTAGAACATTTGTAGATCAAATGGAAAACTAACATGTAACAAAGGGGAAAAACTGAGGGCAAGCAAAACATTTCTCAGTAATGTCCCTTTGACAGGTACTTGGTGCAACAAAAACTGAAATAAGAGACGAGACTGAGGAATGTTTTGGTTCCCCTACTTCTTTTGGTCAGCAGACAGCCGGGTCCAGTGATGGACTCTGGTTCCCAGGATAGTGCTTTAAGTAGTAAGCCAGGCTCCAGCACCAAGTAGTGGAAAGGTACATTAGCTCCCAGATTTTCTTCAAACAGTTAAATGATTATGGTGTGACTTAAATAGATTTTTTTGTGAAGAAGAAAAAGAGATCAAAGTTATGCAAATATATATAAAAAAGAGTCTTTTGTATACATGCTTTCAATTTTAAAAACATATGGCACTCAGTATTTGAACTGAGAATTTTTTAAGAAATAGTGTATAATTTTATGTAAAACTGCTAGCATTTTATAAAAATTTCTTTTATTTTTTCTTTTAAAAGTTTTCTGTTTAAGTCACACAAGTTTTGCTGATTGTTTTATATATTATCTTGAAATTTTAAGCATTTTCGTATATTTTGTATATGAATGCATTCCTCTTCATTTGTAGCATTTTAGTTTGTTATGTATCCATTTCTTTGAGTTTATGTTGTTGAATTATCTAATTAAAATGTCTCGGAAAGTACTTGGCATTTTGAAATTTAAAAAATTACTTCCCCTGCCCATGATAATGCATGCTATTGAAGATTTAATATATGCACATACATATCAAAGTTTCAAGTCTTTGATTGATATTGCGGTTATGTTGATACTGAAGTTACACTGCTATTGAAGTAACACTGATATTGAGGTTACACTGATATTGAGGTTTCACTAATATTGAGATTAATATTGAGGTTACACTTATAATGAGTTACACTGATATTGAGATTAATATTGAGGTTACACTGATATTGAGGTTCCACTGATATTGAGGTTCCACTGAAATTGAGGTTACACTGATATTGAGGTTACACTGATATTGAAATTACACTGATACTGAAGTTACACTGATATTTTGAACTGTAGTGACACAATTGCTAGTGTTACGACTCAAAACTTAGCTGTTCATATACACTGGCATTTAATTGATGAATTTCATATTTACTTTTTAATGTCATATACAATGTATAATATTTTTCAAGCAGTATTCTCCCCCCCTCCACACTTCACCAAACATCATCAACAAGCACACAAATATGTCAAAGCACACTCATAGCAATAAGACATGGCAGTAAACAGCAGTTTGATGGGCATAGAATTTTTATAGAACATATTAAAGTTGAAGTTTATTGTAATACCTGATGCATTGCTGTCATTAATTAGAATTTTGTTGTTCATGAAATTATGCAGCTGAAGGAAAATTGAAGATAAGGCCTTACAATGAATGTATGGTTAAAGTCCCAGTATTTAGGGTACTTTGACAGTCATTGCTACAAAAAAATCTCAAATTCTGTAGGACTTAAGTTTAATGCCTATTTTCATGGCTGGTTCATAAATACTAGTCATTGAAATGAATCTTGCAATTTATTGATTTCTTTTTTTGTATGGCCTATATGATTATGATTATAAAAATATTAAGTTAAAGTTGGAAGGAAATACATGTTGTTGACCAGTCTGAGAATGCTACATTATGATTGGTTGAAAAAATAAATGTGCACAGAATTGACCAATCGGATTGAGATATTTTTCAGACTGGTTTGGTTATTTAAGATTTTGATGTCTTGCCATGTTCTTATTGAATATTGAGCATATTTTTATCACAGCATGCTACAACTATTTATAGCAACAAAAGAAAGTCCCATGAGTTAGTTATACTTGTAATGTTCTATATTTAGAAACATGATTGCTTGTTGTAAAAGTTATGCCAATATACTTGTATTTCAGGAATGATGAAAGCATGCTGCTAACCTTCCTTTTCTCTTATTTCAGCTTGATTAACTTCATTGATTTTGGAGCATGGACAAAAAATATGAAAAAATATACTTTCATCTCATTTGGAAATTATTTCAAAACTTTATGAATAACTGACTTTTGTATGCATGGAGTAAACAAGAGTATGTGATGATTTATCAGAATTGAAGGGCCACATCAGATGTCCGGGAGAAAAGTTTATTTTAAGTATTGCAGAAAGTGAGTCAAAGGACGGTTACGTGAAACGAGCAACTTCTCGTTGTGCTTTGTGAAATATGGGCACACGAATACTTCCCTTGACATAACCGCATGAATGACTGGTGGGCATGTTACAATTTTGCCGTACAATGCATGATGACGCCGGAGTTGAAGACCATGATTTTAATAGATCCCCAGGAATCTTTTTTGTTTTTTTGTGTGTCTTTGACTTGAAAATGAAAAAAAAAAATTGAACAAAAGAAATTAGATTGCATGACGGAATGACTCAACATTATAATATGGAATGGTTATGCTTGACCTCTTTCTGCTTGTGTGTTGTATTTACCAAAAAAAAGATTTTAACAGTCGGCTGGTCAAAAGTTTGCGTGTGACAGAACACGAGGGTATGCTGCATGCTTTTAAATGAAAAAGAGTGTAAAAACAGTGATTAAATTGTAGTGTAATGGAATGATACAAAATTACACGTTATAATATCGTTGTTCGGATAGACGACAAGAGGACGTAACTTCATTCTTTTCTGATTTTGTTCTATTTTTAACAGCCATAGAGTTATTGAAGAATTACCATTGAGATGAGACAACTGAAATTCCGAATGTTTTTTTTTGGACACGGTGCAGGATTTATCAAACTATAACGTGAAAATCTCGGGAGAATTGTGACGGACGGAGTTCTTAATATATCAACGGCACAGTGTTTGTTTCAGTTTGTCGGTCTTTTCTTTATTAAAAAAAGCATTATTTTTCTTGATGACTTTTACATCACATTTGAGGTGTACATATTCTTCATAAGATATTGAGTAGTGTAAAATTTAGAATAGAATGGGGACATATAAAAGACGTGGATGATTATTTATAATAAATGTTTGTCAGATGTTTGTTTTATGCCAGAATTTACAAAACCGTAACTATTATAAAGGTATGGCTCATTTAAAAGTAATAATCATTGATAAATAAAAGTAAACAATCATTACAGTTTTATGATATATATATGCTTTATGATAATTTTATTTTTTAAAACCGAGAATTGCTATTTTTAGCATCCAATCAAATTAATCAAAGCATAATTCTATATCACATGATACAAGTTCATTCTTATTATTTAAAATGGATTCAATGTTTTAAATGTTGCTAATTTTTCTCCTAAGAAGAAATAATTTGGCAAAATTCGGAATGTAACTGTTTTTGTTCTGTTTTTTTCTCTCTCTCCAAGTCTATAAGTTTTAAAACGAGAGTTTATGTTTATATGATAAATATAGAAAATGTGGGTCGTGTGGAAGTCGATGCATAATAAACATAGGTCATATGACCATGTATTGTAACGTAGTAGACAATGTAGGTCATTTCCTAGAATAGAACCGTAAATCAGATTTTGTATTCACAATGGTTTTTATTTTTGCAACGTTTTTTTCCCCCGATACTGTACATGATTGTACCTTCCTTCCCCCCAAAGACACTTAATTTTTTTTCTTTCCGAGACACATGTATACATGTGATTTAATTGAAAATGTTCAGATGTTGAATTTGTGTCAAATTTGTCATCATGATTTTGAATGTCAATTAGAAGTAGGTAATAATGTAAAAGAAATTTAAGCATTGTGAATTTTTACCTTTGTGTTACACTGATGATTCGATTGCCATTTTCTATTTTTTTCAACGAGAGACTTAAGTGCTTCAAATAGGATAGTTAAAAGCTTAGCTCACAAGTGCTGTCATGTATATTTTGATATTTTATAACAGGTGCAGAAATTTAATTACCTTTTAAAAAAGAGATTTTTGTATCCTGAAAACAACCAACTCTGTGTAGTATAAGCTATTTTTACAATTCGTCGCCTAAGTGCGATCACGGAATAAGTCCTAAATTTAATAGCAGTTAATCAGTTATCGGACTAAGGTGACGAATTGCTTTTAAGATACAATTTCTAGTATGTGTAAAAATTTAAAAGTTCCGAGAATTATAATTAAACCAAGTTTATTTAATTTTTTTCTCTCTTTCTTTTAATTATATACTATTTTTTTAAAGTCTGTATTAAAAATAAAAAAAGTTTATTCAGAACAGTTCTGTAACTTAATAATACATGACGTACCAAAATTTTGTGTTGTGATTTTATGATTTTTTTTTTTGTGTAAATTTAATATTTTTTTCTCAGTGGTTGCTTTTTATTTTAGAGAGGCACTTTTATAGTTTATTAGTAATGATTCAGACATGACATTGTGACTTTTTATTGTTATATATTTACATAATATTTGTGGACAATTTTTTTTTCATGGTTGTGTTGAGATTTTTGTGTGCATGAGGAAAAAAATTGTTGTTTTTTTGGCTTGTAAAATATTTGAGAATATGTTAACTAAATTTTTTTTTCTTCCTTTTTAGAGATCTCAATTCTTTTGTGTTGTAAATAAGAACTGCCAACTCTCCACTCATGGTTTTCATGAATTTTGAGGGTTGACCGCAAAACTGTTGTAAGTCCTTCTATATTTCATATAAGTTACTGAAGTTTTGTGGTCAACCTATCGATTTTGTTAGAACTTTAAATCATTAAGATTTTGAAAACCGTTAAACAATAAAAATCATTATAGTTATAGAATCATTAAAGATTCTTTGATGCTTTTTGTTGTTGTTTTTTTTTGGCATCAATTATATAATAATTCTGTCATTAGAATTGTTAAAAGCTATTTATTGATGGAATATTGTTTAGGTTTATAATTCATATGTTTCAGAAATTCAAATTTTGCTGAATTTAAATGAATTGACACTGAAACTAATGTACATCACCTAATTAATATGTTAACAAATATTTTGCTGGACCAAATAAAACAATTATATTTAATCTCAGTCATATGTGACATTATTTTGATTATTATTTACACATTTTGACGAGAAATTTTTATCTCCGAGACTGTATACATTATTTGATGTGTGTGTATTTTCTTTTATTTTTTTTAAATGAAAAAAGTATTGTACATGTATATTTTTTTTCAATAGAACTGTATTATTTTAAAACCAAATAGAAAATAAATCAAATCTCTGTGTTGATAATCATTAGGTATTAACGAAAATAATAAGTTTTTGATTATCTGATTGGTTGAAAAAATTGTGGGCAGTCCATTTTAGTTAATTTGCATAAAAGGTGGATCTTACTGAGTAGAAGCTCCTCCTATATAAGGAATGTAATGTCATAGTAGGCAGAGCTTAAGAAGTTATTGATCTATGACTCCTCCCTTTAATTAAGGGCACAAAGAGACAATGTGCATGCATCTTCGAATTAATTGTTATTAAATAAATTTAATTTATTGGGATTAGTCCTGTATTGCAAAACATGATTTATTTTGATAATTAGAAACTTATTATTTCAAGACATTATAAACTAGGTCATAGCTAGCTTCTAGCTTAAAATAGCTTTGACAATAATTAGTAACGAAGGATCTACCATTGGATTAATCAGGTGATTTGGGTTTATTGACAATGGCAAAATATTGTTTTTTTTTCACAATTTGAAGAAAGACCTTTAGAAAAGAATTTGTATATATGATTATATATAGATATAGACTTATGTACATTCAGTCACATACACACACACACCCCAGTCTCTTCTGTTTTTTGGTGCTATGTAGTATATTTTTATCTGTTGGACAATTAAGTTTTAATTTTAGTCTTTTTATGTTTTATATATAGGCTAGCCAGGGCTTTATTTTCCTGTATCAGTTCTTTCTAAATTTATTGATTTTATTTTTTTGCTTGAGAATTATTACAGAATTTTTTTTCTTCTGGAAGACATAAGAAGTGCTACCTCCTTCTGTATGGACATTCTTGATAAACTTTACTATTGTAAAGATAAACTTTAATATTTTGGCTTTTACATTTTGACTTTTGAATAAATTGCATGTAGATGTCTATTGGAAGAATTTCTATTATTTTGATTTGGTTTTTCGCATTAATTTTTAAACACATTTTGACAGTATTTAAAAAAAAAATTATTTGGTACATCATCATGTTGATTAATTCAAAACATTGATATATATATCTTGACTTGTTTAGTTCTTAATTTATTTCTGGTTTGTTTAAGCTGCATATAGAAGTTAAGATCTGACGTAAACCTGAATCTCGTTAACGAGGCATTGATCCAGCATGCATGCTTTATTGTGTGCCATATTTAATCAGATCTGTTCTATTTGTTCTCTTATTTTGTCAGTGTTTTATTGTTTCTCGCAAAAATTAAAAGTGACAAGTTATTGCAACAGGAGTGTCTTTCATGAAACAGTTTAAACCATTTTGATTCTTATATAATGACAAGAAAAAAATGAAAAATTTCTTATCTAAGAAGAAAGAAAGTAGTTCTAAGCACTGTTCTTCATGTATAAAATGATTTTTTTCTTTCCACCTTGAAATGTAGTTCCCTTCTGAAGGTTTTTGGTATATGATACCCTTGCCTAGTCAATTACTTGGATATGTTAATGTGCCATAAATTAACAATTGCCATTGTTTAGTTGTTATTTCTTTGTAGGATTTTTAAAAACCTTTTTCTGTGGCCTAAAATTTTCATTTTCCTTTCTGCAGAGAGCTATTTTTGAGCATCTGATAAAAGTCTTTTAACCATCTTTTGAAGCTGTATTGTAAGAAACATATTATGTATCTAAGTAAAACACTGGATTTTTTAAAGAAATATACATCTGGGAATGGTAATTAGTTTTTTTATTTGTGAATGAAAATAACATGAGACACCTTTTTCCATATAAGTGCTTCCTTGCTCTGAATTTTTGTACATTTGGGTAAATTATTATATTCTTCTTAAATGTACGAAACCAGTCTCCAAATTCAAGCTTGCCATTGGTTAGTTTGAAAATAAGTGCTCAGAATCAGCCAATCAGTAGGTAAAACCCTTAGACTGGTATCCTATGTATGTAAAATTTATTTTTCCTTTAAATTATCATGATTTGCTATATAAATTTTTATTTGAAGTGAATGTTAAGGAATTTTAAAGTAAAACACTATAGGAAAAGTTTATGCTTGTATTATGAAATATGTAAATACAAGATGTTAAATTTAGGTAAAATTTAAAAGTGTTAAGAGATGCACCTGTCAAAAATGAGATAAAAAAGATCATGATTAGGAATATTTTTCAAAAAAAAATATAAAATATGTAAGTATCATAAAATATAGCTACCATAGGATGATTATTACAAAAAAAGAATTTATTGTAAAATTTCACTTCTTATTAAATGTTTTTCTAAGTTGTTTGTTCACAACCTGCCTGTTATTTGAGTGCTTTTTTTTCAATTTATCTATTGTTCTTGCACAAGTTTAATTCTTTTAAAACGATATTTTACCAGGAAAAAACCAGTTTCTTTCTATGCATATCTATTCATGTGTATTCTAAAAAGTATTAGGTACGTGATTTTTATTCCGCTATATATTTTTTTCTTGCATGTTCAGCATTGCTTTTTGTTGATACTTTGTTCAGTAGATTGAATGTGTTAATCAATATATATTGTGTTAATTATTTGGCTATGTGAAAAAATGACAATAATTAAAAGATGTAAGGCAACTTCTTGTCGTTGTTTTTAGTTATCTAAGTCCCTGTAGGCAAATACAGTGTGATCCCTACAGAGTGGCCTTCTGTGGAGCAAGAGTGGTCCTCTATGGAACAATTATTTTGTTACAAAAGCAGTGTCAATTCTTCCGAAAGAAAAACTCAAAAAGTCAATAAATTCAACCTCCTGAGAGCAACTGTTCTTTCAGCGACATCCTAAATTTATGCCTATGAGAGAATTTTGCTTTGCAGAGTTTGTGCGGTATTGTTAAACTGACTGTAGATTAGCAGGACATTGTTTGCCAAAGTTTGCAAGGCTGGCAACTTCAAAATTTTGAAGATAAAAAAAAACAAAACCAAAAAAAACTCGAACATTTCACCATCTTTATGTGAAAATGTTGGATTCTACTTAAGCCGGTGCCAAGTAGCCTGGATGGTACCTTACAATTACCACTACTGTCTATAAACAGGCTCAAACCCAGTCTGCAACCTTTAAACTTTTAAGTTCTGTGTTGGGCATTGATTAGGGATTCCTTTCCTCTTTATTTTAAATGTTTGTATCTATCCAGCTAGCTTACAGAACGTCCGTGGTTCTACTCGAGTGCCAGTTCATACCTGAAATAATGCACAGAAGGGCCCCTGAGGTATTCCTCCACCAGTAAAGCTGGAACGTCGCCATATGACCTATACTGTGTCTTTGTGACATAAACCCAATAAAACAAACAAAATAAACAAACTTTATTTGTATAAAATAATGATATTGAAATCCCTTAAAATGCTAATGGTTTGTTCTTAATTTAAAATGGGACGAGTTCATTGCACAAAAATAGGGACTGGTCTAATGATATACAAAGAAGAACTTTAGACTGAAAATAATTTTATTTTAAGTTTATTGTAGAAAATATATATATAACAAAATAGAAAGTTAAAATAAAAAGATTTGTATATACAGAATATTATATGGAATTTACAATTCTAAGAGTAAGACTGTGCCAATCAGGAAAACTGACTGTTATTCCACAACAATGCACTCGAAATTGCTATCTATTTTCTACGTAAAAAACTTTAGTGCAGCTATCATTAGCAATAGCTGCATGTGACTGGCATAAGTTATGTACATGTATCCTGGTTACAATATTACCACGAGTATATTAGTTATGAAGTATTGCTTCTACATGGTAATTTATTGTCCCTGAACATGTTGTCTTATAAAATATAACATACACATTTTAGTAGTCAATAATTATGATGTACTGGGTCTGGTTATTTCATGAAATGAAAATCGTATTGGATTACGATACATTTAGAAAGTTAAATCATGTATGACAGTTCATTTAGAACTTTTTTTTAGAGATATAGAACTTCTAATCAGAATTTAAAATGAACACACAGTTATTTTTAAATGGAGAGGAAGCTTATCATGTCATAAACTAAAAATCTGTTTCTAGGATTGATTATCCCACAAGTACACATTTTCGTGAGATTTTCCATGACCATGTTTGACACAAGGAAATTTACCATGTTATCTAATATTTGTTATGGTAATCGTAAGAAGTGACCAAAAAATAAACTGAAATGAGAACTGTTGGGAGGACAGTAATGCTCGACTATTCTAAAAGTTGTCACAAGGGTGTTTCATCAAGTATAATAATGCTTACCTATATGAATACATAAAATTGTCCGAAAAGGTACAAAGGCTTGTTATTAAGATGTTTTATCGAGATAATCACTGCTTTATTATTATGAATACATAAAATTGTCCCCAAAAAAAGCACAAACCCTTCAGTAGTTATGGAGATAATAACCAGCTTACAACCAAAACCTTTACCAAGAATTTCTAAGCCGAAAAAGGGGCATAATTATGAAAACAAGAGGGCCATGATGGCCCTGAGGGCGCTCACCTGTATATAGGCCCCCCCCCACCCCCCCCCCAACGTTGCAGGGCCAATTTAAACCAAGGGCTTTTATTTGCACAAACTTGGTAGACACCCATAAGAAGATGTTTCATGCTAAACATCTAAGCTCTAGCTCATTGGGCTTTTTAAAAGAAGATTTTTTTAAAGTTTTTACTTTACACATATAGTTAAAAACAATGACACCCCTGGGGCCGGGCCAGTTTTGACCCCAGGGCTTTTATTTGAACAAACTTTGTAGACACTTACTAGAAGATGTTTCATGCTTAATATCTAAACTCTAGCTATTTGGGTTTTTTCAAAGAAGATTTTAAGTTTTTGCTATACACATATAAAGAAAATCAATGACCCCCGGGGCGGGGCCAATTTTGACCCCAGGTCTTTTATTTGAACAAACTTTGTAGACACTCACTAAAAGATGTTTCATGCTTAATATCTTAACTCTAGCTATTTGGGTTTTTTCAAAGAAGATTTTTTAAGTTTTTGCTATACACATATAAGGAAAATCAATGACCCCCGGGGCCGGGCCAGTTTTGACCCCAGGGCTTTTATTTGAACAAACTTTGTAGACACTTACTAGAAGATGTTTCATGCTTAATATCTAAACTCTAGCTATTTGGGTTTTTTCAAAGAAGATTTTAAGTTTTTGCTATACACATATAAAGAAAATCAATGACCCCCGGGGCGGGGCCAATTTTGACCCCAGGTCTTTTATTTGAACAAACTTTGTAGACACTCACTAAAAGATGTTTCATGCTTAATATCTTAACTCTAGCTATTTGGGTTTTTTCAAAGAAGATTTTTTAAGTTTTTGCTATACACATATAAGGAAAATCAATGACCCCCGGGGCGGTGCCAATTTTGACCCCAGGGCTTTTATTTGAACAAACTTGGTAGACACCCATTAGAACATGTTTCATGCTAAATATCTTAGCTCTAGCTCTTTGGGTTCTTTAAAAGAAGATTTTTTAAGTTTTTACTATATGCATATAGGGAAAATCAATGACCCCCGGGGCGGGGCCAATGTTGACCACAGGGCTTTTATTTGAACAAACTTGGTAGACACTCACTAGAAGATGTTTCATGCCAAATATCTAAGCTCTAGCTCTTATGGTTTTTTAAAAGAAGATATTTAAAGTTTTTTCTTTCGGTTGCCATGGCAACCAGAGTTCTGCATGGAATTAAATTCTTTGAACAATTTTTAAAGGTGACCACCAAAGGAACATTCCTGTGAAGTTTGGATGAAATTGGCTTAGTGGTATATGAGGAGATGTCATTTAAAGTAAAAGTTTACGGACGGATGGACGGACGCCGGACGAAAAGCGATCACGAGTTATAAGACTTGTGCCAATCATGTAAGATAATCACAGAGAACAAGTGTGTGAAGTTTCAATCCATTCCCATCAGTAGTAATGGAGATACCAGCTTACATGCAAAAACTTAACCAAGGATTTCTAAGCCGAAAAAGGGGCATAATTATGGAAAAAAATCAAGAGTTATGGGACTTGTGCCAATCATGTAAGATAATCACAGAGAACAAGTGTGTGAAGTTTCAATCCATTCCCTTCAGTAGTTATGGAGATACCAGCTTACATCCAAAATCTTAACCACAGGGACGCCTACGCCAACATATGGGTGACTGCTTTAACTTGATTATTCTGCGAACAGTCGAGCAAAAAATGTAATATAAAAGGCAAAAAAGATTGACAAGATCATTCTCGGTAAAGGATGAAAATGTAAAAACACATTTGATAACATAGAACAGGATGGCGGAAATTGGGTATAAATTTTACACCAGGTAAAATGCATAATCGTAACAAATTTACCAGAAGGTATAACATAAAATAAAGACTATGATATAAAATAAACATGTTTAAAACCATAATCAATAGGGATACTCGTAAATTAACAGATAATTATCACTACCTAACAAACGTACAACAAAAAATTGCACACAATTATACCAAAATTTACAGTAAAAAAGAAAATCACCAGTTATTTGCACCTACTTTACTCTCCGTTTGTGAATATATTATACATAAATGTAGAGATGAAACAAAATCTTGTGTGGCTCCATTGGTCTACATTTGATAAAGGTATAGTTATTTATTTTCTTTTTCCTTTTCTTTCTTAGTTTTCCTTAAACAAATTCTTACTTTTCCTTAAAAAATCTAAAATTTTGCAATTTTATTTTTATATACTTTTATAACTGTCTTTTGTATTGCATGCCCCAAGATGAGCCAAAATATTTCAATGAAATCGGAATTGAGAAAAGTGTACTAGGATTTTAAGAAAAGTAAAAATATTCAAGATTTATGTAGTGTTTTACATGTTATATGCGATTTTTGACTGATTTAACAGTATTCATCACCATATTTCTACTGTGTTACTAATGCAGTCAGGGCTTTTTTGCATATTTTGACCACAATTTGATAATTTACGTGAATTTGTAAGTGTGGTTTGCAATGTGTGAATTTCTTTCTTTGTTCACTTCTTAATATTTTACTATCAAATACGATTTCAAGATTTTCATGAATCTGGAGGCATGTTGCTTTAACACAGCACACCCCTAGGTCTGTGTATCACTAAGCTGTTAAGGAATTCAAAAAATTATTATAATAGTGGTAATCGGGAACTCGGCAAATGTGGGTTTTTCCCCCCCATCTAATCCTGAGGTGCAAACACATTTTCATAATCATAGCTTAGCAAATACATCAATAACAAGTGCAACAAGTTGAACACTATTGTGAAAGGAGCTACGATGGTAAATGTTTGTTTGTAACCTTGCATCAGATGGGGACCCCCCCCCTTTTTTTTGAAGTTCCAGGTAACAAACATCTAAGCGCACAAAATGTGGTCAAGTGTACAAATGAAGGGATTTAACCTAGCTTTAGACACTTAATATCTGCAAAATTTACCTGTAATATATTGATAATACAAATGTACACATATATTTCAAACTCCATAAATAACAGGTAGAAGAAGGTTGGTGATAAAAAAAAGAAAGAAATTGTTAAATTTGATGTTGGTCCAGACCAATAACTTGTGTGCAGAATTTCAGAAAATTTGGACTAAGAATAGCACAAAATACGATTTTCAATTAATGTTTAACCCATTACTGCACGAGCATTTGGTGAAAAATGGCTGTTTTCATTGAAAAGTCTCCTGTTACAAGTTCAAATTGCTATAAAACTATAAAACCTACTTTAATACTAATCAAACTTGGCACAAATGTTGACTGGACCATAGCCTTTTTAACAACATGCTCAGTCTTTCATTTCCTATTACCATGGCCGTGCCGAAAAAGAGTGCTCACTTTTTGAAACATCATTTCTCAAACAAAAACAAGACTTAGTGTTGGGGGCCTAAATATGGCATTTTTTCACCATTTGAGACAACAAAAAAGGGTGGGGGGGGGGGAGGGGCTGAAAAAGGCATTAAAAGGCATGTATATCGGGTAATGGGTTAAGGATTATACTATATGTCTTGATTATCTTTTTTATGTCTTTTTGTTTCAAGTGCTCCAGCTGATCTATGTAAGAAATTCAAATTTTATTTTTGATCACTTAAAATAGTAATTACACATGATAAGCCAAGGCACTATTATTTAATGTCATAAGGTACACTTAATATCACTAAGGCACAGTGATTAACCAACATCCCATTATTAACCATGGCACACTGATAAACCTAACTGATAAACAGTGCATTTCTACTGAAGGCACTGTCATTGAAAATCACCTTAAAACATGTTTGCATTGTCAATAAATATCACAGGCTGGAAGTTTGATATATAGAGGATATTTGTTTGTTTTGCATGTAAGATTGAAATATAATTTCACTGAATGAACACCAGATGCAATATTTTCACGAGTGGCGTAGCCACGAGTGAAAATATAATAGCTGGTGCTCACGAATGAAATATATTTCAATCTTATATGTAAAACAAATAAATTTTCTATTTATTTCATGTTTTTTAAGTGATTTTAAGTATTTTGTACTGATTTTGCCGCGTAACGTCGCGCATTCTCCTTTGTGACGTCATCATATCATGACGTCACATAATCAATTTTGAAATACAGTTCTGTTAAATTTCTCTAATTTTGATACATTTTTAACATGATTTATGGTGAGTTCGACTTACTTTTCCTAAAGAAGCAAAATTTACGTATGACGGCATTTATTTTTGCATGTTATTCCATTTAGTTATGATTTTCTTTTCATCCGCATTCAGATATAGTCCGGCTACAGTGAAAATTATATTTTATAAATTTCACTAGTGGTTTATCAGAATATAATCATCTGATATATTACAATAAAACACTGGAAAGCATGAAATAAATAAAGATCACAGAAACTATTCTCTAATTTATGAAATGTTTATCAAGTATTTGCAGCTGCCTCTGGTTTGAAATTGTCCCTCAAATATTCTCGTGAATTTATGTCAGCCTGAAAAATATGTAAATAAAATTCGATATTTTATAACCCTGATGAAGGCTCATGATAGTCGAAACATCCATTATCGCCATTAAATAAAACCTTAAAACTTATCCTGTATTGATTGTTTGTTCCACTTGTATCAATTTTCTGAAATATGTAAATCATCATAATCAATCATAAGTCAACTGCAAATTTTTAAAATTAACCTTTATTTATCAACGTTATGGCTAAACAGCCTTCTTCAGTTTAGATATATAAACAATAAACAGGAAATTATGTCAGCGTCCCATGACATCATCATTTATAGCAGATTTATTATTAAATTATATAATAATATATATATTACCAGTCTAACGGGTTCTGGTACCCTGTGTTTACAACATTTGTGAACCAGTTTTACAGCTGTATCCATGGTAACCAGGTTGCCAGGTGACACATAGACTGGATTCTTTGTATTATTGCAGCTACGTAATGCCTGACAAAAAAATAAGAATCTTTAGTCAGCATATATTGTAAAAAACTTCCAAATTAAATGAAATAAATACATGTAATACATGGGTAAATTCTCAACAGACTTAGCTTAAAGACATTTTCGAGAGTTTTCTAACAGACATATAGGCAGAATTAAAACTGTTCCAATGAATTTCTTTAAACTTGGCATGTTGTTAGAATATGATGACAGAAATATTCTGTCATGAAATAGTCAGAACTGTTTAATGGTTCAATCCTTCAATTCATTATAATTGTGTTGCATTGAAACTGTGAAATTTCAGTATATTGTTTTCATGTATACAAAACAGTAGTGTGTTATTAAAATACAAACTTATGGGAGATGTTCAATTTACTCATACTCTAATACAAGTATGTAGGCATTGGTTCTCTTCTTTCACATATTATTTTATTTACAAAATCTGTTAGCAAGATTTAGTTGCCTCCCTTTAACCTTTTACTTGTTGTAACCAAACGTGATATGCTTTTATCACCAGTATAGAGCCTGGTCAGCCGGCATATCCTTACAGGATTACCTGTCTTGAACCTGTTGGTAGCTAAATTCTTACATTTTGATATTGAAATCCTTCAGATGTCAAATGGACAGTTCTTAATTCAAAGCAAGACACATCTATAACCTAAACTAAGCAGCTTCTAGGGGCATGAGGGATGTTGCACTTTCACATTATCTCTCATGTACAGACTCAAACAAACCAAGTCTGCAATTTTCATGTAATTTTGTTAAGATTACGATCTTTCTCCACATCCTAATCAAGTTTACAATTAAATTCTCTTCTTTATCCTATTTTTGACTGCACTATCAAACTTTTACGATTTGGATTCCCTCCATTTCATTTTTATCTGAGGCTACAGATGTGCCAACGAAAACAACATACAATGTATTTGGTCAAGGGGAATATTTTAATCTGTAGGCTGAAAATAAAACCAATTACCCCCCTCCTGCACCCATCCCAACAGGAAAATTTACCCCAGTGCCTTAAAAATTTCCTGGGGAAAGGCATTTCAACCGATGATATGGATCATTTATCTGTTAATATTGAAAACCCTGCATTACCAACCTTAAACAACTGTAAATCAAGGATCAAGAACTTTAGTTCACTGCTGTTATTATACAATCAGACATGTTTAAATGCTATAAGAACTGAACAAGAATGATGGTAAAGTATCTAATGTAACAACAAGTACTCGAATAAGGTCAATATTTCACAAAATAAAATCTTACCATTCCTAAAGTTTTTCCTGAGTTACCTATCAATGGGAATGTGTCACCACCAGTGGTTAATGCTTCTATCTGTGATAATACAAATCAATTGCTATCTGTATGCATACTGTATACAATGTACAAAATGTTTAACTTAGTATAGGATTTTAAATTTTGCTGAGACACGTTTGTTTTGTTGTTTTATACAGGAGTTTGTTTAATTTGTGTACACATTAAGTTGTTTTGTCTGCTCATAAAAACATGGAAAGTTTTACCTTAGAAACAGGAGTTTCCTTTGTTCTTGTACACAAGAGTTTTTTTTTGACTTCCATACAAATACTATCAGTAGTGTTTACATTGTGCTACTCTAATTACAAATTATTTCACATTTAGTGCTACATTTTTCAGGTAATGAGTATCTAGCAATCTCTAAAACCATTATTAAATTCATATTTGCCCTTTGTAAAGAAATAAGAATTCATTCGTTTTTGAGGAATAATATGCCTTTAACACACACTGTCATATCATGCAGATTTTATGGCATCAGAAATGCCGCACAGGTATGAGATAAAAGTGGTATCAAGATAATTAGGAGTACAATGTACCTTTTGCTTATGCTCACTGTCATTTTCTAGACCATCCACCTGAAACAGTTTCTTAGCCACACCTATACATGGTAAATTCAAAATTACACCCATGTGACTTGCTGAACCAAATCCTGAAAATTAATTAGAATGCATCAATCTTTTTCATTTAAAAATATAGTTAATGTATTTCTTAGAAACAAATTTAAAGATAATAGTACTATACTAAACAATTTTTTAAATCTTTGCTTAGCTGTTATATACTAGATATGTAGTTAAAAATATGCCTTCACTTTAGAACCACCAAAAGTGGGTCAATGCAATTTCAATATTAAATACTTAATATGAGCACCAAACAGTTTAATATCCTTGTTTTTTTTACATATCAATCTGAGAATTTTAATTGTAAAAATATATACAAACAAACTAGAAATATGTCAAAAGGACACTGATGCCTACAGACTGATAGCATGACAGTCTGACGGATGGACAAGGCAAATCTATATGCCCCTTCCACCTTTAATAAATTTCAAGATGGGCAGAAACAATGCCTTTTCATACCACTTACAATAGTAGTTATATACCAACTTGATTTAATAAATTGAGTGACAGACTATTAGCTAAAAATATATATATATTTTTTTTTATCTGATTTTACATCACACCGACACAGCAGAGGTCATATAGTGACTCTTCAGGTGTAAGAAGACCTCAGGTGCCCAGCCATGCATTATTTCAGACAAGAACAGCCACCTGAGTAGAACATCTGATGTTCCATAGGCTGACTGGATAGCTTCCTCACATGAAAAAATCTGAAGTTCCTGGCAGGATTCAAACCAAAACCACTAGGCCACAAACACCCCTATGAAAAAATATCACTTACCATTAAAAGAATATAAGAAATTGAAAAAAAGAATACCTTTAGGATGCAGTATACCATTGCCATCCACCATAACAACGTGAGGTATATACTGCGGCTGATCTTTTCTTAACTTCTCAAACAGATCCACAATAAACGGCACTTCTCGGAAGCCAAGAAATCCCGGGATGTACGGCTCTGTTAATTGTATCATCTGACAGTCACTGTACACAGTCTATTTATGAAAATTAATCTGACGTTTAATGTAACATACATTTTTGATACAAGTAAGTTTAATAATAAGTTTACTACATACATGCACATGCAAAACTTCCAAGATGGCTCAACATTAAACGATAATTTCTTTAAAGGAGTGGGGCAGTCTTTTTAAAATTCGGGTATGGTTGTTTTTATATCATACACATTTTTCATTATCAATTTTTGATCAATCACCTTTTTAATAGCCTATCTTTTGAAATATATTACTAATTCAACTAAACTTAACAGTGAACAAATGAGCATTATATCACTATAATATCTTAGATTTCATTTCTAACTTCTTTTCCATATAAATAGTCATTTAAATATGGAAAAAACTAAAAAAAAACTTCAAATGAGCGTTCTTTAAGACTATTTATGTATGAAGGCTTTTTATAGAAATTAATGCATCTTGGGAAATAATTACCTACCTTGAGGTCAGGAAATGATAAAACAACTACTGCTGCACAAGCATTTACATCATCACCTTTCACAAATGATATATCTACACCAGCTACATAGTACATCTTCTTTACAGATTCTGATAACAAAGAATATACATGTGCATACATATACATGTATAATGTATTCAAAACAACAAAAACTAGAACTGCCACTATCATGGCTTGAATACCCCCGCATACCACTTTGTCAGAATAAACAGTGGCCATTTAGAGCTCAAGGACAACCTCCCTGCCAAATCTGAGGTTACTAAGACAGTGCATTGCTAAGTTATGTATTCTACATGCTTCAAATGTCAAAATCAATACATTGCGGACAGGACATTCTTTAGCGATTGAGAAGAAAAGCTTTTTTTTTGTCAAGGTCCCTGTGACCTTGACCTTTGACCCAGTGACCTCAAAATCAATAGGGGTCACCTTATAGTCATGATCAACATCCATACCAAATATGAAGACTGTGGGTCAAAGGAATCTTAAGTTAATGGGTAGACAAACTTTTTGAAGTCAAAGTCCCTATGACCTTGACCTTTGATCCAGTGACCTCAAAATCAAAAGGGGTCATCTACTAATCATGATCAACATCCATGCCAAATATGAAGACTGTGGGTCAAAGGAATCTAAAGTTATTGGGCAGACAAAGTTTTTGAAGTCAAAGTCCCTGTGACCTTGACCTTTGACCTGGTGACCTCAAAATCAATAGGGGTCATCTACTAATCATGACTAACCTCTATGCCAAATATGACGACTGTAGGTCAAAGGAATCTTAAGTTATTGGACGGACAAGCTTTTTGAAGTCAAGGCCCCTGTGACCTTGACCTTTGACCTGGTGACATCAAAATCAATAGGGGTCATGTACTAATCATGACTAACCTCCATGCCAAATATGAAGACTGTAGGTCAAAGGAATCTTAAGTTATTGGGCGGACAAGCTTTTTGAAGTCAAGGCCCCTGTGACCTTGACCTTTGACCTCAAAATCAATAGGGGTCATCTACTATTCATGACTAACCTCCATGCCGAATATGAAGACTAAGGGTCAAAGGAATCTTAAGTTATTGGGCGGACAAGCTTTTTGAAGTCAAGGCCCCTGTGACCTTGACCTTTGACCTAGTGACCTCAAAATCAATAGGGGTCATCTACTAATCATGACTAACCTCCATGCCAAATATGAAGACTGTGGGTCAAAGGAATCTTAAGTTATTGGGCGGACAAGCTTTTTGAAGTCAAGGCCCCTGTGACCTTGACCTTTGACCTAGTGACCTCAAAATCAATAGGGGTCATCTACTAATCATGACTAACCTCCATGCCAAATATTAAGACTAAGGGTCAAAGGAATCTTAAGTTATTGGGCGGACAAGAAAAACCGATGGACGGCCGGACGGCCGGACGGACAAGCTGATTCCAGTATACCCCCCTTACAAGTTTGTTGTGCGGGGGTATAACAAGAGCTGTCCGTAAGACAGCGCGCTCGACTTTTTTATTGCTTGCCAATAAAAAAAGTTTTTGCAGTAAAAGGCAATACAAGAATCTCTGTATTTTTAAAGTGAACAATGGCCATGAGCATTAAGATATTTAGTGAAGAATTATTTTATTATGACATAATTTATGGTAAAGTGAACAAGTGGATAGGAATGAATTTTTTTAGATTTTTTAAGTTTTTTAGTGCTTGCCTATAATACAAAACATTGACAGTTAAGGGCCATAATTCAAATAAAATCTTTGACAGAATTACCTTCTCCTGGACATGTTTGGGAATCATGATTGTAAACAAGTATTCCAACTTTCAAATTAATATCTCAAACAGTTCAGTCAAAAAGTGGACTGGTACTAAAAACTTAACCAAGATTCTAAGTCGATAAAAGGCCTTAATTTTTAAAACAAATCCTTGACAGAGTTACCTTCTCTTGCGTACAGATGGGGGTAATGATGTGAAATAGCATTAAAAGTTTCAAAGCAATATCTCAAAGGGTTAAGGCAATAAGTGGATTTTACCCATATTCAATGTATTTTCTAAGTCAAAAAGGGGCATAATTCTGTCAAAAACCTTGACAGAGTTATGTCCTCTTGTCTGTTGATGAAGGTCGTGATGGTAAACAAGTATGGTCAGTTTCAAAGCAATACCTCCAATGGTTTTGAAATAAAGTGAGGTGGTACAAAAAACTTAACCAAGCTCAATACACTTTCTAAGTCAAAAAAGGGCCATAATTCTGTCAAAAACCTTGACAGAGTTATGTACTCTTGTCTGTAGATGGAGGTTATGATGGTGAACAAGTATGGTAAGTTTCAAAGCCATACTTGTAATACTTCTGAAATAAAGTGGGGTGGTACGAAAAACTTAACCAAGGTGTGACGCCGACGCCGACGCCGACGCCGGGGCGAGTAGGATAGCTCCCCTTTTCATAGAAAAGTCGAGCTAATAACGGCAATCAATTTCATCATGAATCGTTGTTTTTGGGTGTTAAGTTGTACATGCATTGTAAAGATTTTAGGCTACTTTCATGATTTTACAGTTCAAAAAGGGCCATCATTCTGTCAAAACCCATGTGACAGTTATGGGCCTTGGACAGTGACAACCCCCCCCCTCCCCCTATATATTTATGCTCTTAAATAAGTGTGTGAAGTTTCAACCTTTTCCTTTCAGTATTTTGGAGATACCAACTTGCATAAAAAACAAGAACTGTCGGAGGACAGTATTGGCTCAACTATTCAAAAAGTTGTCACAAGGGTGTTTTATTGATTATAATAATGCTAGTTACCTATGAATACATAAAATTGACCGAAAAGGTAAAAAGGCTTGTTATTAAAATGTTTTATCAAGTAAATCACTGCTTTATTATTATGAATGCATAAAAATGTCCCAAAAAAGGCACAAACTCTTCAGTAGTTATGGAGATATCAGCTTACAAGCAAAACTTTACCATGAATTTCTTAGTTGAAAAAGGGGAGAAAAATCAGCCTAAATGCAAGATAGAATTATGGATCTTGGTCAGTGACCTATAATTATGATTCTAAAAGCATATGTGAAGTTTAAAATAAATATCTTTAATAGTTATTGAGATATGTAAAACTTGCATGTAAACATTAACCAAGAGACTAAGTAGAAAAGGGGAGATGAATCAGCCTAAATGCGAGTAGAGTTATGGAACTTGGTTAGTGACATACAATTATGACTCTCAAATTATGACCCTAAGTACATGTGTAAAGTTTCAAGTAAATATCTTTGAAGACCTTTAACCTTTAACCAAAATTCTAAGTTTCAAAGGGGCAAATAATTCTGCAAATATTGCAGGCAGAGTTATGCAATTTTGCAAACTGATGTACATTGTTACTATAAACAAGAGCTGTCAGAAGGACAGCGCGCTCGACTTTTTTAGTGCTTGCCTATAAAACAAAACTTTGACAGTTAAGGGCACACAAGACTTTAACTAGGAATTTCTAAGTACAAATCAAGAAACATTTTCACAGAGTTATCTTCTCTTGCTTACAGATAGGTCTCATGATGGCACATAAGAACTCCAACTTCCAAAAGTAATATCTCAAATGGTTAAGTCAACAAGTGGACAAGAATGAAAATCTTAACTGAGTTTCTAAGTTCAAAAAGGGCCATAATTCAAATAAAAATCCTTAACAGAATTACCTTCTCCTGCCCATGTTTTGGGACCATGATGGTAAACAAGTATTCCAACTTTCAAATTAATATCTCAAACAGTTCAGTCAAAAAGTGGACTGGTACTAAAAACTTAACCAAGATTCTAAGTCGATAAAAGGCCTTAATTTTTAAAACAAATCCTTGACAGAGTTACCTTCTCTTGCGTACAGATGGGGGTAATGATGTGAAATAGCATTAAAAGTTTCAAAGCAATATCTCAAAGGGTTAAGGCAATAAGTGGATTTTACCCATATTCAATGTATTTTCTAAGTCAAAAAGGGGCATAATTCTGTCAAAAACCTTGACAGAGTTATGTCCTCTTGTCTGTTGATGAAGGTCGTGATGGTAAACAAGTATGGTCAGTTTCAAAGCAATACCTCCAATGGTTTTGAAATAAAGTGAGGTGGTACAAAAAACTTAACCAAGCTCAATACACTTTCTAAGTCAAAAAAGGGCCATAATTCTGTCAAAAACCTTGACAGAGTTATGTACTCTTGTCTGTAGATGGAGGTTATGATGGTGAACAAGTATGGTAAGTTTCAAAGCCATACTTGTAATACTTCTGAAATAAAGTGGGGTGGTACGAAAAACTTAACCAAGGTGTGACGCCAACGCTAACGCCGACGCCGACGCCGGGGCGAGTAGGATAGCTCCCCTTTTCATAGAAAAGTCGAGCTAAAAAGTATTGTAAATTTCAATTGAATATCACAAGCAATAATTGAGATATTTGACTTTACAAAAAAACTTCAACCAAAATTTCTAAGTTATAAAGGGGCATAATTCTGTAAATATTATAGGCAGAGTTATCCAACTTGTCAATCTGATGTACATTGTTACTATAAATAAGTATTGTAAGTTTCAATTGAATATCTCAAGCGATAATTGAGATATTTGAATTTACAAAAACTTTAACCAACGCAGACGCGGACGCCGGGGCGACTACAATAGCTCTCATATTCTTCAAATAGTCGAGCTAACAAAAATTGTGACGCCCATGTGAGTACAATAGCTCTCCATATTCTTGGAATAGTCAAGCAAATAAAAAGTTCTGAAACCAAGTGCAGCACCAATGCCAACACCTGGGTGAGTACAATAGCTGTCCCTATTCTTCAAAAAGCTCAGCTAAAATGAGACATAACTCCAAACATATGGCTTCCACAATGAAGCCCCTTGTCTTACAACTGTTTTGTGTTAAAACATTGTAAAATGTTTGAATAATGGGCTACATTAAAGTTTTTGCTCCATCACCATAACAATCATAACAGATAAAACTTTCTTTGAAACAGACAAGCTAAAAATTGAGCTACCAACAGTATCAAGCCTGATTTTAGAGTAACACAGGTTACAGGCCAATATTTTAATTAAGTCTTTCCTTCATCATGTGTAATAAGTCAGGTCAGCTCATGTACAGTGTTAATGTACATTCATGCTGTTTAACCAGACTCTATACAATTTGGCTGGTCAATTTTAGTAATTTGATATCAAAATCTCTTAAATTAACAATTCCTAAAACTTAAAAGTCCACTATATAAATTAAGTACAGATTAAAATAAAGATATACACTGTATTATGGACTGACCAGGGTCACATGAACCAGCCATACATTTCAAATCTTCACTGTCTTCAAGTACCATCCTCTTCTTTAACTCTTCTTGTTCCCTGTAAAAATATACAGAATGCTTTTCCTGCCAATTTAGCTTAAAAGTGATACATAATTCAGGTCACTGGTTCCATCCTAAGGCAAGGCAATATTTTTCCATGACAACCAGCATAAGGTCTAGCGGTCATTTGTCCCTCACCACTGATTCAGAAAATCATGTGGGATATATAGTCTGTCATATGCCATCAATTGGTAGTTACATTTAGAAATCTTAAATGGATTGACAGCTGAGAATTATGGCAAAGTGTAAAAAGCAAAAACAAAAAACTTGCTTTTAAGTCAGATAGATCTCAGCAAATACATCAGCAGTCCTTTGTTCGTATATAATTATATGTATGAGAAAAAGAGATAAAATTAATTTGATTTTCTATCAATTTTGCTTGAAATTCTGTCAGATGATCATAAAAAAGTTAAAAAGAATTGACATATTGACACGGTGACAATAATTATATTATTACGATGGGCTATAATAAGCTACTTCCAAAACTGAAATTTATGATAAATCAATCCTGGTCTATATCAAACAATATGCAGTGAAAACATATTCCTTACGAACAAAATTTTTGGCATAAAACTAAACTAAAAGAAGCTGTACTTTTCACTTCTTCTTAATTTAATGCATGATATATTCTTGTTCATGAAACCAAATAATCACCTCTCTTACATCTCTTTGATTATTAAGATAATAAAAGTCTTAGAATACATCATCATGTTTAGAAAAAAATTTGAAATTTCTTACCTTTCCCATTTTTCTCTTACTTCATTTGACAGAAGTATTTCAGCTCTACTTGTCGGAATTTCTACTAAACCTAGCGGCTTAGCTATGTAGTTTATGAAACAGTTTCTAGAATAAAGAAATCTATGTGAACTTAAGTACATTACTGCACTTGTAATAACATTTATTTCACATATTTAATAAAATATAATCAGAGACATAGATAACAGAGATAAGCAGCTCCTGTATACTCCATTAAAATATCACCCACACCTATCAAAAAGGGTAAAATTAGGCATTTTGTAGCAAGTAAAACTTAATGGTTAAACATAATTTTGATCCTTTAATATTATATACCTTTTGAAAGGTAAAATCATAAAATTTTATCTATTGCTGCATGTTAAAATATTGGTAATTTTCCACGCATTTCACTTAGAAAAAAATAGCAAAGCATACCCACTGAGCCAGTTTTTTCTTCATATGAATAGTTTTGTAACAAAAATTATTAACTATTTCTGTTTAAAAATTGATGTATCATTTATTTAAATGGGAACTGTAAATATTTTTGCCTGCAGACATAGACAAATGCATAAGCTTTCAGAAAATGTATTATTTACTGAATTTGAAATCTAGTTAGTAAGATTTACTTGCTGCAAGTTTTAAGTTTAGCAGGCATGCATGATATTTTAACTGGATAAGAAGTTGCCTACCTTTGATATCTATGTCTCTGATATAACCAATGATCTTTTAGCATCATGTTATATAATATACATAAATCAATATTGGATCCTTTCATTTCCTGAGTCCAAAACATCCATATCAAATGCATATACATGTAGTACCTAATATAGGACACTGTTATGATTAGGTTTTTTAAGTCCGCTAATAAGTTTACAATACAACAAGTAATTAGTATCTCACGATGGGCAATGAAATTAATTATTGTCATTTAACTGAAGCCAAATGTGCCCTCTCACTTTGTTAAACTATTATAAAAAAAGTATTGTGTTTCAACTCCCCACAATAGGAAGCAATTCAAAATATTCATAAGAAGCAATTCAAAATATTCATAAGACCAAATGATTAAGACTAAATACTTACCTTAATGCAGACAGCATTCTGAGACTGATATACTCTAATTTTAATGAGCGCCTTACTGAAAAGGAATAAAACTAAGGAAATAAATGTTGGTTTATCGGCAATCAGAGTTTCTGCTTTAACGAAACAAATATGTTTAATGAAAATTAAACTATATTTAACATACTTTTAATACTAAAACTAATGTTTCATCCTTAGAAATGATAAGAGACCGCATTACATTTCACAGTTTTCAATCACTTTGCATCAGCAATTCACCTCTATATCACTTAGGCGCTTTGTTTACAAACGTCATTCGGAATTGTTCGGTTATGGACGTAGGAGTATGTAAAACAGATTTACCTTCCTGCATGCATAGTGCTGTTTAATTCAGGTAGTATATGCCCAAACACCTATTTTGATATATGATACAGACATTGGACTCTCAAGTTACTGTGTACATGCATTTAAAATCTAATAAGATATAAGAAATGAAATAAAAACATCTTCACTTCAACATCAAATATTCATGGAAATCTTCAAAAATATTTACAAAATTTTCTGAAAATTCATACACACAGAATTTCTAGTAGTCCTAATTTGGAGATAAACATGGAGAGATGATGAACGTGGAGATATGACCTCCGGAATGGATTAACATGGAGATACTACCCACAAATTGTAGCCGTAAATGGTTTGACCCATAGTGTGTTGATACAGCATTTTTTTTCTGACTGAAAAACTGTTGGAATAACTGACATTGCTTGTCCAAAATTTTCTTGATGTCTCTTTGACAACTCTAATTAGTTGATTTATCCATATAACTGTTGAGAATCTGAATGACGGACAAGTCTGTTTAAAATAATTTAGCACGGTAAGGATTAAATACATCTAATGTTTCAAGGTGATATTTATTGCAGCACCAGTTTATTATATATATATTATATGTTAAGTAAACGGGTGCTGGATCATAAGTTACGAGAATCTTGTTCTTGATGATCAAGGGGAGATTATTTTATGATAGGAAGTGGCTACCCTGGACCTGCAAAGGGGGCTTGCGCAGCCCCCTTGACCCCCGGCGTTCTATTTTCCGCTTTTCGATTTTGTTTTATTTTAAAGGTGTCGAAAATGTAAACTTAATGAAGACAAAAAAAGGAATAATATCAAAATTTTTCCTAAACTATTTCAATTGATGTTATTTAACTGTGACCAAACGCTATTTTTTCTCAACGTGTTGAGATCGATGACAAAGAAACATATTCGTACTTTTTTTTACTGTAGCCAACAAGTCGATTAATCTCTAAAAAGGAAACATATATGTACAAAGACAATTGCTGTTTCTTAGTTAAAATCCTCATTTAAAGTAATAAAATAACATATGCATTTTCGACTTCCATATAATTTTGAAAATGCTGTACGGCTAGTCAATACAGCGTGTCCTTGCTAGTCGTATGTGACTCACGTACGGCTAGAACTTTTGGCTAGCCGTACGGGCCCTTACGGCTAGCCACTTCCTTTATGATAATTTGACCATTATTTGTAGATCTAAAACTAATGTGCCGAACACCTGGCCCGGCTTTGCTCTAAGTGGTAATTCAAATTTAATACTAGACTTTTTACTCTTTGAATTTTAGGATAGCATTAAGACTACAGGAATGGAAATGACAGCATGACTTCTCTGAAACATAGACACATGGAAGCATTAAAGGTTAGTTATCTTTTTGTTATATATTTTTCATAAGTTTTAAAGTAATTTTTGCTTCATCTGAGTGATGCAAAAGTTTTATGGACAATTGAAAGTTTTAGGGTAGGTAATTCAGTCTGAATAAAAGAGCATAAATTCTTCTTGTCCTGAGTACCTTTGACTGTAAAATCATAAATGATAATTCATATAGCATATATTTAAAAATTGATGTTGCATGCAAAACTTTAAAAAAGAATGTTCTTAGGCCATAACTAAAAATTGTTGGTTTGCAGTTGCCCAACCGACTGAAGGAAACTGGCCTGACTCAAAAATTTATTTGGACTTACTGAGCATATAATCATATGCTTTCTTGATTCAACACTAAAATGTAAAAAAAAAAAAGAGAAAAAAATCCTGACCTACAGACTCACTGTTTAAAAGGTGGGTCGCGCAACTGCAAACCAAATTTTTTTAGTGATTGCCTTGGTTAAAAAAGGACAAAAATTCAGTTGAAACACATACTAGAGTTATGGGCCTTGGAAAGTGACCTCTTTTAATGATCCTGATTCCTAGCCGATTTTTTTCATTCTTCAGAATGGAGTAGAGTCGTTGCAAGATGATACGGCTTTGGCCGACGTGGACATCATCATCAACAACAGGATATTTCGATGTCACAGGTCTATTTTGGTCGCTATCTCACCATATTTCCGTGCCATGTTTACCACGGGTATGAAAGAATCAACTCAAAGAAGAGTTGTTTTGCAGGTAATCTTGTTTGAATTATTCTGTCATATATTTCCAATGCAATCAAACCTTTTTATGCCCCCGCCATGTAATGGCCGGGGCATATAGTGTTACCCTGTTCCGTCATTCCGTCCTTCTGTCCTTCCGTCATTCTGTCATTCCGTCATCATCAGTTTCCGTTCATTATCTTAAGAACGGTTGGACATATTCAACTCAAATTTGACATATGGATATGTCATGAGAAAATACAGGTCAAGATCGAATTTGGTCATGGTTCGATGATTTTTGGCAGAGTTATGCCCCTTTTACTTTGAAAATAATATGAAATTTCAGTTTCCGTTCATTATCTTAAGAACGGTTGGACACATTCAATTCAAACTTGACATATGGATATGTCATGAGAAAATACAGGTCAAGTTCGAATTTGGTTATGGTTCGATGATTTTTGGCAGAGTTATGCCCTTTTTACTTTGAAAATGATATGAAATTTTCAGTTTCCGTTCATTATCTCCCCAACGGTACAACACAATCAACTCAAACTTGACATATTGATATGTCATGAAAAAATACAGGTCAAGTTCGAATTTGGTCATGGTTCCATAATTTTTGGCAGAGTTATGCCCCTTTTACTTTGAAAATAATATGAAATTTTCAGTTTCCATTCATTATCTCCCTCAAGGTACAACACATTCAACTCAAACGTGACATATGGATGCGTCAAAGGAATGCGCAGGTCAAGTTCAAATTTGGTCATGGTTCAATGATTTTTGGCAGAGTTATGCCCCTTTCACTTTGAAAATAATATGAAATTTACAGTTTCTGTTCATTATCTACCCAACAGTGTTACATATTCAACTTAAATTTGACATATGGATATGTCAAAGGAATAGGCAGGTCAAGTTGGAATTTGGTCATGGTTTGATGATTTTTTGGCAGAGTTATGTCCCTTTCACTTTGAAAATAATCATCTTAGGAATAAGCAGTTTAAGTTTGAATTTGGTCATGGTTCAATGATTTTAGACAAACTTATCTTTCCTGAATGTTGGAAAAATTTTGAACTTTCAGTTTCAGCACTCATACTTATAACCATTATTTTGGCTACAAATATGCAATATGCTATTTTTAAAAGGTTAAGACTGAATAGACCGCCTCCGTGGTCGAGGGGTTAGAGTCAATGACTTCTAATCCAGTTACCTTTCTGGCGTGGGTTCGATCCCCGGGAGATCTAGTACTGGTACTGGTGTAACTCTCCAGGAACGATGGTTAGGAAACTACCCGCCTATATGACTGAAATACTGTTGAAAAAGGCGTAAAATGAAGCAAACAAATGAACAAACAAACGAATAATTTCAGTGCCTTGAACATTGTATGAAAATGGTTTGTGTTAACATGGAAAAGTTTTAAGGGCTTTGAACTTAAAATGAAAGAAATAATTAATGCACCATCTGAAATTTTGGCTGCATGCGGGGGCATCTGTGGCATGATGACACATTTCTAGTTTGTATAGAACCTATATATAGAAATATTAGTCTGTGGGAGAATAAATAAACTTTGTTGGTAAGTGGTCTGTAATAACAGGTAACTTTATGCTAAGCTTGATCAAGGAACAACTTAACATAGTGGACTTTAGTAATTGACTTTCTGGATGTTATTATTTAAAGATGGCCTCTTATTTTTACTCTTACCCTGCTGGAACTGAAAGTCATTTGCCTTTTTCACCAGCATGCACTGCACATCCGTGTGTAACATAAAATTTTGACCATGTTGAAAATTGATCCCTTCCTGTCATTTAATGACCAACCCTCGCATAGAAAAATTGACCCATGTTAATCCTGCCCAAATTTAATTTTTCTGTACTGCTCAGGGGAAGTTACCACTGCGAAAGGTTTGTAAACTCCCAGCAATGGTTACATCCCCTGATGAGTATATTGAGTTTGACGCAGATTTTCGATGTCCTTGATACACCTGTGAAATCATTTTTGTGATGCCTGTGAGATATTCTGTTTCTTCAAAGTGTTTCTGTTCTGCAAACAGGCATTTAACTAAAATTTAACTAAGCGTTAGAAAAATGACCCTATTTTGATTAAAATTAAATGATTGATCAGTTCTCAATGACTTTTTGATCAAGGTTAATGTTGATCAAACTTAATTTTTAATTGTTAACATTGAAAAATGACCCAGGTTCAGTTCTTAATTTGAAAAATGATCCATGGAGTTGGGTCAGTTTTCAACAGGGCCACAATTTTATGTTATACCGTGCAGTCTGACCAGCCAGCTCAATTTTTGTATTTTTATAATGAAACCCCTTAAACTTTGAATGGATTCTTTTTATAATTCGCCAAATTCATTAAAAAAATTCAACAGGTTATAACTGTTAAGGGTTAAGCTAATGTTATTATAGTTATATACTATATTATATGGCAGATAGTAAAGTACCAGCCACTTTCATTCCATTCAGTAGCTGAAAGAATATCATTGTTTAACTAAATTTAAGATTTTGTTGTTTGCTATAATAAATGGTCTTGAATTAATGACATAATTAAAGACTGCTTACTTGGCTTTTTGAACAAACATGTTTCTGTTAGGCCAAAGGTTAAAAGGGTATTCAGTTAATGCTATCTCTTCTGAAAGCAATATTTAACTGTTCATATTTTAATATTTTGGGATTTAATGAAAGTGAAATGTGTTTCAAGTTCAAATGAGGAGTTAAGATAAATATGGGCTTTGCTCAACATGAAATAAATGTTGTCTATTGTCAGATCTCAAAAAGAGAATTTGATGTTACATAATATTGTTTATATTTCCAAAAGTTCAGATATGCAATTACATAATATTGTTTATATTTCCAAAAGTTCAGATATGCAATTACATAATATTGTTTATATTTCCAAAAGTTCAGATATGCAATTACATAATATTGTTTGTATTTCCAACAGTTCAGTTATTTAATTTCAAGTACATTTGTACTTTAAAATATTTTTGTTTTTCATTTTCTTCAGGATATTGAGGAGACACCGTTTGAGAAGTTTCGAGACTTTGTATACACAGGCAGTATTGACCTTTCAGATGATGATGTCATTGAAATATTGAGGATTGCGGCTCTTTTCCAGGTATGAAGCTTAAAGGCACACTATGTTTCAAAAATGTTTTTTCTTCTTTAATTAGAAAGAACAAAAATGAGTTTTATAACACTGAAATAATGGTTTTATAGCATGTTAGGTGCTTGTCACATGAACAAAGTAGCACTAAATGTGAAATTATTTGTCATGAAAGTAGTACAATATAAACAAAATAGTATTTTGACTTCCATACAAAAATATTAAATCAGCTATAACTGCCCTGAATACCAAAAAGCAGCAGAAGCAAATGGTGGTATAGCTTTAAATGGCCAATCAGTAACTTTTAGAAACTTTAACAGGACACGGAAATTAAAAAGCTTTGCAGGAATAAAAATAAAATCATTTCTGGGGGATAATGAGCCATTGCGGTCAAAGAGCCTAAAAAAATAAACTTTTGAAAATCTTACCTACATCAACTGATACACTGAAAATGTGAAGATATGAAAATGATAAAAAAAAATGCACAAATGCACAAAGAAGTTAATTGAAATCTATATTTTATGAGTTTTTTTTGGGACCGATTTGAGGTAAAAGCATGATATAATATTCAAAATATATTGAAAAAGAAATCTGTATAGTCATCGATTAAATTTTTATGAAACTTTTGTTTCAGGTTGACTGTCTACAAGATCACTGTGAGGAAGCTTTACTTGAACAGCTAAAGGGAAATAACTGCTTGGAAATGTACCGACTGGCCTGTATGTACAACTGTAAAAGATTGAAGGTAAAAATTGGGAAAAAATAAGTTACAGAGATAATAAATAATTCTTATATTCACAGTGGGTAAATTGTAAAGTGGTATTTTTCCTTTGCATGCTAGCTTGAAACAGGGTGAATTGTATATGCTTGTAATAAATGATACAGTGATTCTTTACCTACACTGTGATACATTGAATAAGTAAAAGTTTCTAAATGTAGTATGCCATCCTATGTGTTAAAATTTTGCCTTCTGTGTTGGGGATTGTACCAGCTTAGTCATTTATTAATAACATTTATATATGCCAGTAATATATTATACAAATTTGTTATCAGAAGACAATTAATATTTATACATTCACTAAGCATGGAAGGACCCCAGATAACCTTGTATATCTTTTGGCCATACCCTTTTGTATGTACAGGTACATCTCTAATGTTACTTTATGTATTTATAAATCAAAAAAGTATTTAAATTGAATATTGAAAAGAGATTAGCTCTGATTATACATGAAGTTTGTTCAAAATCTATTTTCAATGGTTCATTTTCTTAAATTTTTCAGAAGAAATCCTGGCCAGCTATTCTAGATGGCTTTTGTACGGTATGGAAGAGTGAAGATTTTACGAGCCTTAATGTAGGGGAAATTATTTCAATCATACGAGAAGACAATCTGGTCACGCTGGACGAAGAGCATGTCTGTGAGGCTGCTATGAAATGGATTAACGCTGATTTAACGAAGAGAAAGAAATACATTTATGATATATTTAAGTATGTTCGGTTACCTCATGTGACGCCAGAGTATTTGGTAAATAATTTGAATAAGATGCAATTGCTGATGGAGAATCCAGAGTGTCGTAAGTTGTTAGAGGACGCGCAGCATTATCATATGTTACCGTCAAGAAGGCTGGATTACAGCGGGGAAACATTCAGATACAGAATTGACGACGATCTTGATGAAGTTTTACTCGTAAGTAGATATGGATATTTTTTGATCTCCAAATACAACAGTTTAGTGACACATGATTGAAAATTTTGAAAGTTTTCTTGATTAATGTAACATATATTGTAAATTTTTGTAATGTTTAACTCTCAGTTTTATATAAAAAAAAATGCAGTATATAGATGATATTAAATTGTATTCTATTAGTACATGATTATTTTCATTGAGTGGTATACAAATATGAAATTGGTGGTGGTGAAATAAATCAAGTATTAAAAGATAAAACTTGAATTTTCTGGTTATTATATACTTTTATTCTATTTTATGTTACAATTTGAAAGACTTCCCCTTCAATATTGTGTAGTGGCTGAATTTAGAAGAAAGTAGTCCAGCACGACATCAGTGAAAATATTAGAAGTATGTTTCACTGCAATGAAAAATAAATTTTTACAATGTAAATACAGAAAATGAAAATATGCATTTTATTTCATCAATATTTTATTTATAAGTATATTATAAATACATGTACCAGTATTTTTTATATTCTTATATCCAATACATACTTACATGTATAATGATTCTTTTACATGAACAGATATAGAAAGAAAATCTGAATATTACAAATTTAATCTTTCATGACCTTGCTAAAATTCATTTGATAACAGATTGCTGGAACTAAATTTCAATAGAATTGAATATTTGGTCAATGTGCATGTGTATATATACAAGTATTTAATTAAAAAAAGTCACTGTAAGAGTATGTTGTATGCCAGTACTAACTCTAGCTGATTTTTTGATTCATGGACACAATTGTCATTTCCTGACCAAGCAAATCCACTGAGAAAATAGATGTTATCTGGAACTAAGAAAATGTGTGTTTTTCCAAGGTTATCCTCCAGTAGAAACATACTTACTGTCATATCTTAACACTACCGTTCACAACCTGTTGCGCTTTTTTCGGAGCTGTTACTGTAAAATTTTGTTTGTACGTCTGGATTAGCTGAAAAAATCCCAAACTATTTTTAATAAGTAAGTAATAGTAAATCTATTGGCAAGTTCCATATTATGATACTGTTATAGTCATCATATTTTATCGAGTATTTTCTGTAAATGAATTTCTAGGTTGTGTCAAAGAATAACGATGACAGGGGAATGTATTTTGAAGGCGGATGGTGTCTTTGGGCGTTCAGTTACAATCAGAGTAAATGGTTTACCCTTGCCCCTATCAAACAAGAAGATTCTCCTGGGGCAGATTTTGCACTCTGTTCCCATGGTTACGATATATTCTTGTCAGGAGGAAACACTAACCCAAAAAATCTGTTGAAGTTTGAGAGTGAAAGAAACGAATGGATTATTAGTCCTGGTAAGAATTTGAGTGTTTTTTGTTGTTTTTTTTGCTCTATGAAATTTATAATTTTTCCTTGATTATTACATATATTTGAATGGTTTTCTTGACTTTCAATATGTAGTAAAATTGTCAAATTGTCAATCATTTGACAGTCTGAATTAGTTTAAACATATTTATTTAAGCTTGATTGCCAACTTACATTAATCATTATTGAGTCTGCTTCCTGAAACCAACTGTTTCGGTACTGGTGTCGTGACCCAAGTAGGACTTGAAACCATAATTTGTTGGTTGAGAGGCAGATACCTTAACCACCTGGCCACCACTGTCCTGAATTTAGATGGAATGAAAACTATCTTAGTGTAAAAGTGGTAAATTTTTGTTGTGTAAGATAGAGAATACACCTTTCACTTTGTTGATTTTTATACTTTGAAGTGAGAGGAGCCAATTCTTTTATGTAAGCTTTCTCGAGCCAGATTAAAACCTGCTGAATTTATTTATACTGGATAAGGAACAATACAGTCAAATTTCAACAAATTTCAATATCAAAATACAAAACTTGAGCTGCAACAGATCAAATCCTGATCAGACTGCACATACAGGGACAAGATAATCTTTATTTTGGTTTCAGATCAATAAGGCTTACCTCTAGCTTAGAAAGTGGAATGCTTACTGCGATGGGGGTGGTCTGTCATTTCCTCCATCCGTCTGTGCATACATCTTTATTACCCTTCCAGATTTTTTCCGCCTTTTTGATTGGATATTGATCACCCGAAAAAAATTGATATAACCGAGCCAGACGGGTAATATACACACTAAATTTCCCCGATGGGTACCCCACGTTGTAAACAACATGCGCCGCCGTGCGATGCGCGTACGGTTTGATTTTACGCGATATAAATTCCAATTTACAAGCAATTTTAAACTGTCAAGTGATAAAATTTCCAAAAATAGAGTAATGATACATATTTCTCGTCAGTATATAGGAAACAAATATGACCTTGTGAAACCCTTTTTTATTAATTTTTCCAAAAAATCTTCAACGGTACCCTTTTTTCTTGTTTACATTTCCCTTTTTCAAAGATAATATATGTATTTTTTGACGTCATTTTGGTAAGGGGGTCCTAAAAACTTTTTCCCCGTTTTTATTTTTAAGTAGCAATTATTTATTTAAAAAACGTCTTACCGGATGGGGAAGGTAATAAAAAATTAAATTATTAATATTACCTCCAAATAAAAAAAACCCCCCGCCTAAGGCTGGGTGATATAAAAACTTAAAAGGAATATATCCACAATTTTCACCCAAAACCAAAAAACATATAATTGTGTATAGATACAACATTAATGTTGGGCATTAATCTTTGTCTAAAAATTGAGAAGGGGAATCAATGTTTTTTTGTAACTTGGTAGGGGAAATTTCCCATTGCCACTATAGGGCAGCTATTTTTGTTTTGAGCAATGATCAATGTCAAATGAACTTCCTTTAATTTCCTTCACAAAACTTTAAAAAGGGAAATACTTATTAAACTGAACTATGGGGGTAATTAAATTATTAAAAATTTTTTCCGTATTAATTCATAAAAATTTTTCCCCAGTCAGAGAAATTTTTAGTTTTTCTTTTTTTATATTATGTTTTAAAACCCAAAGGGGTTTTGTTCATTGCTTTTTTCAGGTCAGTTGAAGAAGGGCGTTTCCCGCTTGCATGGGGTCAGTTGGGAAAATTTACTTTTGTTAGGTGGAAAAAAAGTAAAACTTCCAAAAAATAGTCAATAATAAAAAAATATACATTCCCCGCAAAAATGGGGGGACATTTTGGTAACTTCTATCCCGTCTGTTTTGGTCTGCTTTAGGGGGAAACAAAACTCAAAGGGGGAACAAAAGCCCAAACTGTTAGCTACGTACGTGTTTCCCAGCAGAAAGAAAGACTGTTGATCTCCAACATGCCCAACTTCCAAAAGCTTCTAAAATTACTATAGGACAAGGGCATGTGATATCACTGAATGAGGACGAGCAAACCATTCTGAAATTGACACCAGACTTTGGCTTCATGGATGCTGGTCTTGAAATTTCAGGAGATCCCAATTTCTTAGGTGTATCACATTATGATGGGAGTTTACTAGTTTTAATCGAAAATCCTGAGAAGAGAGGCTGTCTTAAACAAGTTATTCAGGTCGATTTAGAAACGTCCCAACCAAAAGTGTTACCTATAAAAGGCAATGGATATCCAAAAGCAGTGCACGGTTGCTATAGAAGCTATGTTGATAAGAGATTCCTATATCATACATACTATCAGTAACTGTCCTAGTCATTAAGAATTACTGTCCCAGTTATGAGAGTACTTCTGACGATAATAAGAATAAAGTCTCTGGTCATGAGAAAAACCTTTCTGATATATATGATAATCTATTAATATCCAGGTTAAATATGAGAAAAAATCAGGTCGTTACCTCAAAGGTCAAATGTAAAATGTCATCATTTTTGTGTCCCCTTCATCGTTTTGAAACTAAGGAAAAGTTTTTAAAATGACTTTGAACAAATGATCAGCATTATGACAGGATGTGAAGAGCTCAACAATCAAGGTCTCTTGTCTCAAGGTCAAGGTCTCTATAAAAGGTCAAAAAGTCATTATTTTGCTTTTAAATTCCTGAAATGATTTTAAATTAACATTGCACAAATAATGACCATTATGAGAATACTGAGACCATGGTAAGAGCTCAAAAGCCAGGTTGCTTTTTTAGGTCAAGGTCAAACTAATAGGTTGATTAAATGTTATTGTATTGCAGCTGGGGATAAAGCTGCCCTTCAGACTGCCTTTGTTTTCTTTAGATATTTTCCTTCAAACCTTTCACCTTAAACATATTTTTCTTTATACAGGTATAGTTAATACTTACTTTCATTATTCATATATACATTTTTGTATGTAATTGTACTGTTTTGGATAAAAATGCACTGAAGGTTATATTGTTAAATACCAAGTTTTTTCTGGTAATTACAAATTAAAAAAAAAAATACAAATTAAAAAAAAACGTTTCTTCTGGTAGCCTTTTATGCTTTATGTTTTTACTTGATTATGACTATATAGTATATGCATGGGGTGTAATTTTTTCATTACTTATTACATAAGATCTGTAATTTAAACCTGGGATATACGATAACTTATCGTATGTCCCAGTTTAAACTAAACAAAGGGATTACAAGGGACTGTTATATGCAAACAAAACAAATGACTGTATTCTGTGTAACTCATGAATTTGTACTCTTTTGTGAAATGAAATTATTTTTGATTTTATTATATGTTTGACAAAGATGTGATGTTGAAAGAAGTTTTGAAAATAATTGTTATTTATTGGTGAATGAGTGTTATTTGTTGGTGAACCCAATATATGAGTATTTCAGGGTATATCAAAACTTACAGTTTAAACTTTTGTAGTAGAGATATGAAGGATTATTTTACAGTAAATAAATGTACTCAATATGTTATATGCTAGGTATTATTATTTAAAATTGTAATACTATATACTTTTTTTATAATGATTATTTATTATCTTCTATTTTTTCTTGCATAAAGCAGCATTTTCGGTACAAATAATACATATATATTATTTGTGATGTAATCAAAACTTAAATGTTAATTTTCTTTACCAAAGATAGAGGATTATTTTACATTTATGTACTCAAATATTATATATATTAGGTATTATTTAATTGTTATACAATTATTAATTTTTAGAATGAACGTTTTATTTATAATCTTTATTTTTTCTTGCTTAATGCAGCACATTTCCAGATTTTTCTCTTATGTAGGAAATTTACAAAAACTAATTTCATTTTTTCATATTATAGTAAAGTTGAATGGACCCTGCCAGTAAGGAGAAGAAAAACAGTGATAGAAATAGTGAAATAATACATAATTATCTTGTATCAAATATGAAATGGACAACATATATAAATTGAGACTTGGTCTGTGAATCGGGGTCTGCAAATTCACAATCTCTAGCTTTCTGACGTTATTGTGTAACATATTCATCTATACTTTTGTCTTGTTGTGTCACGTTTCCAAATTCAAAACGCAGACATTCTGTATTCTTTTGTGGTTGAAAAAAATCCGAAAGTTCTTTCTTCATGTCAGCATAGTTGTCATCAGCATTGGATAATGTTGGAAAAGTTTTGTAAATTTCAAACACTTCATCCCCTGCGTAGAGCAATAGCAGAGCTTTCTTTCTTTTGTTTTTGTCAATTCCGAGTCCATTTATTAAATTTTCAAATTTTCGACGTAGATACCTCATCTTTAACTGACATTGCTTGGATTTTCTTTGATTGTATTAATCCAGTCATTTTTGCAAACAAGTGTTCTACTTGGATTTTGCTAAACGTGTACGAATTAATCCTAAGTCCAAACTTCACTGCTGTTTATTTAAATTTAATTATCCTCGTCACCATTGCAATATTTGCTACATGTCCCTGGGAGCCGAGAACCCACCCAGAAAACAACACAGTGTATGTTTTATATGTTTATTCACTACGAGCGACTATTTAACACTCCATGATTGATACAGAGTGGCTATGTAACATGATACATATATCGACATCATCATATATTGTATGAATACTATAATATCCTCTCGGTTTCCATGCAAACATTTTATGAATAATGTCCATTGGGTGAAAATTAGCCCGTTCCATTTAGGAAAGACTTACTTATAAGTTTATAGAAACCCTATCTCTAAATCCTCTGGGCATGTGTGAAACTACATTTTCCAGAGCTTATATAATAATTGTCATATACATGAAGTATTGCTTAGTAGACCTTCAGTTAATGAAAAATTGCTACAAAAGTGTTCTTTATGTTAAAGATCCTGTATGTTATAATTGAGTTTGTATATCACACTTAAGTGAAATTATATATATGTATATAATTATGCTTATAAAACGATTTTCAAACATCGAAGAATATGTAAAATATGTACTGCAAATATTTGTTCTCATTGAAATATATGCATTCATTTTTTATTGAAAAATATGACTTAGACATTATAGAAAATAGATTTTTATTACCTCCCTTTATTTACATGAAATGTTAAATTTGGTAATATCTTTATAAATAATGCTTTTTGGAACATACAAAATTGATAAATCTTAATTTGAGCATCATAGTTATGATATAAAATTATAAAAAAATTGTTTTACAGAATGTTTAATAGAATGATGTATGATATAAAATTATTGTTTATGAAAACGTTTCGTTTTTGTTCAGTAAATTAATAAATTTTGTACAAATATATATTGTATTTGTAATTGTTGTTTGTCATCTTTCCTTAATTTGAATTTGACCCTTTTACTTACTACGTTTTCTGAAAATACTTTGCTAGTGGGCGAAGACGCTGGTTTGCACTTGACAGTATCGTGCATGAACAGGCTCAATCAAACCGAGCCTGCAACATTTTCAATTTTGCCATTTTAGACTTTCTTTATGGATTCCTATTTTTTTTATTCTATTTAGTTGGCAGTATCGAGCGGCGAACTAATTTTAGAGAAAATTATTAAATTATGTTTAATATCGAGGAGGGGAGGAGCTCACAGTGGTTTACCTTTTTGAATATCTAGTGGCCAGTAAAACATTTCAATAAAATGATAATACATACACAGCTTAATAATGTTTTCTATTTATAATTCGTGTGGATTTTTGGAATTTTTACCAGTCAGTTGAATATGTTGAGGTTCTTTTATGCAAAGTTGCTTCTCTGCACACTGTACACATCATTCTGAAACTATAAAGACAATTTTGAGCAAGCTAAGTAATTCAACGACAGCTGTGAAATAAGAGCGAGAAAATTAAATGTATGATCATATGCTGATAATAGAAAGACCACTGCTTGTAAAGTTATGACTCGATTTTTGTGTGAATAAAATGCTGAGAAAAAAACCCATCTGCATTGAGAGTGAGACAACAACTGACTGCTGGTTAACCAAAATGCTAAAGATAGAAAAGCAAGGTTACATGGAGAGCAAGAAGATTTTGTCATAGACATTTACATTGTTTGGCTGGAGATTGAAATATGTTAATGGCGATGCACAAAGGCTACGAAACGTTTTTAGGTTTCATCAGTCTACGTGTGTTGTCCCAAAGGTTCACATGGTTACCATTTTTGAAACGTTTATATTATAAATTGGCTCGTTAAATTTTAGTTACAACTGGGTGCTTTAATAGTAGGGTGAATGCTATACATGTGTATTTATGGCTTCATAAGAATAGTGCTGTACTAAAGCTTTGACCATATATACCGTTTTACTTTGTAGTGATTCCCTTTATCCATAATCTTTTTCAACTTCATGCATGTGTTATAATTTTGAAAGAAAAAACTCTGCAGCAAGAGTTGTCCAGAAAAACCTTTTTTTTTATAAATTATAGTCCCTTGATATCAACATTTTTTAAGGAAATATAAATCGAGAACATAAGTTACCACCATATTCTTTCACTTAAGATGTGTTTGTTTTCATATGTCGGCATTATGCGGAGTTGTTATGTAGTTTCCATTCTACATATGTATTTTCATGTAACTGTTGCACACAGGCTATTCACTTGGTCCTTTTTATGAAGTTTGCGGTAATATCCGAATTTTTTGGCTAGCGGATGGCAATTTATCTATATTATTTATACACTGATAGCATTGTTTATATAAAATGCACTTAACGTGAAATGTCAGTACAATACAAATATTTTAATCAATTAAATCATGTAAACTTATATCACAACGAGTAAAACGACTTTCGGTTTAAAGCAATTTTGACAATGTTAAGCCAATTTTAACATATTTTGAGTGATGTAAATGAAGACTTATTAAGTGCTTGTGCCTTTTTATATGTCAAGAGCAAACGACGAATATTTAAAGATATCATTAATCTTTGAATGTGTTGTGTTGATAAATATATAGCTGGTCTAAGTCTAGAAACCGCATAAATGGAGGAAGGTACTGACAATACTACAAGTGGAGGAACTTTTTGTAGTGAGGAAACGGCTATATCTGACCAAAAAAAAAAGGAAGAAGATGTTTTAGGTGATCAGAGGGATTCTTATTTATCATATGTTCCAAACGTTGGTGCATGTGTTACAGGCAGAGAACTTGGGGAACTGTGTGAACCTCCTGCAAGTCAACCTCTTGATTTGAATTTCCTAGCCGTTCACTCGATGGCGTATATTGAGCGAGAAAGAGAAAGAATATGGAACATATATAAAGAGTTTTTCTCACCGTGTTTAATCCGTTTAGATAATTATACTAGGCCAAAATTACCTTGCCA